CCATGACGACTGCTTGGTATGATTGTTAAACGTTTCAATTGATTAGGTTTACTGGCGCTAGTTCCGAGCATTTCGGTACTGGCATTCTGATCAAGGCCAGTGCGAGCCGTTACGTGCGCTGATCCACCCGATAATCCACCCGTTAAGGTTGACGGTCGATTTGGACGACTGCTTGCCATCGAAATAGATTGGATGGTTTGTTGTGTCATACTTTTACTTCTTGTGGTGGCCATATTTGTCGACATTTTTGCCACATTTAGTTCACTATTCAGTCCTGAACGTGTGGTTTTTGCATGTATCAATGACACTGTTGCTGGACGACGATGACGACGACGAGAGACCAATATACACCATAATATTATCATCAATATCAACAATAACAGTATGATTGCTCCCATTATCCAATAAAAATCTTGAATAAAAAAACAAAATTCATTCATCTCAACGACAAACTAATTTATCAAATAACTTACAGGATTTCGAAAGAAAACTTGGTGGAATGAAACCGGCACAATTGAAAAAGGAATCATAACTACGTTTTTGGACCGGATATTCTGCTCCGTGGTTATGATAAACTTGTTCACTAAATATATAGATATTGGTTCGGCCAAATAGATAAAATTTATCATCGGTAACAAATCCTTTCACTATTGGCCAATTCAGTGGATTGCCGCGATGACATTCGATTATGACATTTCCTTGTTCATCTTTAACTAATCTTTGGGCAGTAATATTGCCACTATCTCTCGAATCTGAACATAAAATCGAATCAGTTGTATATATCGGTCCTATTCCTCTAGTTGTACGAAGACTATCACCACCAACACAATGCCAACGATTCATTAAAAGACCATGATTAAACCGTAATGAATAATATTGACATGGTCGATTTGTTGATAGCAATACTAATGGATTATCATCACGATCACGATTTTGAAATCCCGGTCTCGGTTCTGAATTATCAATATCATAATTAACACCTATTAAACCAGTTTCACGTAGCGGTACTAAACAAATCCAATCACTATCCGGATCATTCATAATCCATGCAAGGGATATAACATCTTTAATAGTATCGAAATATACATTATAATAAAGTTGAGGATATTTCTCCTGCAGTGGTATTGGTTGTGTTTTGAGATATAATTTATCTATATCCGAATCCAATGATTTGAGCGGTGTGTCATAAACATAGAAATCCTTTGTTATCAATAATAATCGTTTGTCCGTTTTTCCCACGGCCAATATATTGAGATGGGCACTATCATTTTGGCGCAATCTTTCGCAGATTTCCTTTGGACAAACAAAATAGATAAAATACGTTCAAACAAAAGCCAATTCAATACTTACATCTTTTTTTGTTGAATTGGTTGCCATTACAGTGGCAATGGCCAGAATGATTAGATTGCCAACTGATGATGATAACATTTTCCAACCACACAATAATCAACCATAAAACGAATTGCCTTTCTTCAGCATCATTCAGCCTTTTCAATGTTTTTGCTTTGTATTGTTGCTGTTCATTATTTCAATTTCAATTCAATAATTCAATTTGAAACAATTCAATTATCCATTCATTAAGCAACAATTCTCCCGTGCCAATAGAATCAACTTTTTGATTTGAAGGCATTGCTTTTGAAATAATTTGAAAACTCGGACTTGCAACAAATTGAATTTGGTTTTGAATTTCACAAGAAAGCTTTCTTTGGAAAACTTGTGTTATTATTTCTCTAATTAATAAGCATTTAAATATTCGTATCACAATTAATTCGCAACAGAATAATTACACAAAAAAGAATTCTATACTCAACAAAACAACAAGTTTCATTTCATCATCGCTCTGACACAAAGTCAAGTTCACAATTGACAATTTCCTTTTCCACATGCGCTTTTCAATTGAGAAGCAAGTAAGTTGTTTGAGCTTTTTTCGATGATCAACCGAATTTTTGAAAACCTTTTGTGGAAAATTACGCTTTTATTGAGAAAAGTTGATTGTGTTGTTGCATTACATATTTGTGATAGAACCATCAACAGCCAATACTTTAGCATTAAAAGCATTCAAACAAGAGCCATTTATTGAATGGAACATTTGATTGTTAAGCTAAACTGAACACATTCAGAATTGATCAATATTGCAAATATCAAATTCAACACTGCTGATATTGATTGATTGATTTATAGAAAAATGCAAATGAAAATGATGAGGACATAAATTGTTTATGGTTGATAAAATTGTTATAAAATTTCATTACAATTTCAAATAAATCTGCTACTATTGCTTTGAATTCGTGTGGATGAACGTTTCAATCGACTGACAGTAGTCTTTCTATTCATATTACTGACCGCTTTGCTACCCACACCAGAACGAACGGTTACGTTTCCTGATCCCTGGGATAATGCTGATCGACTTCCAACCTTCCTTACAAATCGACTTTTCATTCTGGAAGCCACACTTTTAGCACTTCTTTTAGTGACAATAGTTGAGGACAATTTCGATAAATTCTGTTTGCTCATTACTTTTGAACGTCCCGATTTTACACGTTTCAATGATGTTCGAGTTCGTCGACGACGGCGAATGCTCAATATACACCATATCAGGATGGATAATATGGCCAATAACACTATGATTGCACCAATTATCCAATAAAAATCTTGATAAACAAATTAGTTTATTGCAACCACAATAATGCCTAAATACTCACATGATTTGAAAACATTACTCGGTGCAATAATGCCCGGACAATTGAAGAAGGAATCATAACTCCGTTTCTCCACTGGATATGACTGTCCTTGTTGCTTGTAAACATTCTCATCGAATATATAGATATGTGATTGACCGAATAGATAGAATTTGCCGTCACTCACAAATCCTTTCAACACTGGCCATATTACCGGAATTCCCGAACGACATTTTGCTACATTTTGTACGATTCTTTGCACGGTAATCTTGGTTTGTGTTTGGTCATAACATATGGCTGAATAATCAAATTTGGGGGATATTTTTTCAACCTCACGTATGCGATCGCTTCCTACACATTGATAAAGATTAATCTGAAGAGTACCTTCTGATCTTAATGAATAGTATTGGCATGGTTGGTCAGTTGAGATCATCACCAGTGAATCCTTGCCAAAATATTGCCATCCATCCAACGCTTCTTCATGATCAATATCATAATTGCAACCCGAATTAGATGAGGTGTCTTTTCTAGTCGATAGACAAATCCAATCACTATCCGCATCACTCATTATTAATGAAATGACTGTCTCGCCCATAATCTGTTGAAAGTGATGACTGTTGTACAGAATTGGATATTTCTCATCCAATTTCACGGGTTTGCTGCCAAGATATAATCTATCTATGGTCGAGTTGATTGAACCAATCGGTACATCATATACAAGGTAATCCATGGTTATCAATAATAATCGTTTTTTTGTCTTTCCAACTGCCAGTATGCTAAATTTGGTGCTATTATTTTGCCGTAGTCTTTCACAGATTTGCTTGTTTGGAAAATTAAAATTGATTCATTTGTGCCACCAACCATCATCAATCTATACTTACATCTCTTTCTTTTGAATTGCTTGTCATTTGGATGCTATCAATATGAATGGCCAATATGATTAGAATGCCATTAATCAATGTTGCTAATGACATAATTAACCAAAGTTGTAGCATAGCTAAAGCATTGTTTCTCTCAAACAAGCCAACATAATCAATGTTTTGATTGGTATTGTTGTGGATTAGTGAAAAGTTCCAAACATGGAATTTCTTTTCAATTTGAATGCCAAAATTCTTTTTTCTTTTAGTTACTTGTTTTAATCACATTCTGCATTGATTGTTTGCATAAACAATTGCTGAATGGTTATTTTGCATGAAAAATCCAAATGAAAATGATGAGCAAATTAATTAATTATTTTTTATTTGATAAAATTGTTAGAAAATTTCATTTAGACAGCGAAATGGATCGACGGCGACTGCTTTCACTTGGTTTGGATAATTGATTGGGAGTATTTGGTGTGAGCGGGATTTTACTACTCTTATTACTATCGACGCTAGTATCAACGGTTGCCATTTCTGATCTACCGGATAATGATAGACTGCCATTCCTTACAGGTGCGCTAATCATTTTCGAAGCCATACTTTTTGGAGTAGAAACATTTGTTGACAATTTCGATAAATTCAATTTGCTATTCATCTCGTTTTTTTCATCAATCAATGATCGTTGCTTTCGTCGATCACAAATACGACTTATACACCATGTGATGATCAATACTATGGCCAATAACACTATGATTGTAGCAATCATGCCATAAAACTCTTTGAAAACAAAATTCATCATTTTCAACAAGCAAACAGTGACAATTGCTTACCTGAATCGGACATGACTGCATTGGGCGGAATAATGCCCGGACAATTGAAGAATGAATCATAACTATGTTCCTCGAACGGATATGGCCGTGCTGGTTCACTATAAACATTCTCATCGAATACATAGATATGTGATTGACCGAATAGATAGAATCTGCCCTCACTCACAAATCCCTTCAACACTGGCCATGTTACCGGAGTTCCCGAACTACATGTTCCGTTTTCTGCAATTCTTTCCAAGATAATGTTGGTTTGTGTTTGGTCATAACATATGGCTGAATGATGATATTTGGGCGTTATACCTGGACGATCACGTACGCGTTTGCCTTCTTCACAATGCCAACGATTAATTTGAAGACCCTGTCTTGCGTTCAGTGAATAGAACTGGCATGGATGGTCGGTTGAAATCATCACTAGTGAAATATTGCCAGTATATTGCCATCCAGGTTTCGTTTGAGAATGATCAATATCATAATTGACTCCGGCAGTCGGGTTGGTGTTTGTAGTGACTAGACAAATCCATTCACTATCCTCATCGATCATCGTAAATGCAATGAGTGGTCCATTTTTGATATATTGAAACACATTGCTACTGTAAAGTATAGGGTATTTGTCTGCCATTGCCATTGGTTTGCTTCCAAGATGTAATTTTTTATGGGCCCGATCCAATGAATTGACCGCTACATCATATACAAGCAAATCCTTGGTTATCAATAGCAGTCTTTTTTTTGTCTTTCCAACTGCCAGTATGTTCAATTGTTTGCTATTATTTGGCCATAGGTTATCACAGATTTGCTTGTTTGAAAAATTAAAATTGATTCATTTTTGCCACCATCCATCATCAATGCATACTTACATCTTTTTCTGTTGAATTTGTCATTTGGAAAGTGCAAATAAGACTGACCAATATGATTAGAATGCCATAAATCAATGTCCCGTTTGCCATGATTAATCAACGTTGTAAGAGCACTGGAAAACAAATCAGTTCTCTGGCCAAATTCCAAATATAATGAATGTTTTGGTTAGTATTGTTGTCAATTAGTGAAAAGTTGGCAACAGTTTAATTTGTTGATTAATTAGTATTGCTGCTAACTAATCATTTCGAATTTCAACAAACAAAAATTCTATTAATACAATATTACACTTATCAATGTTTTGTTTTTGATAAAGCCTCCTAATCAATAACTAAATAGAACAGGAAAATAGTTTTGGTCAAGTATTTATTATCGAATATAGAATTGTTATCAAATTTCAATGAAAGCGTGACATGGATCCCCGACGACTGCTTTGAATTCGTGTGCTTAAACGTTTCAATTGATGCACATTACTATCAACCTCAGTGCGAACGGTCAAGTTTCCTGATCTAGCGGACAATGCTGATCGACTGCCAACCATGACGGGTTCACAATTCATTTTTTGAGTCATACTTTTACAATTACTTCTTGTAGTGGCTACATTCAGTGACAGTTTCGATAAATTCTGTTTGCTAATTTGTCCTGAACGACCGGTTGGTTCAGCTATCAATGACCGATGTGTTCGATGCCGACGACGAGTCACCAATATACACCATATCAGGATCGATAATATCACCAGTAACACTATGATTGCAGCAATAATCCAATAAAAATCTTGATATACAAAATTAATTCATTTCCATCAACAATAATGCCTAAATACTCACATGATTTGAAAACAACATTACTTGATGGAATAATGCCCGGACAATTGAAGAAGGAATCATAACTATGTTTTTCCACTGGATATGACTGTCCTGGTTCATTATAAACATTCTCATCGAATATGTAGATATGTGATTCACCGAATAGATAGAATTTGCCCGCACTCACAAATCCTTTCAACACTGGCCATGTCACCGGAATTCCCGAACGACATTTTGCTTGCTGCCCCCATGGTATCATTTCTACGGTAATCTTGGTTTTGGTTTGATCATAACATATGATTGCGTCAGCATTAATGGGAGATATCTTGGGTGTTTCACGTACACGGTCACTTTCAACACATTGAAAGCGATTAATTTGGAGACTTTGATGATAATCGGTTGTAGTTAATGAATAGTATTGGCATGGTTGGCTGGTTGAAATTAATACTTGCGATGTAGTTAAGCTTCCATCAAATGACCATCCCGGTATTGGTTGTGAATGGTCGATATCATAATTAACTCCGTTTTCCAAAGAAGAAGTTCTAACAGTAATGCAAATCCAATCACTATCCGGATCAGTCATGATCCATGCATTGAAGATGAGATGTTTAATTCTTTGAAACGATGGACTGTGGTAAAGAACGGGATATTTTTGCTCCATATGCAAGGGTTTACTGCCAAGATATAATTTATCTATGGTCGAATTCATTGAATCCAGTGGTACATCATAAACATAAAAATCGGCCGTTATCAATAGTAATCGTTTTTTTGTTTTGCCAACTGCCAGTATATTGAATTTGCTGCCATCACTGCGCTGCAAACTCTCGCAGATTTTCTTTGTGGTTCAAACAAAAAAATTGATTCATTCATAATGTCCATCAAACAATCAATACTTACATCTTTTTCTGTTGAATTGGTCGTCATTTGGATTGTTTCGATTCGAATCATCAATATGAATAGAATGGCAAGTTTAAACATTTCTTAATCACACAATAACCAATGGGTTCTCTCGAAAAAGTCAATTCCATCGTTACTAATAACTGTTTTCCTTTCCATTGTTGTCGATTAATCATATTAGAATGGAGAACAATATTCCAAATTCAATAAAATTCAGTTTGCTTTCATTACATAACAACGGAAATGACTAAATCAATGTACCAACATAACCAATAAACGATCCGAATGCATGGTATAAAAAGGTTTTTAGTCAAAAGTGCAGAGATATACTTGCAACCTATAAATTGGATGCGAAATGAATTGAGCGAAAGAGCAAACGAGCAAAAGAGGGGAATTTGAACGGTGAGTGATAAACGAGGGCGCTTTCGCTTGCCATTTTTCTCCTCCCAACGACCAGTATGTCTGTCTGTGTGTGTGTTATGCTTACTCCATTCGTTTGATGTTTTCATGATTGCCATTAATGCTGTAAGCCCAAAGTTCTTGCATCCTTGTTTTTCCATTTGTTTGACATAATTGAGCCAAATTGACTCTTAATTAACACAAGAGATTGTTGGATCGAATTTGATGACTAGTTGGGATTGTGTGGTGAAATCATTCGTTTTGCAAATCAATCGAATCATAGAGAGAAAAATCGTACATCAATAATGGCATCCATTCGAAAGAAACTGGTGATTGTTGGCGATGGTGCTTGTGGTAAAACATGTCTGTTGATTGTTTTCAGCAAAGATCAATTCCCCGAATTCTATGTGCCCACTGTTTTCGAGAATTACGTGGCCGACATCGAAGTGGACGGCAAACAGGTATGTTGTTGTGTGACACTGATTGAATTGAATGGAATGAATAAAACTCAAACTCAATCAGGTGGAATTGGCTCTTTGGGATACGGCTGGCCAAGAAGATTATGATCGTCTTCGACCATTATCCTACCCAGACACCGATGTTATTTTGATGTGCTTCAGTATTGACAGTCCTGATTCATTGGAGAATATTCCAGAAAAATGGTCACCCGAAGTTCGACATTTCTGTCCCAATGTACCCGTCATTTTGGTTGGCAACAAAAAAGATTTGCGAAACGATCCTTATACCGTCAAGTCCAAAATCAAAACCGTATCGACCGAAGAAGGCAAAGCTATGGCAGAAAAGATTAATGCTTTTGGCTATCTGGAATGTAGTGCCAAAACCAAAGACGGTGTCCGAGAAGTGTTCGAAGTGGCTACCCGTGCAGCTTTACAATCGAAAAAAAGACGCAGAAAGAGGTGTACCATCTTGTAATCGGAGGAGAGTTGCTCAAACACTCACCAACCAACGCCCACGATCCAGCCATTCAAACAGCATTCTTTCTCTATCCAAATGACATAAACACACCGGAAAAAACCCATCTTGCCCCAGAGCTGTTTGGTTATGGTTATTCTAACAATAACATTATTTATATTGTATTGATTCATTGATACATGTCTCGATTTCAACGTTGATGATTTATCAAATTTTTTTAATTACACACAAACATCCAACACACACACACACACACGATACACCTGTTATTCAAAACTGTGAAATGTTGAAATTTTTTCGTCAAACACCGGATTTCGGTTCAAATTGTCTATCATCCACATACATACACCACACACACTTGCATTGAAAACTATTAAAACCAACAAAAAGCAATGTCTAAATTGGATTTGATGAAGGGTGTCAATTTTATTGAGTAAAAATATTATGATTGGGCGCTTTTATGATTGAGCATGAAATACTGTAGCAAATCATTGCGACGAACACGATTCAATTCTTCTCTCAGGAAATTCACTTCGGCTCTTAGTTTCACATTTTCCTGTTTCAGAACCATGATGCTTATGGTTGTTTGCATTTCTTTGCGTCGGCGACTTTCTCGTGATCGTTTCGCTGATTCATTATTACGTCGACGACGTTCCCAATATCTATTGAAAGCAGTATTAGTACAGGCAACGATCATCATTAGATCCGCTACTTACGCATCGTCTTTGTTTTCGCTGGGCACCGGTATCGGTTGTCTTTTTCGTTTGTTGGCATCATAGGTGGTGGTCATTAGAGACATGTCTGGACACTGTTCGAATGTTGTCGATAATATTGATGACGATGATGTGCATGAGGATGAGGATGATGAGGCGGATGGCGATGCTGGTGAGGAATACGATATGGATGATCGCTGATCATCATAATGGCCGTACTGACTCGATTCATGTTGGACATTTTTCGTAATGACGCTAGTCTGATTGGAGCAATACATGATTGGATGTTTGACTGACAAAATTGTTGGCTTTCTAGTCAATATTTATATAGTGGCCAAATCATCATCGAATGAACAATCAATCAATCAATCATGAATTGAAACATTGATCAGAGTCCAAAATGTTATTTATCCAATACAACACACACCATCTACAGCCCCATTTCACCCAATTTGTTACAACATTGCAACAGGGCACGAATGTGACGCAAGATTACATTGATTACACAAACACACCATTCAAACGAATGATGCCTATTCAAAAATTATAATCAACATCGTGACTGGCAACCATAATGTGCCTTTTTGGGCACGATTCCGATAAGATTATAACCATATCAGCATCATCATGCCACAGCAACAAATGCCAAATTCCAATCATAAATAAAACTAATAAATTGATTACATCTTTTTTAATGATCAATATTCGAATCATCGTCGTAAACAACATACATAACAAACATGGCTTCTTTTTCAATCCATTTAACATTATTTACAATATATCACAGTGTTTTCAACACAACAACAGAAAGTGAAACAAAAACCCTAAATAGCGATCAACCACAACGAATACGATAATATCAGCATGCCAATCAGGTTGGGCATTATGGCCATTCGCATTGCCGAACTGTCCGCATGTTGTTTCGGGTTGCTAGCCATCACTACTTTGTTGATCGGGTCGATAATTATATCGGCCGTACTGATCGTATCATCCGTACTGCTGGCCGTCTCGTGTTGTTGATCATCATGGTCGGACAGCCGTGGTAAATGGCCCGAGCTTTCCTGGTAATTGTAATCTTCATCGTCATACATTGGATTCGCGCCACTGCCATCTCCACTACCATCGTCCGGCTGATCATTGTCGGTATCGTCGACGACCTGTTGATCGTTCGCCATTGATTGACTAAATCTTGATGAACGTTGATTGTGGATTAGCAATTCCTGTATGGTGGTTTCCGATTGTTTCACCCTATCATGTAAGGTGATGATCATGGCATCATCGCTCTTATTGGCATTTGCCAACGATATTGATGATTGATGTTGTTTGCCCTGGTATGAACTGCAAACAAAATTAAATCAGTTGATCATCCTGATTAGCATGTCATCTTGACTCACCTGACCGTATGACTTCCATTCCAGCAATTCTCATCACTGTACTGACCACACATTTTGTCATCCAAACTGGAGCAAATAGACAAATATGTTATTTTCATTGACAATGAACTTAGCAGAGAAAGAGAACTTACTGGGCAAACATGTCCTTGTGTTTGGCGAAAAGGTGAGCCATCGATTGAATCGATACATAGAGACTGTATTGAGCATTAATGTTGTCATCCAAGTGGTCATTGGCTGGGCTGGATGTTGTTGATGAATAATTATAAAAATCGTAGGCGTTTCCTCCACTCTTCCCAGTCGCCATAACGATGCCCGCGCTACGGAAGTATCGTTTCAATGAGCCACAAGCAATTCGAGCCTAACAAGGTAAACAGGGTTAATTGGTCATTCTTAGTGGGAAACTTATATGATCATCATCATCAACAAACATTCACATATTCACATTTCACATTTCACTTCAATTTCACTCCACTTCAATTTCAATTTAACCCTCTTCACACGCCAGGTGGTTAATGACAGTGTTAACAAATACCACACCACCACTGTTGAAGAAAACGTTCAACTTACGAAAATAATCATTACCAATGACGACTATCTCGACAAAGTTTAAAGAAAAGGCCGGCAGCAAATTTTTTCACCAAACCAAACAAAGAAAAAGGGAGAGAGAAAACCTGATATCAACAGAATCGAATCCGGCCTGTTGTTGGTTCGGGGGTCAGGTCAAGGTACACACTACACACAAACAGGACACTCTCTGCTTCTCACACCACCACACTGTGTCTTTTCATTGATTCCGGCATTCCATTGGAAATGAGTGAGCCAACAGTGCTGAACTGAACAGTGCTGAACACCACCGACGTCGAGACAAGCCCACGCACGAAATGATAATAATAATCATGACACTCTCAACATATCTATCTGATGAATATGCTTACATTTTTGGCTATTTTGTCATTCTTGGATCGTATCCATTGCTGCGCCTGCTGGATGGATTGTCGATGTGATGACATTAATATCTCCGGGTTGAAATAGTTGACCATCAGGTTGACTAGTTGTTGATATGAACGATGCAATGTCTTGATGGTGGAATCCAATCGTTGGAGATGCGTTTGTTGAAGACATTGTTGCATTGTTTGTCGACAGGATGATGCACATGTGCCGATTATGGATGGCCAATTTGTTGCGGTGGCACATTGCCAGCAGTGAAATGATCGTGATAATTGTCTGATGCAATCCGGTTTGATTGTCTTAATCTCGCTCGTTTGATTGATTAATTGTAATGAATTTTCTAATGAATGTACAATCAGGCTATATCATTAGGCAAAATAAAGAAAAAAAGAAAAAACATTGGTTAGATCCGGATTAGTCTCATTCATTCATACATTCATTCAGTCACTGAGTCATTGATTGATTGATCATAATAATCACAATATAGGTGAGAGCTTCTCATTCCATTCTCAAATTGATTCATTCATTCACCAATAATGACCTTTGACCATGACCAACACCACCACCAGCAATGAATGAATTTCACTCTCCACTCTGACTGGCAATGGCATTCCAGGTATGCATGTCTTCAATGATTATTGGATTGCTGAAAAACTTTCCTCTCTCTCTCTCCTCTCACACACAAGCGCAAGCTGGTCTTTGTTGTTAAAGAATGTTGTTGTTGAAAAGGACCGGATTTGGCCGATGGCCATTACCTTTGCAGTGATTAAATGTGTGCAATGTTACTGCTGCAGTCATTGTGTGTGTTCTACAACCCTATTGTGGAATGTGGCAAAATACTCGATACATACCTGGCCATATCGATTGTACGGCTGAAACGAAACAACATTTCTTCACGAGTTTTGCCAAGAATGTCCGAATCCTTCATCGTGTTCAGCAGACATGATTCATATTCGCTGGGAAATTTGTTTTCCTATTCAATGTTCCATGTTATCATCATTATTACTGTCATTGGGAAACACTTACATGAGTTTGCTGCAGAACACCAATGAAAATGGCTTCCAATAGATGATCAATGTGATCGTCCAATTGAACGGGCGTCAAATGCTTCGATTCGAAAATGACACCACGAATCAATTCGACAAGCTGGCGATTCGCCTGCACAATGCGATCCTGATTCGGACCGAAATATTCATCAATGTCGGCGATGGTATCGTTGAGAATTCGTTCCAATTTGCGGTGGATACGGTTATAGTATCCGATGAAGTGGTTTTCAAATGTCGACATCTTTAACACGGCTTCCAATTGGCCTTCGAAGTCATCGGAAGCTTTCGCTGCGATATTATCGTCCAAACCATGACAACAACTGGATGGATTGGCACTCGCTTCACAATTCAATTGTTGAGATCGTTGAGCATGAGGATGATGATGATTGTGATTCGGATGATGGTGATGATGCGCTGATAACTGATACATTTGTCTCACATTCTGACATTTATTAATCGGACTCGATCGACCCACAACAATACACATAGCGATCACCAAAAAGGCGATCACTTGCATGGAAAACACACTGCCATTCATCATTTTGGCCGGAAACAGAGAATCATTCAAACACTAATCAAACAAACAATGTATGAAATGGATATCGATGATGAAATGGATCACATCACTAATGTTTCACTTTGATCAAATTCAATCTGCACTGATTTCACACTTGAACATTCGATTCGATCGGTTTGCAGTCAAAACTTGCACTGATCACTTTTTGGCTGTTGTTGTTACCTGAACTTCGTTCTCATACAGACGACATACCATCACACTGTTTTGATCACTTTTTTCTTGTTGACGACGATCCTTAGGGCATTTCACACACACACTGCCTGCCTGGCCGACTTGAACCACCATCAATAAAAGAAATGAATGAATGAATGAATGAATGAATGGAATGATCATTTATTTTGGACAAATCTAGATCCCGCCTACAACCAACTAAACAAATCATGTACGTTTTTGATGGCCAGGTATGGTTCATTCATATAATCATCGATCCACACACACTAACAACTATCATGATGACTAAATTCATTCATTTTTCTCTCTCCCAATGCTAATCCAATTCCAATCAAACAAAAAACAAACTAGAGCAAATCACACACTATGGTCATTCTCAAATCTCAATCAGCATTAGTTTGGTTTGTTTGTTTGAAATGACATCCAGACAATAACATAATGATAATGCCATCATCATCAAATCATCATTCTCCATGGCAATTTCCCAAATACACAGATTAATGTCCATAATGGATAAATTGATCATTCTAACATTACATTACTCTATCTCTATTGTGCTAATCATTATCACTGCCAATCAACACAGATGTGCTTTTCTCTCCATCTCTCTCTATGCCTTTCCCTTCAATAATCATCCCTTTTAATTGTAGTTTGATTTGACGACAACCATCACACTAACCAAATTCGAATGAACGAATTAATCAGACAAATGAATAAAACTGGAATTTCAAGCTCATTCAGACTGGTAATCAAAGGGTTGCAACAAAAATTCAACGATGCAGGTAGTGCCATCTTTTGCCGTCGATTGCTAGTAACAGTCAAACAAAGACAGTGCTGCCACTATTGACTGATCTCCGTTCGGGTAGCCATTGAAGAATGAAATGCATTGAATGGGGATGAACGTTACACATACAACAAAAAAACGACGCAAGCGCAATACTGACATGGAGCGCCGAAAGAAAGAAAGAAAGAAAATGTTGAGCAGCACAGAACTCGGCACACAGCGTGTTTTACATCAATGCCCATTGTATTGTTGTATACTAAAACTGAAACTAACTGACATAGCAGCTTTCTTTCTTTCTCTCTTTCTCTCTCCAATTCACTCACGATACGATGATGGTGAATAAAGTGCGATAACAAAAAAATCATTGATTTTGATACAATTTCGTTTTTTCAATCAGACAAAACATTGTTATTCTTGTAAAACAAAAATAAAACAACAAACACTTTGACACTGAATTATCAAAACCAAACCATACGATTCATTGTTTGAAGCAAAGTAGTGTGTCAATTAATTGTCAACTAATTCGATTTGAATCATCAAATCAAATTGATCAAATTGATCTTCATTTTTTCCATATAAATTGATCGGTGAAAATTGTGCCCGCAACCAATTTGTTTATTTTGTGTCTCTAGATCAAGTCTTTCTACGTTTTTTTCCAAATTTTTGACCAAGATCAATTTATATTTCCTATATTTTGTTTGTTTCGAATCACTTCATTCAATCTCTCTCACGATTGGTATGGCAACGAACGCAACGTTAACAATGTCCAACAATAATCATGCCAATAACGGAATCAAGTAAGTGCACTTAGAAATTGATGAATCGTATTGATTGTGTGATTGATTAGTAGCAGCAGCAGCAATGATTGGAAGGCCAAGCTCAAGGTTCCACCGAAAGATAACCGCATCAAAACATCGGATGTTACATCCACACGTGGCACCGATTTCGAAGAATTCTGTCTAAAACGAGAACTATTGATGGGCATATTCGAACAAGGCTGGGAAAAACCGTCGCCCATTCAGGAATCAGCCATACCAGTCGCCCTGCTCGGCATCGACATATTGGCTCGAGCTAAAAACGGTACCGGAAAAACCGGTGCCTACACGATTCCTTTGTTGCAAAAGATCAACGTTAACAATAATGCTATCCAGGCTTTGGTGGTGGTGCCGACGCGTGAATTGGCCATGCAAACATCAAACATCTGCATGGAACTGGGCCGACACTTGGGTGTGCGTGTCATGGTGACCACTGGTGGAACGAACCTCAAAGATGACATAATGCGTATCTACGAAAACGTTCATGTAGTGGTGGCCACTCCTGGGCGTATTCTCGACTTGGTCGAAAAAAAGGTACTGTTTGTCAATTTGCCAACACTAAATTGACTGATTGCTTGTTCACTTGAGACAGGTTGCCTCGTTGTCGCAATGCAGATATTTCGTGCTGGATGAAGCGGACAAGCTTTTGGGTCAGGATTTCCAGGGTATGCTCGATACACTGATATCGCATCTGCCCGAAGAACGACAGATCTTACTGTTTTCGGCAACATTTCCAATCACAGTGGAGCGCTTCATGCAGATGCATCTGAAAAACCCGCACGAAATAAATCTGATGGAAGAATTAACCCTGAAAGGTGTGACCCAATACTATGCGTTCGTGCAGGAACGACAAAAGGTGCACTGTTTGAACACATTGTTCTCGAAGCTTCAGATAAATCAATCGATCATCTTCTGTAATTCGACCCAAAGAGTGGAATTGCTAGCCAAGAAGATTGCCGAACTTGGATATTCGTGTTATTACATTCATGCTCGTATGTCACAACCACACCGAAACCGTGTGTTCCATGACTTCCGCAAAGGTCTTTGCCGTAATCTTGTATGCAGTGATCTCTTTACTCGTGGCATCGACATTCAGGCGGTCAATGTCGTCATCAACTTCGATTTCCCCAAGATGGCCGAAACCTATCTGCATCGTATCGGTCGTTCGGGTCGATTCGGACATCTGGGCATTGCCATCAATTTGATTACCTACGAAGATCGTGATTTGTTACACAAGATCGAAGCCGAACTAAACACCACCATCAAACCGATACCCAAAGTTATTGATCCTACTCTATATGTTGCCGAAGCACAAACCGAAAATGCCGATAACAATTGAACAACTAATATATATCACTCTCATCACCAAACAACACACACACACATCGATCGCGATCACCAACCAACCATACCATTGAATCAATCCAACAATCAACCACCACCAAACACACACAACGATCCGGTCTAACGATGGGGAAAAGGAAGAATTACCAGCAAGCAACCAGTAAATACATCTATAGTGTTAATCAAAAATGGAAAAATTTTGTATTTTACCTATTTCATAATATTTTCTTACCTTCAACACAACATAAGCAAAACATACAACGTTTATCTTTCCCTTCTCAATGTCTGTCACTCTTGCTAAAAATTAGTCTCTTTGTATTGTTTTTGACATCTTTGTTTCATTGAATAATTAAAGTCAACTTTCGTTTGCAATTCTTTCTTGATCAGTGAATGCCCCCTCTGATGGCCAATCGATGCAAACATGCATCCATGTTTCGTCATAGGAAAAAAGCATCCAATCATAATTCTATGATGAACGATGCGGCGCATCTCTCAATACCTATACACACTTAGCATGTATATTCATTTATGGATCATATCTGCGCATTGCCATCAACATATAGCCCACGATTGGCGTCATTCGCCACTCATCTCTCGCTCTGTTTGTTTGCTTGGAATCGAATCCCGTTTCATACACATACGTACACAGACACTGCCATCTTCTCTCCCCTTTGGCCATCCTCATTTTTAAAGAGCGAAACAACTCTCTCTCTCTGTGTGTCTATATTGTTTATCATCTCGTATTTTGTGTCTGTGGCATTTTCGGGGTGAAATTGTCGATGATGGTGAGAAAGATTGATTGATTGGTGTTGTGAAAATCATCTGTAACACATATGAGAATCAACCAACACATTCTTCGTCATTGCTTCGTCATGAATGGCAGTTTCAACTGATCATTTCATTCCATTGCCAATCCAACAACACTCTCAACTGAACACTGAACACTAAACACCAAACACCAAACACACTGACTGAACATAACATTAGTTAATGATCGTTGTGATTATCATGATTGTGACTATCGAATCTCTCTTCAATTATTGAGTCAGAATCATTATCCAAACAAAACCAAAACGAAAACCCCAAGCCATGACTGACGAGAATGGCATCCCGACTCGAGTTGGCTGCTACGAAATGCTCAAAACTATCGGTAAGTTGACATTATCACCACCATTCTCCACTCTCCAATCACCACTCTTCTCTTTACCAGGGAAAGGCAATTTCGCCGTTGTCAAGTTGGCTCGCCACACAATCATCAATCTAGAGGTAGCCATCAAAGTGATATCCCGCAAATCGTTGGAAGCCGACCAATTACGCAAATTGAATCGCGAAATCGACATCATGAAGCGCGTCGGATCGCATCGCAATATTGTCCGGCTCTATCAGGTGATGCAATCCGATCGACATGTCATGCTGGTCACCGAATACTGCGAAGGCGGCGAACTGTTCGAACATCTCAAAAACAAAGGAGCCATGTCCGAATCGAATTCCCGGTTCTATTTCCATCAAATAGTGGACGCTGTAAAATATCTTCATTCGAACGGAATCGTTCATCGTGATCTGAAAGCCGAGAATCTGTTGTTCACATCCGATCTTCGTTGTGTGAAATTGGCCGATTTCGGTTTCTCCAATTATTATTCGAACCAATCTTTCCTGTCCACCTGGTGTGGCTCACCACCATATGCAGCTCCGGAACTGTTCGAAGGCAAGCAATACAATGGCCCTAAGGCCGATATCTGGTCACTGGGTGTCGTTCTCTATGTTCTGGTTTGCGGCGCACTTCCCTTCGATGGCAACACATTGCAATCGCTCAAAACCAGGGTTCTTTCCGGCAAATTCCGCATACCATTCTTCATGTCGCTGGATTGTGAACACCTCATCCGCCATATGATGGTGATCGATCCGGAAAAACGATTCACCCTGAATCAGATCAAACAACATCGATGGATGATGTCTCAACAGCAATCCCGCCATCAATCAAGCGAATCGGAAAAGCTAAGTGATAGACTGAAAAACGTCCACATCGACACCGATGACAACGATAACAGCAATGATGTGGATAACTCGTTGGTGGAATGGATCGCATCCGAATTGGATGTCGATGCGGAAACGGTATTATCATCGATCCGAAACCGTTGCTTCGATGACCACTACGCACTGTACAGTCTTGTCAATGATTCTAGTCATTGTTCGGCAACTTTATCGGCCCCGCCTTCACCACCACTGTTACCGATCGTTCCGTCCACTAATCAACGTAAATCAAGTATTACTACCGGTATTGTTGAACGGGAACCAACGCCCACCAGTCTGGCGCCCACTGTTTCGCAAGTTCGTCGTCACACTTGTCCCGATGCCAATGCATCCGACAGTCATGGTGTTCATGGTGGTCCTATCCATGGTACGATGGTCACACCGACCTTGTTTCTCACGCCGCCGGCCATCACTGCACCAACAACCATGGCTCCTCCAATGTGTAATCTTCCTCTGGCACCTCCCAACTATCCGTTAACTATGGATCTATTGAAACCGCCACCGGTACTGTTATTGGCCAACAACAACATGGTTCGACGAGCATCCGATGGCCAGGCCAACTATGCGCGAACCACACATTCGGATGGCCCAACAACATCATCATCACCAACGTCATCGTCGCCGACAGCGAAATCGACCACTAACAAACCGATCGCTTCACATGCACAAACATCACCTCCAATCAGCTACATCAAACGCAAACGCCATTCACTCACCGACACCAATGAATTGATTTCCCGTCAACGACGAATGCAACTTGCTCAGGCCAATCTGAACGCCGAAAGGTAAGTCGCCAATCGCAAATTGAACTTTTCCCAATTAACTGATTGATTTTTTTCCGGGGAAGATCACGGAGAAGAGCCTCGGATGGATCGACGGCCGGCATCTTCAATCATCATCATCCTCATCCTCATCAGCAACAGATATCGATACCATTCTTGCAGAATGAATTGAGAGCTCTGTGTGTATCGTCGCCACCATCGTTACACGCTTCGCCGATTCATGGCAATCACCTTGCAGCTGGAGCAAAACCCAATTCATCGACCACATCATCATCACTGCCACCGTCATCGCCACCTCTAACCTTGCCTCAGATCAGCGAAGAAATCCACAAAACTGATATCCAACAACATGATGCTACGATGCTAATGCACAACAAATCAAACAACCCGCATCCATGCAGACATGCAACTGGTTCGTCAGTTCCGTTAATCACGCCTCCTCAGTCATTCAGATCGTCGCCAGTCACATCACCCAATCACGCCACACCATCCATATCGGTGACCGATGAATTGGGAGCCTCACAATTCCCCATCCTTCCGCCGCCGATCGATTTCCAGTTGGCCAACTCTCATCCCAATTTGGATCAAGATTCCAACGTCAGCAGCAAGGTGACTGCCGCCGACCTTCTATTCAATCGTCTGCATCGTTGGCGCAATGATGAAAGTGAGTATCGCTGCCCACCACCACCTCTAATCACCACCTCCAATCACCACGACCCGTATCCCCTCACCTGCACAGACTGAGAGAATGACCGATTTGTTTACTTTTCGTTTGATTGCAGATATTGTAGCGATGCTAGACCATTCGATTCCATCATGAATGAAGAATGCCCTTGTTATAAACACAATTGTTATGTTATTTCGTTATATTGAATGAACCACCCTTTCCTCGTGCCTTGAATATTATTAATATCATAATAAATGTCTGTCATAGTGATGAAGTAACGGCTAATCTCTTTCTTTCCATGCCTAGCATTGGAATCAGCTGCCAAATGCATTATGGATGCGAGCCACCATTCGCATCAAGCGATAGCCAACTATCCTTCATATCCCAATCTCATCAACGACGATCATCTTTCCGATGCCTGTTTCGACAGCCAACAACAACAACAACAATCGCCATTCTCGCATTACACAAGCGTACCGTGTGTGCTGAACAACAGCAAACAACTGACCACCACCGATTCCGGGTCGATATGCATCAATGACAGGAAAACAGCGGCCAAATTACTTAGTCATTTTGGTCATGACCAGCATCAGCTTACCAATTGTCGACAACATCACGTCCTCAATTATGGCCACACTCAGCTGCATATTTCCATCGAGTGGAATCAGTTACAGCAGAAACTTATTCTCAAACATGTTTCCGGCGATGCCTCGCAATATCAAAATCTTTGTCACGAATTGATATCCACCATCATCTAACCTCTCACCTCTCACCCCCATTCACATTCACACTCACCCCACTTGAAAGCTGTGAGCTAATCAATCAAACAAAATTGATGTTATTTTTTGATAATTAATAGGGACAATTTAATCAAATTAGTCTAATAAATGAATATCATTTCAATATTCAATATTCAATATTCAATGCTATTGCACTACCTGGATCACGTGATCGAAAATGCCATACGCGCGCGCTCACAACGTACAAATCCTGCAGGACTGTTCTGCATTTGGGCAACAACAAAACAACAAAAAGTCATATGCGTCGTTGATGCGTCGTCATTGATCGATTAATTCAATTGAATCGATGGTGACTGTGATGAGTGAATGATATTATTTGCTTGCAAACCATGAGTTCGTTTGTATTCATCAATCAACACGAAATCGAATTCCAAAATGATGCTCAGCAACCACAAACATTGACCATATTCAATCCATATGATTTTACCATTACTTTTACTTGTAAGTATTTGTAACTCTTTGCTCTCACATCACCCATTCTCTTGTTTCGCACCACCAGTCAAATCAACCCGTCCGGATGCATTCATATTGTCGGCAACACATGGCGATATTCTCTCACGACATTCTTTGGATGTGTAAGTCTTTATCTCTCTCTCACGGTCTCACTTTGCTTATCCTCATTGTTATTCATTATTGAACAGATTAATCACTTTGTTGGACAAAACGATTGTCGAGGAAAAATTTCTTATCAAAATCTATTCAAAAGAGAAAAAATTGGGTGAAAAAACTGTACGGGTAGCGTACAGGCCAGATGACCAACAGCAATCAGTGATGAGCACCACCTCAAAAAGACTGAAAAATGATTACTTTCACGACTTGAATGAACCGAAATCGATGACTTTCCGAATGGATGCCAATCAACGCACACCTCACCATCCGAATCCATCTTCCAATCAATATCTGATATGGACTGCATTGGCCATTTGTCTGATGATATTGCTGTTGCCTCACGAGCAATCTCAATATAGCTATCTACAAGTCGGAGTCAATGTCAAGATCTGCGCTGCATATGTCCTGGGCATCGTCACCGTGCTGTTGATTCGAAACTGACCAAAAAATAATGTAACACTATTCTGTAATTATGTACAAATTCCTTTCCACCAAACCAATTTCTCTTTGCTTTTTTTCTGTCGAATCGAATAAAATAATTTACAAATATTTATTTCATCATCATTATAATTATAATCTAATATTTAATCCAGGACATTTTCATTCTTAGTTCTTCATAGAGCGGAAGATTTTCCACTGGTCCAACGGCTGCCACCACTGGACAACGATCCCAGATGAAATTCTCTCCCAAACTATGGATCTTGGCCGAATTGACTCGATTGATTCGTTCGGCCCATTCTTCCAATGTGATTCGACGACCAAATCGCATTATATCGGTAGCAATGCTGTTGGCATTGCTAGCCGAACCTTCACGTTCACAAATCAAATTGGTCATCAGGGTATTTTTGCCCATCCGGATTTCATTGTTGGCCACTTCGATACACAATCGTTTCCATTGTGTCTGCAGATGCCAGATGAACTCTTCCAATTGCATTCGCTCGCCAACAAAGTAACTTCCCCAAAGTGCCGTATCCTTGTATTTCAGATTGAACGATTGAAATGATTGCGCCAAATGATCCATGTTGGAAACCATGCCCATATAACAGGACACATTCATGCCACCACCATGCGTCAGATCCCATCGACCCATCAGCTAATCACACATCAAACAAACCAATTAATCATTCAATCAATCAAACAATCAATAGAGAAAAGCACTTACAGATGCTGCAACATCCATGGCAATAAAATCCGGATCCGAATAACCAGGTCCTTGCACGGCAATGGCGACATGGGCACATGGCATCGAATCATCACGAACACGAATGTCACTACCGGTATAACGATTAGCCGTCAAACCTGGAATCATATTTTTCTCGAAAATGTTTGTCACATTCTTCATATGCTTCTCGCTGTCTTTGCAAATTTCATCATGATTGATTGGGCCACTGGCAGCAACAATCATTTGTGGCCCTTTGAATACGAGATCCAAACCGCGTTCAATATCGGCTTTGGTGAATCGTTCGATGTTTGCAGTGGGACCATATTTCGATTGTGCCAACGGTGTCTGCTGATAGGCCACCGAATGCAAATGATCCATGGTGACCTGTTCATAATTACTTTCCAATTCATTCAGTTCGTTGAGAATATATTTTCGAGTCGATTCGATTTCATCCGCATTCAGGATCGGATTCTGAATCAGATCGGCAAGAATTTCGACCGCTTTGGCCATATCTTTGGGTGCCAAAGTCATATAAAAACCCGATGAATCTCGTTGTGTGTGGGAATTGAGGATGGCGCCCAAACCATGCATATCTTTTTCGAGTTGTTTCTTGGCACGATTTTTCGATCCTCGATACAGAAGATGTTCGATGAAATGAGTAATACCATTCAACTCTTTGGGTTCGCTCGAACAGCCCGAATCAATCCATACACCAACGGTTGCCGATGGGGAATTAGTCTGTTCGGTAGCCACACGAATTCCGTTGCTCAGTTCGGTGACATTTGTTTGGCCACCACTTTTCAATGCATTACTAAACTTATGGGCCGCGTGATGAGAATATCGAACCTATTCCAACAACATTAATTCATCGATTGAATGCAATCAGACAGAACTTTGCCATAATACATACCCCGACACTAGCTTTGCCGGCCAGCAAGCTCGAACGAATCAGATTGAGGGCCATCAAAAACAAAGAATATTTAATCGCTAAGTTAACAATAAATGATAGTAAATGATAATTCGCGTAATTGAGGCGGCCAACACACAACAAATCACAGTTGCTGCAGAAAGTGACCTTATAAAAACAGATGAATAGCGACTATTGTTACCCGATCGAAATGATCCTTCATGTTGTTAGGCGTCATCTAGCGATCAATGTTGGAAATTCTTTTCAAAATTTTCGAATCTTCAAAATCATTCGAATTTTGATGGACCGTATAAAGTTTGATATAAACAATTATCATTGCAAAATCATTACATCAATGCAAACCAAACAAAACAAAATATTTAATCCAAACAAATTCAGTAGATTAATGTTTTTGTGGTCATTTTCAACTCAACTCAACAGCAAAATCGACTGTTGAATCAATTCCAATCAAAAACATTTGCCGACAAACTTCGATTAATATAGTGTGCCATCAAACAACTGAAAAATCACAGAATTTCAGAATCTGAAAAAAATTACATTGTATCGTAATGGTAAAGGTCATAGACATCTGCGTTTGGTTTATATTTGGATCATCATCATCCACAACAACATTTACTATCTAAATATTGGTTATTTATTCTAGCAACCAAACCAAAATGAAAACATCTGGATAAAAAGTTACAGCAGTGGCGATGATATCTCTGTCAGTCAAGATGATGATTGAAGAAAGCCATCATACTGGATGGATACCATATTTATACATAACATGGCCATATGGTTATTATTGTGCATATCATCATCGTCATTAAATCGAAAACCCATTAGCAACCATTCTTGCAAAATAACAATCAAATCAAATCTGTCAATTTTGTTTGTTTATTCATGGTTGCTTGTCAATCTGTCGACAATTTATGATCATCAATTAATCAATCCAATTCAATCTAATACACGAAATGTATCGATCAAAATTTGCAATATCTACATTTTTTGTTGTTGATCCAATCAACTTGATTGGCTACGAAAAAATTTATTGCCAGCCAACAGATAAAATCTATAGACATAATTGCCTAAAGTAATGAACAAAATGAAAAAATCTCAAATCGGGATTGTTTAATAAGAAAATGCCATAAATGGAGATTAGTCTCCACTTATATCTGATGAAAGATGATGACAAGCCAATTATTGTTAACCATAATAATAATTGACCATCATATTGCATCTTGTTGAAGCTATTATCATAAGCTATTATCGCCATATCGATAATTATTTCTCAAGTGTGCGCGCGTACCTCTTCGAGGTCAGGTGTTTTGAAAATCAACTAATAAAGGTCACGATTAATCGAATAACCTGCTATATCATGTTTGTCCTAAAAAGTCAAGAGGAGAACAACCAAAAACAAATTCATGATTCTTTTCTCAAGCATCATGATAAATGATGTTTGTCTGTTGTTTGGGTGCAGAATCATCATCATCATCATAGCACCTCTCTGTCTTTGGCAATTCGCCTCTGGAATCACTCACTTATCTTATGAAGATAAGCAAAATTCCTATGTGAAAACTAAACTAATCTGACTGACTGAGCACATCTGTTGTGTGCTGCGCAAATGATTATACCCATATGGAAATCTCATTGACATTAGTTTCCGGTAAAAAGTCTTTGCATCGATCATCATCATCATAAAGTTCGTGTCAAGGTGTGTGTGTGCGGATGACCAAAAAGCAAAAAATCCTGACCATATGTCTTGGTAAAATTACATCTGCTTGGTTGGTGGTTATCCATCTAATACATCACTATTTTTTCAATTGTAATCGAGCTGGACATTTGACCCTACTACCTTTCCATATAAATCATTCATCAAAATCGACACGCGCCACAAGTTTTTTTGTTTGTTTGTGTTTGGATCGCCAATGGTCAGCCATTGTTGGTGGTGGTGGTGGTGGTCAGCCAAACAAAATTCAATCAACAATGTTTGCAATGGGTCGTGTGTCCAACCAAACAGCAGTGATTTGATGACCCGATGGCTAATGGCTGTGTTCTGTGGTTCGTCAAGTTTTCTGTTAAATGAAATGAAATTAAAATAAATAAACCAAACCGAAGCCAAACGAAATCACTTTTGCAATCTTCTTCCAATCCTGAAATGGCCTTATGGACATCAGCATCACCAGCACCATTCTTAATGGTGGGTGGGTTGAACGCTGTTACAACAAACTAATACTGTACTATGCCCATGCAATGCGCGCCAAATACCAATTTTCAATGCAGGGAGAGAGAGAGAGATAGAAAGATTGGCCATCAAAATGAACAACATTGATCATTTCCATTTCAGTGATCGACTGAAATTCATTCACTCTGGTTGTTTTTATGATTCGAATGAGAATTTTATTGTTTTCAAGAAGCTTTTCAGAATGTTTTTATTACCTTTGACATCTTGAGAATTGGAATCTTTTCAAAGTCAAGTGAATGTTCAACTTTTGTTTTGTTTGCTGTGTGTGGTGAAACAAGTGAAATATCTAACATATCGTGTGTAGTTGCCGTTTAGGCTTTTCGATGAAACTTTAACTTTGCCGTAATAATCATTATCGTCTTCGTTCGTCGTCACAAGTGTTCGTTCAAGCCGTTGGCAACTTTTTTCTTTTCTCCAATTTTCTCTTTCTCTTTCGAATTTCAATTGATATTACCTTGGCGTTGTTGTTATTATTGTAATTCACCTGTGTCTCTATCTCGGTGTGTGCAGTGTATGTGTTTAGCAGTGTGCCTTCATTCCAATTCATTCATTCAGCAACAATCATCATGATCGAACAAATGTAATGAAATGGCTATTTGAGAAAAGATCATTATTTCAATCAGTGTTGTAAATATTATCTCCAATGCTATTATGTGTTATTGAACCATTTTGTTGACAGTGCGTGGATTTCGACCTTTGTGCTTCCAGCATCCTGATCATCATCCTGCTAATCTAATCGAATCAAGTTAAATGTGAGTACAATCGTTTGTTTGTTTTGTTTGGTGGTGATGAAAATCCCACAAAAATCACATCAGGTGTGTGCAAGTTTGATGTGTGCGTGCCTTTCAACGAGTATTCCTTCATTTGGATGAAACTCTATTTCATCCGAACAAAAAACAACAAAAAATCATTGCCATCATTCATCAAGCGTGACCATACATCTTTGCAATCGATAATGTTGTCTTTCTCATCACCACTGCATGCATAACCCTTTCGATTGCCATTCAAATGAATAGCCAGTGGCCAATGTTCATCATTTAATCATTTGATTGGTTTGATAGTAAAATTGGCCTTGAAATGTTATTAATACAGATGTCTGGTTGCTGTTGTTTTGGTTTCTGTTTCTGTTTCTCCTACACAGCATTTCTGATGGAAAAAAGTCCCATTCTACCAAGATTCTGGGTCATATTTTGATTAGTCAGTTGGATCGGTAGTGGTTTGATGGTTGTCATCATGTTAGTGCTGTTGAGGAAAGCCATATATATGCGTGTTTTTGCATTTGCTGCAACGACGTCGTCGACGACGAATCTGTTGTTTTGTCTGAATCGTGTGACAATTTTCCTTGTTGTTTGTTTGAGATGATGATGTTTTCTGCCCAAACAAAATTGAGTTTGGTTTCAGTTTGAGATGAAAATTGATTAACAACAAGTATAGAGCATCAGTTGCTAACCAAACCGATTCACCGGTATCATGTTTGAGTTGTTGCTGTTCTAGTTTTGTTAATTGATTGGAGTAAACATCAATTTCAATGCAATTATGATGGTGATGGATGTGACACAAATCGATTAACATGGTTGTTATCGAATTTATTCATTCATTTATGGCCCATATCATTATATCATCAATCCATATACCGCTACTACCAAGTTTCTCTGATTCTCTTCACTTTTGATGATTTGATATTGAACAAAGTTGTCAATTTCACTTATCGATTCACTCGTCAATTTTGAAAATTGACAAATTTCCTCATAATCCCCGCCTAACACGAAAAGATCTCGAATTTCTTCTCAAGACTTTTGTCGTTTCCGATGTGAGTGAAAACACTAAAAATCTTCAAATTCATTACATTAGTGAAAGAAAACCATCATGGCACACATGTGACATTTGAATTATATTGCCCTCTCTCTTTCTCTCTTCTTTCATTTTTTGATCATATCGAATGACACCAACATTTTTTCTTCGGTTTGTTTCGTGCACAAGTTTTTTCTGGCACATCGCCAAACAACAAACGGATAACGATAGAGACGACGACGACGACGACGTGTCCCGTTTGCTTGGTTTTTTTTGAATTTTAAAATAAATTTCAATGTCATCATTATTGATTGACCTTCGAAGATTTATGTCATTTTTTCTCTCTTTTTTATATGGTGCATTCCGTAAATATCGTGACCGTAATTTCCGATCTGATTTACTTTCACCCGAAGGACGACAACACTTGTCAAACTGAAACATTATTTAGTTAACTAAGTCAGTGTAAAATGATTTATCATATGAACGGTAAACAAAGCTAGATGTGTTTGTTTCTAATGACAATAATCTCTCGTCAAATCCAATGCAATACCTGTAATCTCGCGCCATTTAATCAATAGAACAGGTGTGGTGATTTTACTTGTACACATTCTCTTTTTGTTGAGGGAAATATTTTCAACAAAAAAAAACATAAAAATTAAACATAGTTTCAATCGATTTCGATTTCACACACAGCGTACATCCCAAAACCAGCCAGATTTGTGAATGTTTGTTTACCATTCTCACCACCAACCAAATATATTCTTGCTTTCAATCCATCCATTGGTCATTCACCACTCTTTTCCTGTGTTCAAATGTTATTTTCCAAACTTTGAAAATTGTGCATTTTTTGCTTTCAACCAAAAAATCGAATCGGGTTTGTTATTGTTTCGAATCATGATCATCATAATGATGATTTGTTGTTGTTATTATTGTTTTTGTTGCAACATTCAATAGCCTATGATATCAATTGCCCATTGCACACACACACACAGTTTGATCGTGAATGAATCACCCCGAAACAAATCAAATCGATGAATGAATGAATGAATGAACGGTCAATTTATCAAAATGCCTCTATTTCGGTCGTTTGCTGCACAAAATGCACAAAATGACCGAAATGAACTTATCCTATAATGATGTTGATGGTTGCCACTGTTCGATTGATCGTCATCATCATTATTATCCGAATAAAAAACGACTGAATAACTGAATGAATCATCATCATCTTCAGTTTTGGTTTATTTTTGGAACCGTTCATCCTTGATTAATCCGTTAATCAATGTCTTTTAATATGATGATCAGATTAAGTAGAGTTATATGTCACATGATTGAGGGAGAAAAGAAACTTTATTTAAACTTAGAAACTGATCCTCTCATCTCATCTCTCATCATTGGATCCATACTTGTCACAAGCAATCATCATCAACATAAATGATAAGCCAAGCCTCTCTCTCTCTCTCTCTCTCTCTCTCTCTCTCACTGGATGGATTGGACTTTGCGATGTGTTTTATTAGAAAACAATGAACATCACTTTGTTCGATGTGAATGGTGATACTACCGGTAGTATCACCATTGAAATTAGTAAACAAAGTTTGATGACAAAAATAGTCAAATATCCACTCAATTCATTGATTGGTGGTTGTTGTTGGATACTGACAAGCAGTTGTACTGAGATTATAATCATTTCCATGGTTTTTGTTCGACAATGTTGATGATGATAACCATTACACTATTACATATCCATATCCATCATCAACACACAAACTGCTCATCAAATGAGTGTCGTGTGAAAAAGCCAACCACACACAACAATTAATCCTAAACAAGTGAGTTCGCAGCAAACCATCTGGGTATTCAAATGAATGTTATTATCATTATCTGATTAGCAATGTGAACAAGACAAGACACCAAGCACAAGCATAAAACAATTGCTGTTTAATTTGCATTAATTTCCGTTCATTTTGTTGATTCATTCATTGTGTTTGACATCATTTCCTTTGCTTTGATAAAACATAATCTAATCAAACTTAATGAAAATGTTTTCATTTCATTTTCCTGTCACAATCGCAGCCAAATCAAATTCAACCATTCAACCAAACTAAACTGAACAATGGAAAACGATCGAACCTGGCCGCTTAATGTCATCGTTCATTATGGCGGCAATATGGTGGAAAAGAAAAATGCCGATGTGGAAATCCTTGTTCGTGGCGAATATGCCATCGGGCATGTAATGGCTTTGATAGGACAAAAGATCGGTAAGTTGATCGGTGTGATTGATTCCATCAATCGATATTGTCATTGTTCAAACACAGGCACCCAACATGATTGGTCGGATCATGCATTATGGTGGCCCAGCAAAAAACGGTGGCTTAAACATTGTCGCATGACATTGGACCAGTTGGACGTATGCCGCAATACAAGGCTCGAATTTCGACCAATGCATCAAACACTACGCATTCAATTTCCCGACCTTAATGTTGACGAACTAAAAGTCGACTTTTCCGTCAACGTATTGACAGCCGTGGCTAAACTATGTCAAGTGATCAACATTAGTCATCCGGAAGAATGGTCATTGGCAAGGCCATTGACCAATCGACAATTGAAACGCAATGATCACCATCTACAGGCAAGTCCATTACAAAGGTTTCCGGTCAACACCAGCACATTGTCCGGACAGAAAAGCAACAATAACATCTACACTAATCACACCATCAATCATTCGAGCGGCAGTCTTTTATCGCAAAAGTCCTACACCACAATTTCATCGAATGGTTCATCATCGATGAATGATTCTAATCACAGTCTTAGCTTGTCATCGTCATTATCCTTACCAAACAACAACCCTTCCACATTATTACCACATCCAAAAACATCAGTGCAAAAAGCGCGTCTCAATTCGGCGTGGCTTAATTCATCCATATCGTTATTCGAACAGGATGTTTGCGAGAATGATCTACTGTTGTTAAAAATCAAATATTATGCATTTCATCAACTCAAATCTTCTGAATTAACTCGAGTCAATTATCTTTACGAAAATCTAAAACGAAATATTCTTCAAGAGGAAATATCCTGCACCGAAGATGAAATGTACACATTGGCTGCCATCATGCTACAAGTCAGCTATTGCAGTGGGGAAAATAAATCCTCCACCAACGGACACAACCCAATCCAACATCGACAATATTCACCCAAAATCAATGGCAATGGTCATCATCACCATCACCATCACCATCATCATAACCATACCCATAATAATCATCATAATAACAATAACAATACCAATGGAAACGGATTGAACGGTTCGATATCGTCATCATTCAATGATATCGATGAAGTTGACTGTGCATTGGAAACGTTGGAAAAAGAATTACAAACAACTAGTCTGGGCGATAAATCCAATGGGAAAAGTCAGGTTCCAATATTGGATGGTCAGTTGAAAATATCATCTCAGAAAATCAAAAATGCCACATCCACACTGGCACGAATCCGATCCACCATTACAGGCGATCGCACTTATTATGCAATATTTCGCGAAACAACATTATACGCTTATCGCAATACACAAGATTTAACCATTCCGGCCATCACACTGGATATGGTTAGCTGCGAAGTGAATCCGGATGTATTGGCCAGTCAACATCGATACTGTTTCCAGATTATCGATTCGAATCATGGATTATGCTATTACGTCAAATGTCAGGATGAATCTCAATACGCTAAGTGGTTTGCCGCATGCAAACAGGCAACCCATGGCCACACAATGGCACATTCATCCTATGATCAACAATACAGTCATACATTGAAACTATTGCAAGTTCAATCCAAATTCTCGCAAACCAAAAATGTCAGCAAACAACAACTCAAAAGTTTGGATATTGAGCCCAGTCATTTCATCGCGCCTAGATTTCTGAAACGCAAATCAAAAGAACAGGTAAGTCTGATCAGTTTGATGATGATGATGATACTAATTTTTGCCTCACAGATTCTAGCCCGAATCAAAACAGCACACGAACTATTCAACAATAACACATTGATCGAAGCGCAGATGAATTTCATCCAAACATGCCAAACCTTGAAAGATTATGCCATCACGTTGTTTGTCATTCGATTTTATAAATCCAAAAAGGAGGTTTGTATTGCTCACATTGTTTGATTGTATTGTATTGTTTGATTGGCTAATACTAATTTTTCTATCAAACAGGATCTACTCGGTGCTATGCCCGATAAACTGGTGCTCATCGATATCAACAATGGAACATTGAAAAAAACATGGAGATATAAAAAGATGATCGACTGGAATATTAACTGGGAAGTGAAACGGATGTCCATCAATTTTGGCGTTGAAACCTTGGAATTCGAATGCATCAGTGCCGATTGTAAAGTGATCCACGAATTCATAGGCGGTTATATCTACATGTCGATGCGCGGCACTCAGATCGATTCGTTCGATGCCGAGCAATTCCTCAAGTTGACCGGCGGCTGGAATGAAGATGATGTTGTCAATAATGATGACGATGATGATGGCGGTAGCAATGGTAATGACGATCACATTACAATGTGTCGACGAGAAGCCTGGGCCAATCTTCATCCAGGTCTGATGGTGAAATGAATGTTTTTGTTGTTGCACATATTTATTAAATTGATTCGAATAATAAAAAGAAAATGAGAAAAATTTAATTGCGTTTTAAATTACAATAATGAGCAAATAATTGATTGATTGAGAAAAAATGGATGACTAAATATTCTACACAAAGTGCGATTGTTGAGTGAAATAATCGATGCGCGAGCGAATGAAACAATGATCAAGACCATGCGACAAAGTTTTGGCACATATGAATCGTTCCATATGGTGTGTATAATAATAAATAAATGATATTTCCATCTTTATCATCATATATGATTCATCACAGTGTCAGCAATAACTTTAATTGGTCTTATGGCCATCAGAACGATTGATATTGGTCCAAAACTGTTCCATCGGATCGACTGGATTATATGTTCCATTCATTTGTTTATAGTAGATGTCCATTTCTGGTGGATATGGATCGCCCGAATGAAGACGTAATTTAGGAAGCATCTTTTTCAGATTATCTTTGAACGATGCTAAAACGTTCTAAATGTTTGAAAAGGGGGAATCGAATGGATTAGATCGAATTGGATATAGAAATCAAGATTGTATTCTACTCTACTTTTGGTTTCGAATCTGGTTCGGATGGATAGTGGACTGGTGGATACATCATTGGTTGATTACTATTGGGAGGATATTGTTGTCGATTATGATGCGCCATCATTGATGGATTTGGAGCAGGATAGGGCGCGACAGGATGAGACTGTGGATACGATGGATATTTTGGCTCAGCAACATTCAAGCTAACGCCAAGCTTTGGTGCGTTCTCAAACTCCTGATTTCTACTGTCCTGTCGTTTGTAATATGAAGAATAACCAGGATCGGCATTGATCACAATACTTTTGTTTATCTCAACCGGCCTATTCGGCTTTGGATAGGAATTTGTCATGGGGGCATACGGTTGACGATATTGGTGCGCAATCGGTGATGGCTTGGCATAATTTCGCATCGATTGTGGATACATGTGCGGTGTTGGAGCCGGATATGAATGTAATGGTTTTGGTTGAGCATAGGCAATTGGTGAGGGTTGCGTCGGTGGATATTGCATCGGTGGCAACGGTGTAGATGGATAAGGTCGTTGTGATTGTTGTTGAGCTGTGGATTGCTGCTGTGGTGGTGGAGGATATGTGTATTGCATTGGTCGATAGGATGTGTGAGGATATTGATAGGATTGTGGCGGTGGTGGTTGCTGATATGGTTGAGATGTGGGTGGCGATGGTGTTTGATATGGTGGACCGGGTCTTTGTGCAACATTTGGTTGTGGTTGTTTTGCGGAATAATTTGGCTGCCGATATGCCATCTGTTGCGGTGATCCATATGGCGATGGTGGCATAAACATTGGCATCGAGAATGGCCCATAAGCCATATGTAGAGGGGGTGGCGGTGGTGGCGGATAAGGCATTCCTGGTCCAAACATAAATGGCGGCATCATCGGTGGCATCGGATATGGCGGATATGGTGGCATCATCATTGAAGGTTTGCTTGTCGTTGGTGGTGGAGCTGTAGTGGTGGTGGTAGTTGTGGTCGTTGTTGATGGTTCAGTTTCATTATCCTCATCGTCATCATTCTCTTCGAAACTGGATGGTGTGTCATCTTCATTGCTTTCAGTTTCAGGTGCTTCAGTGGTCGACGTGGTGGACTCTTCTTGTTCGGTGGTACTTTCCATTTCTCGTTCCTGATCATCACTGGTGTTTTCTTCACTATCATTATTATCGTTGGACGATGAATCTTCATCGGCATCATCCACCGGTGCTACAGTGGTACTGGTAGATACTTCTTGCAATCGACGCGATTTGGTCCGTTCTTTTTTGGTTTGTTTAACATTTTTATTTCTATTTTGGATTAAATTTTTGTTTCTATTCTTCATTTTTTCTTGTAATTTGGGTAATGTTTTTGGTTTTTGATTTTTCGGTGGCCGACGAAGTTGTTGGGAGAGTTGAGTGGTCGTCGTACTTGTTGGTGACAATGTTGTCGTGGTCTTTTCATCACTATCCAGCAAAGCGATAGGATTGTTACGTAAATCATCCAGATTTGTCAAAGGTATTCGTTCTACTTTGACAATATAATCCTGATGTTGTTTAGGAATTTCGGGTACATCATATTCATTGAACGGTGGCAATGGAATATTTTCGATACTTGCTTTCGGCAATATTCGAACAACATTCAATGGTGATGGTGTATAGTGATCATTTGGTCGAACATTAGTTACGTTTTGTCGATCTATCAATCGAAAAGTAAATGTCAATCGTTACTATTATTCAATTAAAGATTTAAAGACTTACAATCACGGTCGAAAAAGGTGTTTGTCGGTGGCGGTTGAATTTGCGTCAATGATTGTCGTTGATTCCAATGTTGTTGATTGGGTGATGAGTAACTTTGGTTTTGTCTTGGTTTCCATTGATTGGCATTGTTATTATTGTTATTATTGTTATTATTGTTATTATTATTATTATTGTTATTATTGTTGTTCTGAAATATAGAATCCCAATCAAAACCAGTCAATGTGATTGGTTTTCGATCGTTGAGATTTAGATTTTCGGTTGTCAAATCGAGAATTTTTCTTGGCGTCGAACTGATTGTTGTTGTTCGAATTTGTTCGTTCGATTGAGATTGGGTTGAAACTGGTTGTGAATATCGTTGGTCGGCAACATTCTGTACATTAATATTGCTGATCGGTGGCAGGATAGAAATTTGATCACGATTCGATTTCGTTTGTGGCGTGATGCTAAAATCGAAATCCTTTCTTGTCGGTGTAATGACTGTGTAAATAGAATTATCCGGTGTCGAAGTTGTTGTCGGTATCGGTTGTGAATTCGAAATGTAATTGCGTTGTTGTTGTTGCTGAATTGGATAATTTGCTGTCGATTCTATGATTGCCGTTTTTGTAGGAATGGAAGTAACTGGTCTATCATCATTCCAATTGATTGAATCTTGAAAATTGATAGAAAAATTTGAATTGAATGCATCAGTTTCTCCAAAAACAAACTTACCGATCAAATTCTGTTTATTCTGACGATGGATCGGCGATGATGTTGGTGGTTGTCGTGGATATTGTGGCTGTTGGGGCGGTAAAGTAAGCGGCAAGGATTTTTCGGTTGTTGTCGCTATAATGGACTTTTGTTTGTGTTGATTGCGATCATCATTTTGTCGATAATATTCCAACAATTGCGTCAATTGATTTTGATCAATTTCGGCAATTTGATTATCATAAGAAGCAGGTGGCCTGGGAGAAGACGATGGCTGTTGTGGCTGCGGTTGATATTTTTGATTTAAGCTTCCTTTAGGATAAAGTATGTAATTTTCGGTTGGTATATCTTTCTGTGGTTGCTGTTGATTATTGCTAATTGTAGTTGTGAACGGGGTTGAATAATAAAACTTGTCACCATCATCCTCATTGTTTGCTACAATAGTGTGAGAAAGGGAGAAAGAAAGAGAAAGAGAAAGAGATATAATTAGTGAGTGTGAATATAATTATCATAATAATGGATAATGGCCTCAAGGATCAATGTTTCTCATCATCAAATCAATCATCAATTAAATATCAGCCAAGAGCAAGGACAAGATCTTGACCTAATCACAATCGATAAACGAAAACAAAACAAAATAAATAACCCCCATCATCATAACTAATTAATGACCAAAACATAATGGGCCAATAGTTCATTCAACAAACAAACAAACAAGATGCACTGAAAACTAGTTAATTTTCATTCATTGAAATGGATATGGAGGTCAACTTACATGTTTGCTTTTGATTAGTGAATTTGTTGTTGTTGTTATAATCAACAGTTCTATCGAGAGAATCAATCGATGATGATGTGCTAGTCGATTTGATCGGTATAGATGTGGTGTAGGGAACAAATGGTTCATTATTTATCAATTTATCCGATTGTTGTGAGGATGGTGGTCGTCGTATTCGGTAAATATCGGTAGTTTTTCGCTGAGGATTAGTTGTTGTTGATGTTCGAGATCGTTGATGACCGGATATCGAAGTTGAAAATGATGGGGATTGTGTTGTCGTTGTGGTGGTGATTGCCGCAATTTTCGGTTTCGGTGTTTCAAAGAAATCTATCGAAATAAATAAAATAAACAAAAATAAGGCAAAACAACAAGATTAGTATTACAGTGAAAGGGTTTGCTTTTTGAAAGAACACAACTTTTTGACTTTTCACCACCCCCGAAATGATCATAAACACTTAGATAAGGTGTATTATCATAATAATCGACCATATCATCTTGCTGTTGTTCATTATTATTAGCATTATTGTCATCATATTGAACAAATCTATAGATGACATCATCATCATCATTGTTCGGTTTGATACCGGCATTCACATAGCTCAAGGCAATTATCAATATAAATGATACAACTAATTTGGCCATTCTGATGCTTGTACAGTGATCATGACTGTTCAAATGATCAGACCTCAACTAATTGAACGATACGAAAAACAATTTCAAACGAAACAAAACGAAAAACAAAAAAGAAAGAAAAATAAAACCAAAAGAGACTCCGATGTTTTAAAGACAATCATCATGCTTATCATCAGATAGATTGCTTTATGAAATAATATATTTTCCCATAACTAAAAGAGTCGGACTGACATTAACGGACGGACAAAAGAAATGAAGGGAGTGAGAGAGAGAGAAAGCGAAATTCATCCATTTAATTCATTCTTAGAAAAGGAAATACAGTGTGGCTTGATGTCTACACTGAATCAATGAAAAAGATAAACGATTCAAAACATGAATAAATTAACCATTGCTAAATTAAACGAAAAAAACGTGCATGTATTTCGCATTATTATTTCGAGATTCATACGGAAATAGCGAATCTTTGTTTTCCTTTTCGCAAAAAACGATGGCCTATGCAAAAATAACTAAAATCAATCAATAACTGATAAACAATGTCATTGCTTGCCTCGGGCACATCAACATCATGATAAAAATATTATCACATTTTTTCTTTCGGATGACAACACTCAGTTTAACATCTCCGTTGTCCGTGTAGAAGATGATAAACAACTTAATAATCACATAGAAAGATACACTCAACTAAAGTAAAACTGAATGAATGAAAATCGGTCACTAATATTAATTAGATAACTTGTTTTTTTGCTTTGAGGAAAATTGTTAGTTGGAGAAAAGAGTGAAATGTCAATAATCTTTCTTAAAATATCTACCTTTTGATGATTGATTTGGTGGTCGCCTTGGTTGATCACCATCATCTTCATTCATCATTGTGAAGAGATATTCATAGGCTTTATTTCGGTCATAAGTACCGACATTGGAATCGAAATAATTTTTCAATTCAATCCCTTGGCCAGCACCACCACCACCATCGTTATTATCATCGGATGCAATTTTGATGACAGGCGACTTCAATCGTTGATGATGCGAATGACTTTTGCTTTTCGTCGACCATTGTTGCTGTTGCTGTTGATTTTTATCATTACCGTTAATCATCACTTGAATGGAATCGCTAGATTTCGGCGGTACATTATCGAAACGATGAAGAATCGAAGATTTATTGTCGAATGAAAATCGGGATAGACTAGCAAAATTATCCGACAACAAGGGCGGTTGCAAGTGAAAATGATGATTATTTGTCAAAATGGTAGATTTGTTTTGGTTGTTGTTGAATTTGTGTTGTTGATGAACATTTTCCAAATGAAAAAAAGATGACTTTTTCTGACTGTCATTGTTTGGCGGTTGATTGTTGAAATCTGGTTTCCATTCGGTATATTTATGATTATTGTTTGAAACGTGATTCATATTGTTGGATGGTGGGTTATTATGATGATGATCATCATCCCAGATGACTGCCATTAGTTTATTATTTAGATCGAAATGATTTACATCTGGAGCCATATTGTTTGGGTTATTGTTAAGCCTGCTTCTATCATCTGGAATGATCGTTTGTGAAGGATTGCCATTACCATTACCATTATGATTATGATTATGATTATGATAGTGGCCATAGTCATAACCTGGATATTTGATATGGGCCATATTAATATTGCCATTTTGATAATGAGGATCCATTTTATCATTAAAATTCTTTAATTTTTTCTTCTTATATCGCTGTCCATTCTGCACATCATTATTATTATTGGCAAAACTGGAAGCATATATGACCGGAAAATCCTCCAAAACTAAATTTCAAAAAAGTGAAAAAAACCAGAGAAAATTGAGGCCATCATCATTTCGATTGATTCAACTAAAATAAGCTTATTATTATTATTAGTATTAGTATTGAGCTAGGTAATCTAATCAATCAAACAAACAAAACTAGCAAAGATGTTTGTTGTATGAAATAATAAAAAATCTATGTAAATCGTCAAAAAGAGTGAAAAGTAAAAATATCTTAAAATATCCATTCACACAAACAAAGAAAGAGGCCATCTTGAAGATGATTCATGAATGAATGAAGGTGAGAGGTTGAAAATAGAAAACTAACAACTGAAAAAAATGATCAAACACCGATTGTCATGATGATAATGCAATCCATAACTGAAAAAGGTGTGAGAAACAAAATCACTATGCCAACAATGACATTCAAAAATTTAAAAATAAAATCTCACTCTTCTTCATCAAATTCAATTCGTTTCGATTTCTGGCTGCCCATCACAATTGTGAATCCACACAAAACAACCAAAAATACTACATACCCTTGACAGATGATGCCGATGATGATGATGATGGTAAGGATGGTGATGCCATTGCTACTGGTCTCCGTTCAACAATCACACGATCCACACCATCTTTATCATCGAACATTTGGCTTACAATTTCGGAATATTTGCTGCGTTCATCTGCTGTTGTGGCTATGTTATTGTTTGTTTGTCAAAAAATGGAAAATGAAAAATTTGGTCACGATTCGTTTGTTTGTTTATTCAAGTTTACCTCCATTATTTTTGTCATTCGCTTGACTTGCATCTTCATACAATTTGAATGGATCGATTGTTAATTCAGGACTTTTATAGTTGCCAAATATTGATTTAATATCTATGCCTGTTATTTTTAAAAAATTAAATTAACTTAATTTAGAAGAAAAGATCCAATAGACTTACTTTGTGGTGAATAAGATGCTGCACTTGTTTCGGGACGGTCAGGTTTAGCCACTGCGAACATGAATGGAGAAAAATAGAGTCATCTCTAATGATGAAATATAGATTGATTTGGATTACCTGTTTCGATACGTTGACTTTCAGCGGGCATCATCATCATCATTAGATAATCATCAAACTCATCATCGTTAAGACTGGAAATATAGTGATTATTTCTATTACTACTACTATGGTTATCACTATGATTGCTCTTTGCTATTGGCATTGATTTTGTCGAATCATCCGTATTGTCCATATAATCAACATCAATTGATTCTGGTGGATTTTCGTTGATGGTCGTTTCTAATGCAATCATGGCTATTGTTTGATTGTTTTTAACCTTATTACTCATTGACGATGATAACGATGATAAAGACGGTACATAATTGTTAACAATTTGATTCCTGTCATTACCATTGTTCAATGATGATGTTGTATTTGCCTGAGACATTGAACTGTGGTCAACATTGAAATCATTCAACGATAACGTTGTTGTTGATGATAGTCGTGGTGGCTTAGTTGTTCGTCGTCCATATTTGTGTTTCGAAGAAGACGAAGATGATGATGATGATAATGTGGCATTGTTATTGGATAATTTTCGTTGACGTTTCTTTTTCTTTCGTCGTCTTCGTTTGGTTGTTGTTGATACTGAAGGCGATGTAGTTGATTTGAAATCTGTTTTTAGGCATTGAATAAATTGATTATTAGATTATCATGGCATGGCATAGCATTATCAAAATTGACACTTACCATTGGATTGTGTGGGTATGAAAACCGGTGCCGGTAGTACAATATCATCATCATCATTGTCTTGATCATCAACTGGAACATATGAGCGGTTGTTGCTCGATTGTTTATCGATCATAATCGATTTCGATAAGAAATTAGTTTCTGTTAAGTGTGTCAATAGATTAGTCATGTCATGATATCGATATGGCTATCATTCAACTTTTGGTTGATGAAACGAAAACTTACTTGGAGCTAATGCAGCTGTGTAAGGAACTGATGATTCTTCTTTAATATTATCATCATAGAAAAGAGGTGATTGAGGTAATGATGATGATGATGACTGTTGCTGCCGTTGTCTTTCGTCGAGTTGATTTTTTTCGAAAGTTATGGAAAAATCCTGAAAATTTTCATTCAAATTTGTCGGTATCGAATCATTCGAATGGAAACGTTCATTTGTCTGTTTGCTAAGATACAAAACATCGAGATGATGATGATGATCATCTTGATCATTAAATAGAGATACATTTTTGGCCTATATCAGGAAATTGTTAAAATTAATTACAAAAAAAGCCTTTTTTTACTCTCATTAATTTTCCACTAACCTTGTTGATTGTGGTTGATTGACAATAATGATAATTATTATAATTAATAAATGTGATAATCATCACTACAAAAACAAATGGGTGAATATAACACGAAGAAATTGATTAATTTTATCAACTTACATCTGATGAATGCAACATAGGCCATCATTAATTTGATTGATGAGCGAAGATTCTGTCCAAAACAAAAAGAAATTATTTGGCTTTCGGATTCGAATCGGATATGTTGAAATAGCAAAAATAACAACCAATGTAGAAATATTGGCTATTTTCAATCGAACACACTTGACATTCTTCGAAAAGAATCCCTTTTCGCAGCTATTTTTGTGTCATTCAACGTTGTTTATATGTTTGATGACATTGATGCATTGAAACAAAGCAAATTCAATTCGATTTGGTCAACAAAGTTAACTATTTTAACGATCACAATAGCATCGACAAGGCGAAAGAGGACAATCGATTTTCAAATTTAAAAAGTCGAAAACACCGATCGACAACCAACAAACACTGGTGAATTGTGGTCAAATGAAATATGGTCAAATCGATAACAGTAAGTTGAATAAATATTATTCATGAATTGTTCACATTTGGTGACAATTATCAGATACTCAACATGATAATGGTGATCTTTGTTGTTGTTGTTGTTGGTGAATCAAAAGAGAAAAATGTCACTATTGAACAATATTCACACTACAATAAGATGAAGAGAGTATGCTGTTTCTTTTCTTTTGCAAAAATCATCAAAATGAATCCGAAACACAAACACCATTCATGAACGAATGACCAAGAAAAAAGTCGGCTAATGGTATTCAGGTGGTGATGATCATCATTCGGGCCTGGTTCTCATGATCATAATGATGAGAGAGTCGAGAACAATCGTGGTTAATGGAAGAAAGAAATGAATTGAATGAGCAATCACTATTTATTCAATTCAATTCAATTGGACACTTTTTGGTTAATATTGAATAACGGGAAATGAATAGAATTCGATCTGGGTGAGTTGTTGATTAAGGATCCTTCCAAAACATTGAATCAATGATATGACATGACACATCAAATCCAATCCAATGAACTGAACACAAATATTTTCCAACATTTCTGCTGATTAGAGCCAAAAAGGCATCTTTTCTTTCAATTGAAAAAGAAGAAAATTATCTCAAGAAAGAGATGAGAGCTTGGTTGGTTGGTGTGGACAAATATCGTTCAAAAGAGACCATAATCATCATCATCATCATCATCAGATAAGTAATTGAAAAAAATGAGCACTATGTTAATGTTAATGTAAGTTTAGTTTAGTTTGACTTCAGATTAAATAAACTGCCGATCAAACTGAAAATCGAATCGAACCGAAAATAAAACGAATAACCGGAAACTTTCTTTCTTTTTCCCCCAAATAGATAGTGATGGTGAGAGTAAAACCAGAAACATTTTCTGCCCACCATTCCTAATCATTTATAATTTGTTCGACAAGCAAAAACGAAAACGACGAAAACTCTCTCCCCTTCAATATGGCCAATGGATGATGAATGTTTTTCTTGAAAAGAAATTACTTTCGTTTCAAGAAAACACATTTTTTTGTTGGATCAATTTTTGTCACCGAAAAAAATGAATGAAAAATGCCATTTTTTACCTGTATGTATGTATGGCATCTATGTCAATTGGAATTTGGCCGAATCAAAACGAACGAACGAAAAAGGAAGATGTATCCAAATGGCTGCACGCAAATCTCATGCATGATGATGATGGCCAAAAATAGTAAAACAAAAATTTCAAATTTCGTGATTGAACATCCAGCTTTCCCTAACTCTCTGTTTGTCCATTTTTTTAGTTTCAAATCAAAGTTAAAAAAAACAACAATTTTCCATAACGAAAAATCCATTGGAATCATTTCAGGGTGGTGGATTATCCCATTGGAAAAGCTATAGAATTTCTTTGGGAAAAAAACTGTCAAAAATCATCATTCAGTAAAGGGTAACCGTCATTCAATTTACGCAAAAATAAAATAATGATCATCTCCATTATAATCGATCATCAACAAACAGAAAAAAACAGCCAAATTTAGATTCAGGGTGTCATTCAAAAAGCATTATCATTGTCATTGTGTCATCATCATTGTTTTTTCTCGGCAAAATTCCAACCAGAAAAAAACTTTTTCAAAAAACCAAAAAAAACAAGGGATAAAAATCACACCAAGTGACAATCGATAATTAGATTTTGGCCGCATAATGTGTTGGAAAAATCGGAAAAAAATTCAATTTGGTTTTGTGGTGGCAACAAGATAAGTCAACTTTTTCAAAATAAACCGGTCAAATGGAAAAAATATTTGACATCGTTTATCGTTGGAAATGAAATGAATGACAGCCAATATCGTCCTGAAGTTTCTATTTTAGATGTTTGGCGAACCAGTTATACATAATCATCATATCTGGTGGATCATCAGCCAGCCAGCCAGTAGCACACATTCCAAATGATATGCACATTTTTGGCTGACTTGATTAAGTTCACTTTTCATCATCATGATTGATCAATCATCAAACAAAACAACCAAATATCGATACATTTCAACTCAGCTAAAGGTGGTGATAATTTTTTAAAGAAAAAAGAGCATCTTTATTTTAATTATCTGGTTACAAGTATCTCAATATAGTGTATAGTGGTTAAATATAAACATAGAAAACGGTCATCATCATGATCATCAATCAACAGCATCGTCGACGTTTTGGTTTTATATAACAAGGTCCAGGTGGACAATCAACCACGCGGCAATTTTTCGGCGGTCGTATTACTGGGTAAAATTGTCCATCACTTGTTACATATTGCAATGGTGGCGGTGATAAATGTGGATAATAACAATAACGACTATAATATGGATAATAATATGCCGATGAAATAACCGGATAAATTGGGCCCAATATCAACATTGTTTTTAATTATCTTTCTCTGCAGGATTAGTTCGAGCGTTTGAGCGATGAATGAATGGCAATGGAAATTACGCAGTTATAAAACAAAATTCCATATACCATACTATATAGAATACGCCTACGTTAAATGATTGTTGAAATTGATTGATGATGTTTTCGTTTTTGTCGTCGTAGTAGCAATGGTGGCGGCAGCATCATCGTCGTCGATTTGAACAAACGGATGATCTTCGCGGATATGAACAAGGACGTTGTACAATTACAGGTGCTGGCGGTGCACAGACTCTTGTGGTATGGCTTATAATCGATACCGATGGAACTATAGCCGGTACGATTGGTGTTGGAACAATTGCAGGATAACCAGCCACATTCATCTGATAACATCGGCGACAACAACGATGTTGTAATGGATAACCATAACAGCTGCACATTGTCATATAGGCATTGGTGGTGACCAATGGTACGCTTAAACCTACGTTGAAGAACATTATGAATTGATTGGAGTGCTTTAGAAAAATGATTATCGATACGTTCGAAACGTTATTTTTATAGATACCATCATGATGGAAAAAATTCTGTCAAATCATCTATCGAAGGGAGTAGAAGAAATTGTTATTAGTCATTCAATCATTAATGGGTGGAAAAAACCGTACCTTTTTTGTTTGGTAAAATAATGGTGGTGATTTAAGTTTTGCAAAGATTTGTGATTTGTGAATATTTTATTTATTTAGCATCAAATATTATTCATTAAATAATAAACAAACAATGAAAAAATAAGTAATAATTTTGAATGAAACAAAATTTTTTTGCCCATGTTTTTAATAGATAAAATGCATTCCAATTGAAAAAGGATAGAGAAAAAAGCATTCCAATAATTCAATGATAGAGTGAGGATGAAACGCATTTTCATGTTTTGATTTCAAGGATTTTTTAAAAACATTATCACTCTTACAGTGAAACTATTTCACCTGGAACATCGGCCTGAGATTCGCCAACTTGTGCATTCGCATCATTGACGGCGACTTCATTCTTGGGCGCTTCTTCGATCACCTCACCATTATGATGGTGGCCATTTAAAACGTTTTCCACCTTGGTATCATTAGGTTGTTGTTGTTGTTCAGCTAATTTGGTGGCCGCTACGGCAACAACATCGACATTAGCTTGTTGTGAATCATTCTCTTTATTCGTATCTTCCATCATTTCGGCTGCTTTTTCTTCTGCCACTTTTTCAGCGGCAATTGGTTCTTCTTGTTGTTGACTTGATGCAACGGTTTCGACTTGTTCAGGTTGAGATTCGACTGGTTCGTTTGTTGTTGCTGGTGGTGGTGGTGGTTGACTAGCGATTTCGGGCACAAGTTTTTCTTCCGATTTTTCAACCGTACAAACTTCGGATATCTGTTCGACCGGATTCTCTTCAACTTTTTCGATAACTTCCGATTTCTGTTCCTCATTTTTAACTGCTTCGGGTTCTGCAACTGGCGGTGGTGGAACAGTTTCAACCGATTCAACAGGTTCCTGTTGAGTGACTGGTGGTGGCGGTGGGGCAATCGATTCCGATTCTTTCATTGATGTTTGTTCATCAGCAGCCGGTTCTGGTGTTTTGGCCGCTTCAACGACTGGTTCATTAGTTTCCTCTTTCACCGGTTCGTTAGGAGCAGCAACCGCTTCGGCAACTACAGGCTCGGCTTGAACCTGTTCGACGGCTACTGGTTCGGGTTCTTTGACAGGCTCGGCAATTGGTTGAGATTCTTTCACAGATTCACTTGGCTGCGATGCAGTCACCGGTTCAGAAGCTGGTTCCGGTTCCGATTGTTTAACTGGCTCAGCAGCGACCGGTGGTTCTGGTGTTTCGATACATTTTGGTTCCGGTTCTTTAGCAGATTCTGTACAAGCAGCGGCGACCGGTTCTGGAGTTTCAATAGGTTTTGGTTCCGATTCTGTACTTGTAGCGGCGGCTGGTTCAGCAGCAACAGATTCTTTGGCAATTTCTGGCTGCGAAGGAGCTGCTGCTGAATCATTATTCGATGGTGGTGGTTGTTGTTGTTGCTGAGATTCTTGAGCGATTTCAACCAATTTCGATTGGGCGTTTGCAGTAATGGCCGCAACAGCTGCATTGGCGGCAGCGGTAACTTCTTCGGTTAAACTTGGTTCTTCTTGTTTTGCCGGTGTTGGTTCAGCTGCTGGAGCAGGATCTGGAACGGCAGCTATATTTCCATTGGCTGGGGTTTCCGAACTCTGGTTACGATTAGAAGGATGAAGAAAACCAAACATAAGAAAAGCGAACAAACAATTACAATATGAATATAAAGTGTGAAATATTTCTTTTACCATCTTGCCTGTTGTGTGCTTAAAATGCCACTAAATACTTAATATGATCTACACAAATCGAAAAAATATTCAAAAGAAAATTGCTAAGCTGAAAATCTATCCCTTTTTATAATGTCATGTCGAGACTAATAATAACCCAACAGAACAGAATACTTTCTATTGCATCCAATGAGTAAACATCGCATTTAATGTTTGTGTTTGTTTCACCGAATATTTGCAACCAAAACAAACCTTGGCAACATAAGTTTCGCGTGCTGAGCTTGAAAATTTGGCAGCAGATGATACGGAACGTTTAGATTTTTTTGATTCTTTGCCGCTTTTCGTCGCATCAGAATTGGCCACTTCAGGATTGGGTTTTCGATCTTTTTCCGTAAAACTGTATGAACGTCCACGTCTTCGTTTGGTGGATAATTTGATGCCCATTTTATATTTGGTCCTAGTTTAATGTTATCGGCAAATTCAATAAAATCCTATCAATAAAAATATACAAATAATAAATTCTTTTAGTTTATCATCATATGACATCAATATTCTTTTTCAACCAAATTCTTAACGTCACTCTTCCGCATGACATATCATCATATGTGTGCAATATGTGACATGTTTTACATTCGCCAGACAGAGTGAGATGTTTATTTTAATCTTCAAAACATTAACCAAGGGGAAATTTATCATCAATTTCAAGGTTAACAAACAAACAACAACAAACCATTCATTCACCAATCTAGATCACACTGGTTGATGACAAGCAGCAAAAGCAAAACTATTCTTTGGATCATTACCCAAATGCAAAGAGCAAGAATGTCGTGGTGGTAAAACTGAAAATAACAAGTTAGTCATCAACAAAAACTTGATTTGTTTCATTCATTCGATTTCAGATCACAACACTTGGCAAATTTGATTTGTCTTCAGTGTTCTTCTTCTTCTTCTTTTCGTTGTCCTCCAACACCAACAAGTTCCTATTTCGTTCATTGAACCTGAATAACTAGAGAGTGTGTTGTCCATCCACATTCTATACATCATCATGATGAGAATGATAATGCAAAATACAATCATTATCTATAGACCAATTTCGTTTGTTCGACAAGATTAGCCACCAGTTATTCTCAACTTACCTTTCAAACAAACACCTATCATTATAATAGATGAAATTCGAGAAACTAACCAACATAACTTACCTTACTTAGTACGACATAAACACACCAATATTGGATCCAAATGGCTTTCCTTTTTGATTTTGTTGTTGCTGTTGAATAACGAGATTAGAAATCATAAATTGAGCCGGATGGATGATAAGAAATCAACAAAATCTCAAAAACAAATCATATCAATAAATCCAATGCGAATGCAATATATTCGTTCGTTAGTCATGGCAATCAAACATTTTTTCTCTCTCTCTCTCCTCTATACAGTCATAAAATATCAATTTATGGCTGCATTTTATCGTTTTCTGGCTTAAAAACCATCAAATGATAATGATCATCATATTATTATTGTTATTACTGTAAACACACATTCATCCCATTTTTCGGGATGATTCAACATCTCTGCTCTACATCAGAGCAACCAGAAATCGAAAACCAAAATCAATGCAAATGGATGGGGAAGCGAAATGTCCAATGCATTGAGGAAATGTGAACAAAACTCAATTGAATAACAAATATAAACAGAGCCATTCGAATCATGAATGAATCAGCATTTCAAAAATCAATGTTCAAAAGACAAATTCTAACCATCAATTGCCAATCGAACCGAAACCAATAATACACAACCGATCAATGATGATGACAATCAAAAAAAAATTCTTTTTGTTCACAAAAACAAAACCAATAGTCGTGACCAATCGATTTTGTCATTTAGTGATGATGATCAAACTATTTTTTTCTATAAGCAAAATATCATCATCCATTTGGTTACATAAACAAATCAAAATATAGCACCACCAGACCAGATATGATAATTTTTTTTCTCGTTGATTGACAGCATCAGCATTAATCATGCAGCCGCCGAACAAAGAAACATTCAAGACAAGGTCATTGTTCGCAACAACAAATTTGCAGCTGAGAAAAAAGGGATAATTATCATTAAGAAAGACCATTGTCATCATCATCCCTATTATTGATGCAACAGGTGGGCGAAAACGAATGAAATCCGATTACATCATAACCAGGTGGCAATCAATACATCAGTATATGGTCGACATAAATATCTAATAACATAAACATCCTCTTTTAGTCTGATTAAAATTAAAAATCAACATTCGAAATCGAAAGGAAATTATTATTAATCATCATCCTGTGCCTATATCAAATCATTCCAATCAATGGCTTTAGGAAATGTGAGAATTGCAATCAGAAAATCAACAAAGCAATTCTGGCCGGATTTTCATCACGACAGGATGGATTTTGGCTTATTTTTTACACTTGGCTGTAATATTTTCGACAAAAATAACAATATTAACATAACATACCTAAAATTCTCTTTTTGCAATAACGTTCGATTTGTTTCACTCCACTTTATTTGGTTCGTTCAAATTAAGAAAAAAATGATGAAAATTCTTTTATCCAAAAACAGAAAACAAAACAAAAATTCCGTTGACAATCCACAAACACAAACCGAACCGAATTTAGTTGGAAATCATTCACACAACATAAAAACAAAGATGATGATGATGATGATGAATAATTGCAAATGGAAGCAATCATCAAATGATACAAACAAAAAGAGATACTCTGCTTGACTTGCTGGCCGGTCGTGTTTGATGATTCGAATGTGTGTGGTGATTGAATGGCTCACACTAACACAAACAGGACTTGTATATGCCTGGTGATGTGTCTACGTTTGTGTGTTTCACTTCTCTGGCCAATATCAATGATCATAGTGGTGGTGGTTGGTTGGTTACTTGGTGCATTTCGCACGTTTAAGCTCGAAACACAGAATGTGTGTGGACTCAACTAAATTTGGGGTGGTGGTGGTGCTTTGACTTTGAAAAAATCAAATGAATCGAATGGCTGCACTGTTGCTGGCCGCCAGCCACTGCTGCTGTTTGATGTGTGTTGTGCTGGTGATATCGACTTTCTCCTCAATCAAAAACGAAAAACAGATCTTGTCTCTCAACTTTCGGCTGGATCATTTCAGGCCATTCATCACTATCATCAATGAAATTTGAATTGCAAAAATTAGCGGCAAAAGCTTAAGTCAACACAGACTTAATTCCTATTTGATCAAATCAATTTGGTTTTGTTTATTTATTTATTTACAAATTTCAACCAAATACAACAGATGTCTGTTTGGTTGGTTGGTTGTGAATTGATTTATTCGATGATTAACGATGAGGATGATGATCATCATTTCCTTTTGGCATGAACAAAATCCAAATTACCATTTTGCGAAACTTATTAATACCACTGACTGACTGTCCTTGACTTGTATCTGATGATGAGATCCAGAGAACAACGACATCAACCACATGGAGGTCAGTAAACCATCATAATTCAATTAGAGGGTAATTTAGCAATCTCAACGATTTTCATTATCTTTTTCCTCTCTCTCCATTCTAAAAATAACTGAAATAATTTTTCGAAATATTTTTCCATTCGATGCCGTGTTGATACTGTGTAGGTTGTTCATATCGTTTTATCCAATGATGATGATGAATTTATATGATGCATTTCTTATTCGGATTGTGTCTATTCGATGATCATCATCAACATTGATTGAATGTCTAGAATTTTGTTATCATCGCTATTACTGTCATCGTTTCGAATTTCGAACTTTGCTGCTTGCCATTATTGTTCGGCAGCAACAAGCGTGAATAGCAATCATAAAATGTCAAACGAATCGTCCAAATATTCGATCGGTTATGTGACAATTTCGAATGCCGAAAAGGCAAAAGAACTAGCAATGTAAGTTTCCCAAACGAAAGATTTATTTCTCACACAACATTGATTTGATTAATCAAACAAACAGGAAATTGGTTAATGAAAACAAAGTTGCCTGTGTAAATATAGTACCGACAATAACATCAATTTATCGATGGGAAAATAAACTTGAAGTGGACGACGAATCATTGATGATATTGAAAACACGAACCGATGCTATTGATGAATTGATTCAATTTATTCGCCAAAATCATCCATATTCAGTGCCAGAAATTATATTCACACCAGTAAGGCAATCGATTTCTAAATCAGAACAAAATAATGATTATTATTTTTTAATTAATTTAGATTACAAACGGAAATCCTGATTACTTGAAATGGATTTCATCTTCGGTCAAACTTTCCAATGAACCATGAACTATGAATCAATCAATTAAGCTTCGTTTATCCAGCGATGGTGGTGGCCGATAAAATTTGAATGGATATTTTTTATTTTTGATAATGCCACGATTCAAGTCTTCATAACGTGTACCATAACCCCCTTTATAGCCTTTTTCATATAATAATTGTACCATTGGGTTTATTGGAAAATAAAGTGTTACAAATTCTACATCGCCATTGAATAACCGTGGTTTGGACGACGACGATGATTTCTCTTTATTACATTGACCACCATTATAGCACAGCAATGATAATATTAATAACAACAATGTTGATCCTTTCATCATTCTGTATGGCTTGATGATCGTCTGAACATTTGAAAACTTGTTCAATTTGGTCAAGTTTCGTCGTCGTCACTCAACAACGCATCATTAATCATCTATGTCACCCATATTTTTAGGTATTCCTGTTTGTTTGGTTTGTTTGTTTCTCTTTTTTTTTTGTTTGAAATTTTGAATTTGCATTCGGAAAAGAATCGATTCATTTGAAGAATGGTTATCCATTGCATTTGAATTTTATTTTACTAAAAAATATTGTGGTTGTTGACAAATCATCGTCATCCCTACACTATAAATTATCGATGGATTGGCCATTAACGTAATAAACAAACAAACATTATTTTATCGATATTTTTCTCTCTTTGGTTTGTTGTTGTTGTTGACTTTTCTGTGTTGTTTTCACTTTCGATGATGATGATTGTGATTATTATGCTGATTCGATGAAAGAAGAGAACGAAAAAGAAAGAGAAAAACAACAGTTTTTCCTCATACAGTTATCATTCTGGGTACATCAAGCATTTATTTATTTTGAAACGAAATGTCATCCTCAACTTTCGTCCTCGAACTTTTTTGTTTTTCGAATCTTTTTTCCGAAATAGAAAAAATACAGTATAACACCCGAATGTAAACATTTTGGAATTTTTAATTCAATTTTTATTTTTTTCAAAATTGACTCGTACAAAAAAAGACAACCAAAAAAATGAAAAGGGCTAAAGGAAAATTTTTCGAATGATTGACTGGATAGTCGTCCATCATCGTTGCGATCAAAATGTGTTTAAATGCGTTTGTAGGTTCGAACCGAAGTGACACCATCACAGGACGCAGTCTAAATAAATGCCGGGATTGATTCATTGTGAATGACGTCAGGATTAGAAAATTTAGCAAAGCAGAACTTACCACAACAACTTCATCGCCGTTGAATTCGCGAACAATTTTGACTTCTTTATCGCCGAATTGTGTTTGAACAAATTTATTATCTCCGTCTTTATTGATAACAGTTTTGACTCGTTTACCATCGGCACGATCTTCTTCAAATTCTTCGCCCAATTTGAATTTGATTTCGGTATTTTTGAATGTGCTCAACGATCGGAAAACATATTGGTCATTTTCCTTGGCCACTTCGAATGTTGGTTTCAATGTTTTAGCTGCTGTTTTCACCATAAAACCGACGCCCAATTTGTCGAGGAATTCATCGAATTTTTCCGATTTTTCCAATTTATATTTGCCTTCGATACTTGCCATTTTGTTTGTTTGTTGGATTGATTAATTGTTTGAGGATCAAATTTTATTCAAAAGTTGGATATGAGAAATGAAATGAACAAAATAATGTTTTAGCAATGTGAATCTGCTATACGACTATGGTGACTTTATATTGGTTCGTTCGAATGTTCGTTGACGAAAACGCTATCCTCTGCTAGGAGTTTTTACGCGTTTTCTTCCAATTCGATATTGTGGGCGAACTAACAGAAAAAGATAGCGGTTTTTTCGAACAATACGAACGTGATGCCATACGCGTTTCCTCCCAGCCAGCCAGCCAGCCAGCTAGTTAGTTAGTTGCCTCGCCCGGCCAATCGGCAAACTGATACCATTATCATCATCATCATTCATGTAAAGGTTTTCGTAACATGATGAATGAATGATGGAATGAAGGAATGCCGAGTACACCACTTGTAATCAAATTCGAATTGATAAAACTTCCATCCGCCCAACCACCACTAATGATATGAGTTAGTGATAAAATAAATGCTGATATAACAGTATTTTATTTTTCCTTGCAAATCACATAATTCTTTTGAATAATGGCTTCCAATGTTACTAAACTTTTCTATATAACTAATGATGGGCATCAATTACACAAGATATTAGGATGGTGTCTGTGTGTGATTAATATATGTCACCAATGTTAATGATGGATTGAATTTTGAATGTTGAATGTTCAAAGTTCAATAACCAAAACAAAAACCAATATTCGAAATATTCAATTTCTCTCATCATTTTTTTTCTTCAACAACAATATCTATTCATTGTTCGACCAAACAAACATACATATGTAAGGTTGTTTCTTGGATTTGTTTTTATCAAATCAATCAATCAATCAATCCCCACCCTTCTCTGTCTATTCAGATACATGATAGACTTTGAACCTTTTTGGCACACTGCAATCGGACATTGTCGGATCATATTAGCAGCAATGGGATACATGTAACGATTTTTCTAGAAAATCTTTTATTCGATCAATGCTGTAATGATCAGATTACAAACAAACATCACTAATTCATCACAAATCAGGTACAAAGAGAGATGGGTAGTGTCAATTCATTTATTCATCATAATTGTGCCATAAATAGATTGATGTAAGAGAAAAGATAAATAAACAAACAAAAGGACAAAGGTTATTTAGGATAATAAATGTTGATCAAGAAATTCTTCAATGGTGTCGGTATCCCATTTTTGTATATTCAATTCATCAACAACATCATGATGTTCATTCAATAATTTCAGTATGGGCAGTATACCACGAACAAATTTTATTTTTAGATTTGAATATTTCTTCGATTTATCACCACGAATGAATGCTAATACAACACAAACACAATTATCATCATCATTCTACATTTCACCAATCACTTACCTTTGATTTGGGGAAAATTTGCAATGTTACACTCACAATATTCTAGTCGAGCAAACGAATACTGCAGTGGTAGAAATGAAAACCAAACATCAATTCATTTATCAATCAATCTATTCTAATCATTTAAATCTTACCTTTTTCGAATTATCGGAATCATCTTGACGACAACATTTCATACAGGAATCTTTTAAACTGTCCAGTTCAAATTTTGTCAATTCAGAACATCGATTACAATATAATTCGGAAGGATTGTATCCAATTTGATGACATTCATCATCGCTCAACTTTTCGCTACAAATCGATCCAACAATCACAGATAGCAAACAACCAAACAGATAAGCCTGTCATATTGAAAAAACTCATTAGATTTTACCTTGAAATAAACAATTTAATCTTACGGGATTCATTTTTGCTAAGTTTGAAAATATGAGACCAAAATTATAAAATTATCATCTTACAAAACACGTCAAATAATTAAAATTTCTAATTCTACTTTGATGGTACATTCAAATGGAAATAGTTGCAACCTAATCAAAATAAAATCTGATTTGAATGTTTTTTCTCACAGTTGAATTTTCATCCGTTAGATGACGCTCGAAAAGAGAATTCATATGACTCGTATTTGTTTGTTTTTTGACATCATCATTATTAATGACAGTGATATTTACCTTGTTACTTTCTCTTATTTTCTTTTTCTTAAAAAGTGTGTTAACTGATTGAAGGTAAACAATTCAATCAATCAATAACTAATGGTTATAATCATTATTATTGATTGATATCAAAACAACCACATCAACAAGGGGACTATCATCGTTTGCTCAGTCTGTTATATGGATTGTGATTTCCATTCCATAATCGCAATATTGTTGTGTTTATAAATATTTTTGTTGTTGAAATACATACATTTATCATCATTCAAATCAAATCAAATGGGACAAACTTTGCGAAGCATTTCGAATAGTTTTAACAATAGCAATACAACAGGCAAAAATGACAATAATCCTCATAATGAATTAGATAGTAAGAAAAGTATTGATTGCCATTTATCATTATTTAATTGTTTCCTTCTAATTATTATGAAGAACTTCCAGATTTAGCATCATGGCCACCAGAACTAAGCTTAAATGTATTGAAAAATTTGAATGCAACCGAACTTTGTCTTGCTGCATGTGTTTGGAATGAATTGGGACGTGATGATCTATTATGGCAATCCTTATGTCATTCTGAATGGCCATATACATCTGTTTATTTTCGCAATGGAGATAAAAGACCATCAGATTTTTCCTATCATAAATTATATCTCACATTGGATGAAGCTACCGTCACGTTCAATGCTGATTGTCATCTGGTAAGATTTGAATTTTGTTTTTGAATTTGATCAGAAAATGACGGTTCTTCTCCAAAATGACAGGGAATGAATTATTTTTTCAAAAATAATCTTATCGATGATGATGCTGGTGAAATAGCCAAATTGTTTTTCCGTGCAAAACCATTGGATCGTACCCAGATTCGTCGTTACATACAATCCGATCTCGATGTCCTTGATCATCTAATCAAATTATTTGATTTTTCTGAACAAAAATTGCCAGACGCATTACGGCACTATTTTTCAGTGTTGGAAGTACCAAGTCGATATGATCATTATCTTCATAAAATTGTTGAAAAATTTGCTTTACGTTATGTTCAATGTAATCAATCATCATCGTCGAATCGATCAATACTGATTCATACTTCGGAAACGATTTATGTGCTTTGTTTCTCCCTGATAATGCTTTCGGCTGATCTATATAATCCACAGATTAAGAATAAAATGTCTAAACGTGAATTCATACGAAATGTTCGCCGTGCATTACGTGTGCAGGACGATGAATTCTATGGCCATCTTTATGATGATGTTTATCTTCGTGGTCATATTGCACATGGTGAAAATTATAATCATAATTTACTACCAAAATCATCATTCTCATCATTTGGCCATCATGCATTTGGATATAATCATCATCAACAACAACAGCATCTCCATCATCAACCACAACCTCGTTTTCATATGATTCATTAGTGATAACTTCAATCATTATAATTACTATCTAGTCACATGCATTTTCAATGTAAAACAACAATTGTTTAAAAACATGAAAACATTGTTATTTTTTCGAAAAATAGATTTTTTGTTGTTTTTCCCTGTTATAAAACAATTTTATTAATTGGACTAAATCTTCAATTTGAATAAAATATTAATAATCAAAGGACATGCCATCAAGAGGAAGAAGAATAAGGGAAAAAATGATTACAATAGTTGATGTAGATTTGAAAAAAGATAGATTCAATTATCTTTGATAATTAATTTATCCTCTTCCTTTTTGAACCATTTAATGAATGTATCAACCGTTTCAAGTGCCGATTGTTTGGTGACAAAGCCATCGAATTGTGCATATAATTGAAATGATGCCGTTTGCCATCCTAACAATGCACATTGTTCTTTCATACTGCGTAGCCATAATGTTTTCAATGATGATCGTTGCATACGTTCAATGAGATAATAATTAAGCATTGAAAATTCTGTTTGTATACTTGATTGCCATACAATACAGTGTCGAGGTGTTTGATGTAATAAATATTGTAGATGTGGTTGTCCCAATTCCGTTATATTCGATCCTAATCCAATCATCGGTTCGGTTAAACGAATCTGATCCAATTTGAAATTTATTGTTTCCTTTACCTTTAATAAAAATTGTTAAATTTTGAATATTTTCAAATCATTTGAGTCAAATTTACCTGGCGACATTTTTCAAAATTATTATAATCAACATCCAAAAGAATAAGGCAATACTTTTTACTTAGATATGATATATGCGCATGAAGAAAACGATTAGCATCCACACGACTTAGACAAAGTGGAATCCATAATGTTTCAGTTGCACTAAGCAAACTATCCGAAGCTTTAATCAATGCATATAATAGCTGTATGTCCAGTGGACTGATACGAAATTTGTTGGTATGATTACATACTGAAATCAATTTTAGATTCTTAGACAATCTATTCATCGATTGTTCCACATGATGGTTATTATTCACTATTTGGTCTGATGGAACATTTTCTTTGGTTGATGATTCAAAACTTTCAAAAAGATCATTTGCAGTAGAATCATCTTCATCATTATCATCATCATCACTGGATACATTCGGATTGAAATGATTCCATTGAACATTTGAATCAAATTCAATTGGTAAACTATCACCGAAATCACTATTACAATCTAATTGTTCATCATCTTCAATATGAAATAATATGGAAAATACAATATCACTATTGATGGCCACCGATTGATTAATAATCATATTGATTTGTTCACGAAGATTCGGATTCATTATTGCTATCGGAACATAAACACGACTTAAAACATTCGGTCTATGATCATAAAAAAATATCATCGATGAGGCATTATGATGATCAGATGATGTCATATTTGATGATGATGGTGATGGTGAAGAACGAGGCATCGAAATTAATGATGAAGTATAAAATGATATTACATTATTGAAAATTCTGCCACCAGTTAGTTTATATCGTTTATTCTTATAGGTAGGAAATAATTCGGTAATCGGTGTTGTTATCGATTTCACTAGAATATCTAGTGTTTTGAAATCATTTTCTATGAAAAGAAGGGAAAAATGAAAATCGATAAAATAAAATGCAATTAACAAACGAAAAACATACTATGAATGATGCGTTTAAGATCATAAGTTGGTGCTTGTTGAAAAATGGATTTTAATTTTTTCAATGTTATTGTCGATACAATTTGTGCATGAATTTGATTGATTAATGTATATTGATCAAAACAGATTGATTGTCGACAAACCACAACAATAACTAATGGTGATCGAACAGCAAAATTAATATTCAAGCCATTTTTCGTACGAATCATTTTGAGCTGATCATTTTGCGTTTTGATCACATAATTTATCAATGCAACACATACACCCATCAATGTTGTTACATCTTGTCTACGTGAATAACAGTAAATTGGTTTTCCTGCTTCGCTCATAATCAATACATCGATATCGTTTCGATGAATGGAACTTTCATGCAAAAATGTTTTCAAATTCCAATCATTCGAAACGGTCATTTCTTCAATATTATCATTACTTTGAATAGATAATTTACTTTCGAATGATTTAGCAACCATATCTTCATCCACCAAATTTTTATTAACATTTTGTCCATCAGATTCTATGAAAATAGGTTCATTGCGATTCAGATTACTAGAATCATGTTTCGATGATGAATCATTTGAATTCGATAATGACCGAGATAATTCTATGGGATTGTCATCTTCATTATTGGTTATTGTTATATTACAAGTTGATTTTGTTGTTGTTGTTGTGGAATTCTTTTCAAACGACATAATCACATAAAATAAAAATAATGATGTTTCTTCGATCCATTCAAATTGGGAAAAATGGATCAATACAAATATATTGTAATTATATAATCTTGTAATCAATAGTTTGTTCAATTTAAGGAATGGAATGGTTTGAATATCAATTAATTTATTTATCGAAAAAAAGAAAGAAACACCAACTCCAAAAAATAAAAACATTTGACCATATCGAATCATATGGAAAATGATCATCATTTGGGTAGAAATGGTCGTCATTGAATATATTTTCAAATTTTTATTTTTTGAAATATTCTTTTCCTTCGATAATTGAAATAAAATTCATTGAAAATGAGCAAAAAATTTTACAGAATAAAAACTTATTTGCAAAACTTTATAAATTTAAATAGAAAATTGAGGGGAAGAGAATCTTAAAGGAATAACAATATTATACTCGATTTTACTGGATGTCAAGTTTTTTGTTGAGGAAAAAATGGACACATCCATCCAGGTAGTGTGTATCTAAGTAACCCGACAAGATAAATCGGTTTTTTTTGTTCTTAAAAACACAATATGGGTGGCCTTTTTCTGGTTCACTCGGAAATCGTTTATGTGAATAAAATCAATGATCAATATCGATGATGAATACTCGAAGATTGTTGTTGCATCCGGGATTTCAAAAAAATTATCAAAAATTTCAATCACAAAAACCAAAAAAAAACAGAAAAAAAATTTCGTCTACATTTTGTTCTGCTTTTCTTAATCCACCACTACATTTCAAATAAGTTCGATTTGTGAATTCATGAAAAAATAGAAAAAAAGGAAAATTTTTGTTTTCATTTTTCTCGAATCTCTCTTGTTGATTTGGTCCGAGGACCACCACCAGAAAATAATATTGTTGCCACGGTTTTTAGCAGCAAAAGCAACCAAAGGAACAAATGGCCAAATAAATAGTGCATCATTTTTTCATCCAAACATCATTCGAAAAGTTTTCTCAGTTGGTTGGGTTCACCCGCAACAACATTCGAACACTTTTTTTCTGGTTTCGAATCAATTTATGTTTGATTGATTGTTTAAAATTTTCGATTTATAACAACAAAACAAATTCAATCAAGCCAATATGTTTTAATTTTCGTTGATTTAATTGTTTTTCTTCTTCGTCTGGCCAAAATAACGATTTTCAATTAAAACTAGCTTCAAGTTAATCTTCTTCCTCGTTTTTTTCCGGTGATTCTTTTTGTCAACTTGAGCAAATTCTTATCCAAATCGATAATGATGACTGATGATAATAATATTGGTTTAATCAAAATGAATCAGGATTTGGATGAGGAATCGATAAATGTTTCATCGGATGATACAAGATTATCGTCATCGTCGTCATCGTTATCGACATTATCATCATCATCATCGTCCGCATCAAACTTGACGAACTCAGAGGTTTGGGATTGATTTGTTTGATTGTTTTCATTTTGTTTTTGATTGATGACTAATCACTAATCTTTATCGTTTATGTTTTGGTCCAGATTGATGAAAAAAAATATACAATGTTACATGGGCAATATGTTGCCAATAATAATATTAGCACCACCAATGATAATGATAATGTCATCAATATTGCTTATGCAACGCCACCACCACCAAGATATCCACCATTCTCTCGTCATGATGTCAATAATAACAACAATAATTCGTTAACAACATCCACAACGACAGTTATTCATTATGGACAAATTCAATTACCTGGAATGATTTCCAATCAGAACAATATTCAAGAATCGAATAAAATACCCCCACACAATAGCCACCCTAATCATCATAATCATTCACAGTCATCGTCGTCATCATCATCATCACATCACCACCATCATCAACACCAACATCATAATAATCAGCTTCATCATGTTGTTGATAATAGTGATCAAATGGATCAATTTGATCAAAATTATGAACAACAATTCGGTAATCGTCGTTATCGATCGGTAATTTAATTCATTTTCTTTGATTCACTTTATGATGATTTTTCGCATATTCGTTTAGCGACGTAATCGTACAACATTCAATGCCGATCAACTGGTTCAACTGGAACAAGCATTCGAAATAACACATTATCCTGATGTTAATATGCGTGAAGATTTAGCTAGGTATTTATTCGCTTTGAGAAAAATTCATTAAATTAATTTTAATTTTGATTTGATTTTCTTTAATTTTCTTTAATCTGATCTGGAAAAAATCTAATTGAATGTTGTGGATAAACTCATAATATTAATGAAATTGTAAAGCAAATTGAATCTTACCGAATCACGTGTACAAGTTTGGTTTCAAAATCGACGTGCAAAATGGCGTAAAACACAGGATAAAATTCCCAGACGAAGAGGTGCTGGTGATTCCTCTGTTGTTGATGGTGGTGATGGCATCAATAATGGTAAAAATAATGTCCGAACATCCAAAAAAATACGATCACCAAATGCTAATGAATGCCAACGACAAAGACAACAGCAACAACAACGGCCACAATCATTACCGTTACTGAAATCTCGTTATGAAAGTAATCATAATGATTATTTTATTGATAATCAAATCTGTCCAAGTCACTCGATGCCACAGCTTATCACAGCCACTATCAATAATAATAATTATTCCTCATCATCATCCTCATCATCATTTAATCCAATTATCAGCAATAATAATGATTTATCATCAAAAGATTCCACAGTAACAACCACAATGTTACAACATCAGAATAACATTTCATTATCATCTATTTTGCGAAGTGCTGGAATCACATCGGCCGAAATTGATGATGTTGGCAGTGATAATTTCGAACCAAATGGTCAAGATGGGGATAATGGTGAGCATGATGACAAAATGATGATTGAAAATAAAGTTGATTCACCATCATCACCTATTGCTACAACAACAAAATCCACAAACGATGATAATAGTGATGATATAATTGAAATTGAAAATGATGAACAATTGCAAAAACAGCAAATGGAAAAATCCGAAAATAATGATGGGAATAAGGATCAAGATGGACACGAACAAGACCAACAGCAACAGAATGGCCAAACTAATGAAACAAACCAAGCAAACAATAATAACGATGATGAGGAATGTTTCAATCAAATTAATAATGGTAATTTTTCATTCCAAGATTATATTGATGAATCATATGATTATTATTCATCATTCAATCAAAATAATCCGATAGATTTTTGTTCAGTATTACCGCAGCAGCAACAACAACAACTATTTCAGCAAATATTTAATTTAAATTTTGTAAAACATAATTATTATCAACATTATCACTTAGCAACCGTAGCAGAAATAGAAACACTATCAGCAGCAGCAATGAATTCTTGCCCCATAAATCAACAGCAGCAATCAACATTGCACAATCCTACTCATCATTTACCCTTCAATTTTATTTATTCATCACCTTTTTTTTCTCTTTTTTATTCTGCTTTCATTCAATCAATAGCCTATCGACAACAACAACAAACAACATTGGAAATGTTTGAATATCCATCGGCATCGCCATCATCATCATTATTGTCATTATCAACACCAAAATTAGCCACAAATAATAATTCATTACAACAACAACAATATTATACGAATTATATTCCAAATAATTACTATAATTATTATAATCATCATAATCCATATCAATCCAATCACAGTACATTATCCTCAATCAATGGATTATCATTATCAGCATGTTCATCTGGTTGGTATAATCACCATAATAATCCTTTTCATCATCAACAACAACAACAAATACCATCATCATCATCATCATATCATCAATACGTTGCATATCCAAATCATTATTATCGACAACAACAACCCTATCAACAACAGCAACGACGTCTTGCAGTAACAACAACAACATATTCTGATCATAGTGTCGATTCTATAATTCGGTCATCATCATCATCGTCGACATCACCATCAATGATTGTTAAAAATGATGATGACAATCACAATGACAATGAAGATGGTGAAAAGGAAAAAAATATAAAATGTGAAAATTTGCTCAATATTGAACAATTGTCTGATATTATTGATTGATTTTTTGTTTTTGTTTTCAAAATAAATATTGACTTTGCCGCCTTTGAAATTTTATTTGAAAAATCATATACGACGTTTATGAACGAAACCTCGCATACGCGCGCGCAAAATTTATTCGCTCCTCATTCTCCAGAAAATTGACCGTTTGAAAAAGCTTTCAACATTTTTTTTGCCAAGTTTTATTTTTCGAAACACTTTCTTGCTTTTACCGATAAAAATGGCTGAAAAAATCACTGATGAAACAATAATCGATTTTTATAAATCAAACAATATTCATACGATTCGAAAAGAAGATCTACAACGACCAAGTAAAGAATTTGTTCTGCAACTTTATACTCGAATATTGGAAAAATTGGATGTTTTCAATATCAATCAACCGGATATTGTTGCTTGTACCAATGGTTTAATTGATCATATGGAGAAAACATATTTGATCATCAATGTTTTTACCGTTATTAGTCGTTTTGTTTCGAATGTTGGCCTGAATGATATCAAAATCATTGATATTATTGAACCGAAACGTAATCGTACGATTCGTATTCTACAGGCATTGGCTAAATATTATGTTCGATATAATACTTTAAAGGTTTGAATTTTTGTGTGAAATAGTCTGATTTTATTAATCATATCACTTTTTTATCACAGGCTGATTGGTTTAAAAATGCAAACGAATTTTCCGATCTTCCTTATGAACGAAAAGAATTGCAAAAACGTAAAGTAGAACTGAAACATTCGATTGAAGAAAAATCAATGTTATTATCATCGTTGAAAAATAAATCGGTTAGTATTGAAAAAGAAATGAAAACATTGGAAGAAACATTTGCTGCTCGAAAACATGATGCAGAAAAAGAGGAAAAAACGGCAGCCGAAATAAAAGCTGAAATATTTGCCTTGAAAGGAAAATCATGTGAAATCAAATTGGAATCGAGCGAAATTATTGAATCAAATAAAAAATTGACGGAAAATATTATCAAATCACCAAATAAAATAATATCAGCAGTGAATGAATCAGAAATCAAATTGAAAATAATAAAAGATGAATTTCAACTACTGAAATCACAGTTGAATGAATCACAAACGAAAAGAAATTCATATTGCATCGCAGAAACATTTGTTAAGGCCATTAAAGAATTGAAAGAGTTGATTGAATTACAGGCCAAAAATGATGAAAAATGTAAAGAATTGGAAAATATTATTAAAAATACTGATGCTTTAGCAGAAGAAATTGCACAGATCGAAATAAAAAAGAAAAAAACCGAAGAAGGTATTCGTTCAGTGAAAAAACATATCAGCAAAGAAAATGTGGAATTTAACCGTAAAAAAACTATTCATCTTGAATTGTTGGATGGAATGTGCGAAAAATACAAAACCAATCAACAACAAATTTCAGAAATGAAAAGCTCCACCGACATCAAATCGATTCGCATTCAACAGCTTGAAAAGGAATTGAAAGAACTTTGCCAAGGTGAACAACAACTTCGTCAACGACATCTCAATGAACATCGAATCAATATTGAGAAAATTTTTCAAACTATCCAAAATTTTGAAAAAATTCAACAAAACAAAAAACTTCAAAAATAAACCATAAAACAATCGAAGACTTTTTACTTTCTTTCTGAATTGAAATAAATATTTTATCCAAACTCAGAATTTTTCGTTTGTTTGTTTTGAGTTCAAATTCAATCCGATGACGGCAATACAAATGTAACGGGCAAAAGAACTGGCCGAGAATCGGATGATGATGACGTAGAACATTCTTTACTTGTATTACTTTCTTCTTCATCGCGGTCATTATCATCACCATCATCGTTTTGTTTTTCTCCGGTTTGGATATCCAATTCCATTTTATTACCATTTTTGGTTGAAGCTAATAATTTTTTAATTCTATTTGATCCTTCATCATCAATATCATTTTCTTTGGATTCCGGTTCTTCTGGTTCAATGCGAACATCAAATAATTTTTTACTCGGTTCTAATTTTGTTTGTATGTCATTGGTGGCTGCCCTTGACGTTGGATCGTCATTGTTCAAATGATTATCTTGTTTGAAAAAATTTTCATCTTCCAATTTTTGTCGTATTTTGAATTCACGATAATGAAGACGTTGTTCTAATTGTACGTTAGGCGGTGCTTGTTCGGATCGTAGTTTTTGATGATAATTTATCCACAATTCTTGTTGTCGTTGATAATCTTTCAATTCATCCAATGTTTTTTGTAAATTTCTAAATTAAACAATTCAAAAAAATGTTGTCCAATTGAAATGAAATGCAACGAGTAAAACTTACTCATGTTGAGCTTTCAAAGCATTTTCAATGCCCATATGACATAATACAGCATGTTTACGCAGTTTAGCTTCAATAAAATTTGGACAAAGTTTAGAAACATTATCCAAACATATAATGGATTTATTATAATCAGTCATGACTGTATAGATATTAGCCAGGATATAATGTGAATGCGGTATTTGCGGTGCCATATCGATAATTCCATGTAATACAATAACCGCTTCATCATAACTACGTGAACGATGGAGAATCGTTGCCAATGATAGCAATGCTATTGATCGATATTCGTTTGGACTAGAATGTAGGGCACGTCGAACACATTCGATTGCCTGTTCGGCTTCACCTAATCCACGCCAATAAAATGAAGCCAACGTATATAGTATCCATGAACTTGAATTCTTCAATCATTTCAAAATTTATCAACAAATTCATTCTATCAAACCAAATCAAATGCAAACCTGTTTTAATCCATCGGAAATATCTTTACCAAACGATTGATATGATTTCCATTTTCCAATAAAACGTAATATTTCTGATTCAGCATCCATTTTTAGATTCTTACGTGATCTTACCGACTGAAAACAAAAACAATTAACCAATTAGTTTAACAAGAAAGAAAAAAGCTAACCGGTAAATGTTCAAATGAAGTCATTGAAAAATCATTCAAAGGATATTCACTGCAATTTGGTGCATTTTTCCATTTGTTTGGTTTGGTTTCATTTTCATTTTCTTCAATATCAAATTTGAATGATTCATTTTCATTAGTTTTTGAACCAATTTTCGAACTAGTATTCGAACTGGTAAATGTATTCAAATTTTTATTTATCGATTCAAAATGAAGATCATTTTCATACGATGATGATATTCGATCCTGTTGATTGTGAAACATTTTCGTTGGAAATTGTGATGGAAATGATCGGCGATCATTGCGCGGATAGAAAAAAACCATAGTACCAACATAAAGATCGAATTGTACTAATGGTTTTTTAGCTTTCAAACAATCTGGATTAGTAAGATATACCAATTGTTCAACATCTTCTTGGTTATCAACTATAGAATAGATCAATTAGACTAATGAGAAAAACATTCAATTTTTTTACAACTAACAGTTTTCCGATTCAATTTCTTCTTTTTGTGCCATTAATTGTGTTTTGATTTTGGCAAAAACTTCGGCTCGTTTTTCCTGCTGTAACAATGACATCAAGTCATATGGTCGACGCATCTGAAAAATAGAATCCTCCTGTAGAATAGAATATTTTTCAAAAAAAGAAATAAATTTGAAAACAAAGAAACCTGTGTATGTATTTTGCCATCTTCGGTAACAATCCAATGTGTTGATGCTTTAGTAGCATGAAAAATGATTAAAAAATAGGTGAAAAAACATTGATTAACATAGATGATTTTCATTATAAGCATTTACAAAAATATAATTCATTGATAGTCAAAAAACAAAGATTTATCAAAACATTTCAATCAGATTCGGTTTTGATAATCGAATAAAAAAATCGATAAAAGCGATAAATCACGCGTGTTCAATATTTTGATTCACATTCGTTCATCTTGCGTGGGTTGTTTTTTTTCATTTGGCTCTTTTATTTACAATTTGGTTTGTTGTTGGCGAACAGGTCGATCTCACCGTGATATACATCTGTATGTAATATTGAGAGAATATACATTTTTTAATCATCCGTTATTTCATTTATGAATGAAAATATTTCGATGGTGATTTTCGAAGCTATCTATATCGGATTAATCGTGCAAATGATCCATACTGTAATTGTGGTGCCTTAGAGGATTCGATTCATATTATGTTCCATTGCCAGAATTTTTCATTTCTTCGAATTCTTATAAACTTTGGCAACAACTTCAATTTAAGCAACTTTTTCAAAAATAATTATGAAATTTTTATAAATTTTTTGTATCTTTTATTTTTATTTAAGTGATTTTTTTTTTTCTTTTGTGTTTTTTTTTCAGTTGTTATTCTTTTTCTCTTTTAATTACTATTATTATTATTATTATTTTTTTTTTATTTTTTTTTCTTTCTTTTTTTTCAAAATCTTTATTTGATTGTGTATATTTTTTTTTTCTTTCTCTCTCTTCATGTTTTTTTTTTCTTTTCTTAATGTGTTAACGTATTATATCCTTATTTTTTTGGTATAAGGATTTTTTTTTTCTTGATTAAAATGAATGAATGAATGAATGAATGAATGAATAATATGGCATTTTTCTCCTGAAATTATTGATTTATAAAAATTTAACACCATAAGAATCATCAATATGCACGAGTACAGCTTTACCATCTTTTTCTAAAAATCGTAATGNGTATTATATCCTTATTTTTTGGTATAAGGATTTTTTTTTCTTGATTAAAATGAATGAATGAATGAATGAATGAATGAATAATATGGCATTTTTCTCCTGAAATTATTGATTTATAAAAATTTAACACCATAAGAATCATCAATATGCACGAGTACAGCTTTACCATCTTTTTCTAAAAATCGTAATGCTTTCATTAGAATTCGTTCATCAAGTGCAAATAATTGCTGATCGGAACGATCTTCATCCTGTGTAATTTCATATAATGTACACATTGTTCCATTTAAACCTTTGTCTTCTACCCATTGTTTAATAATATCGGCCCATTCATCGATTCGAAGCCAATAGATTAAACATTGTTTTGTTTGACCATCAACATTTAACCATTCGGCACGACCACGTTTAACCATTTCATCCAAAATAATTCGAAGACTTTCTTCGGTTAGATTTCGGCCAATTTTATCATTACGAAATGGTGGTTGGCCCAATGATTCGCTAATATTTAATTCATACAATTTATTTCGACGACAATAATCCATTATAATTGCACACCAAACATCCATTTGTAAACGCCTAGTTTCATCATTCGGTTGTATAGTGAAAAATGGCGGAAAATCATATTGCCAATAATCGGTCATAATGTTTACTATTTGCAAATATAAATCCTGAAATAAAATTCAAATTATCACTTGACAAAAATACTACAAAAAGGGTTTCAAACAATAACAAAAATTCATTCGAGGTTTTTACCAGCCAATGATGGTCATCACAAATGGTTGAGAAATCTTTCCGAAACATTTTTGACATGAAAATTGAAAGAAATTTTCACGAAAATTGACTGATTGTTTTGGAATCAGAATTCTAATCAGAAAATTTGAATTTATTACAACATTACATAATTAACAATACAAATGACTTTAGTCCAACTTCCTGCCAAATTAACCGAAGAAGAACAGGCGTTACAAAGAAAATATCAGAAACTCAAACGAAAGGTAAGGAGTGTTGTTTGCCAAACACAAGCTAAAATTTTCAAAAATGTTTTCAGAAAAAACTACTGCAACAATTAAAGACACCAAAACAGGAACAACCAACAACACAACCGATAAAACGGACTCCAGACAGTGGAACGGATGCCAAAGAAGTTGCAAAAAAACTATTAAAATCCGGTAAAATTCAGGCCATCAAAGCACCGGATAATAAAGATCGACAAGATTCAGGATTCAAACGATCAAAAGCTCATGAACGTAAACGTTGTACTGGAACGGATAAACCTGGTGGATATTTGCCATTTCATAATCATCATTCTGATGATGATCCAAACGGTTTGTCGATGATTGATTTTGAACAATCCTTTCATAATTTTAATCATTATTCACAGGACCAAAAGATGAACCTGAAAGTAAACGTTCAAAACCACTTTACGAAAGTTTTGTCATGTCAAGAGATCCACATTCGGTAGCGCGTGAAGAAGCTTTCAGAGAGAAAAAAAGAGATGGCAAAGTTAATTATGTAAATCGAGATAATCCACAGCAGGGCAACACAGTTTATGTTCATGGAGAAAACTTGAATGAAGATATTCTTCGATTAGCTTTTGTTACTTTTGGCCCAGTGTTGAACATAACGGCTGAACCAAATAAAAAGTATTTTCCAATGCAATTTGTAACTATATTTAAATTACCTTTCTTTTAAATGTAGTTGTGGATTTGTAACATATGAATCTATCGATGTAGCAAATATGGCCATCACTGAAATGAATGGTAAAACAATCAATGGAATTCATTTGAAAGTTAGTCTGGCACGTCGTCAACCCACTTATAATCCGGAAAAATCCAAAACTAATACTGATTTAAATGATTCATTATCAGCACCTGAAGCATGGTCAGCAATTGCTTCGAATTTTTCCGATAGTGTTGATAATCCAAAGAAAAGAACCATTGTTAGCTATGATGATGATGATATCTATGAAACTGTTTAAATTGAATGGTTCTTTTTCCTTGAATATTTTGATTTTTTAAATAAAATGTTTTGATCTTCAAATCTAATTTGATAATTCCATCAAGTTTTGAAATCTGATTTTATTTTTTGAAATTTTTTTAAAAATAAAGTCCGTACGATAGCGGCCTCTAGTGATTAATTCGAACAGTATGCTCATCAACAATACGCATGTCGAACATTGTTGTTTATAAAATTGTGAGACCAGCCCAATTTTCCCATTTGACCAGTTTGTACAATGTTAGTTGTTGCCATCAAATTTAAAAGACAGAAAATAAATTATTTGCAAAAGATTTTTCTCTGAAAAAATGAAAAATTTTCGTTTTATTATTGATGATTATAGCTAATCAATTATCAATGTAATTACAAAAAAATCAAATTTTAATCAAATTGATTGAAAAAATAAGATTGATTATTTAACATCGTATAAACTCTATATGTCCTGCTTATTCAAAGATCGGGTGGTGTTTTGATCAAATAAAAAACAAATTCAGTCTTTTTTAAATGTGAAAATAAAAAAAGCAAATTCTCCGGTGGCCTTAACAAAGCGCTATATACCCTCATGGTTTGGCTACACAACACACCATGTGGATAAATCGGTCACGAACTTGAATGAAATTTCCAAAAAAAACGAAAAACCAAGGGGATAGGTATTCAGATCGATGGTTATGCGCAAAACCTGAAGGGACATTGTGTTTTGTCTGCATCATGCATGGGTTCATTGTGTTCAACATCTGCCATCGCTTTTTATCGCTGTCATCGTCGCTTTTTTCTTTTGTTTCGATCATTTCGGATAAGTTCAGTGGCCATCTTCGTGTTAATGTTATTTTTTGGACAAAATCAATCAACAGAATTTTGATTTGAAAATTTCAAATTTTATTAATAATTATAATCAAAACAAAGACATTTAATTAATTAATAAAAAAAACACCAAAGAAAAAAGAAATCACGACTATTTGGAATAGGCCAATGTGTGCAATTGAGATCAATAGTATTATTTGACTATTGAATATTGATGAAGGATAATATTAAAGACAGCAAAACAAACAAAAAACTAGATTAAAATCAAAAATATAGCTAAAGAATTAGAATTCTAGAGATTAGATAGAATGTCGAACTATTCTATATATAGAGAGATAGATAGTAGTTCAACAAGAAGAATATTCTGCGTGTATATTGTATTGAGTATTTTGTCACAAGATAGAATTCAATATAGAGAAAAGTAAAAAGAAAAGAAAATTGCTCTTTGGATCAAAAAAAATGCTTGAAAAAAATTTGGAAATAAAGTGAGAAAATTGGCAACTAATTTTGTTGAGATTGTTTTGGTTTGAAAGCCAAAAACGATGATAGTCAATTTTGTTTGGATTATTGTGGATGATCATAAATATGTGAATCTTTTTTCATTTCTCCTGTCCATGGCTATATTTTGTTAGAAAGGAGAAAAATGTACAATTAATTTAAGAATGAGAAATATCAATTATAGTAACAAACCTGCATATTTTCATCCATTGGCATTGTTGCATATGCAGCTGGAAATATATTACCTTGTTCGGTCATAATCAATGGTTTACCACTAACTTTATCAAAATCAGCATATCTAGGACCGGTACTATACCCGGTAAATTGTTTACTTAATGTTGCACTATCCAGTATGACTATCGATAGATAATATGATTAGAAAAATAACAACAAAAATAACCGACGAATCACTTACGACTATTTGCAGCAGCACGATGTTTAGCCCGACGTACACAAACATAGGCAACAACCATTATGATGAATACGATTACAAATGCAGTGATAATTGGAATAGTAAATTCTGGTTGCATATAATAGGGATTTTCATAATAAAGATGATTCATTAATTTTCCTTGAAAATTTAATCGTTCTAATTAGGGGAAAACAAAAATAAAGATTATTCATTAGACAGAAAAAATGAACAAATTCTGAAACAAACCTCCAATGGTTTTGGTAAAGACAATATTGCTTGGATCAGAAAAACCAAAACGATTAACAGCGGTAACAAATATACGATAATGCACACCACTTTCTAGATTAGATAAAGTGTATGTATAGATTGGCATCGTTGATGATGATTGTTCCATGATTGATGGTGACGATGTAGCCAATGTACTGAATGGAATTTCATGCCATTTTGGTTCACCTTCTTTCTGATATTGTAATGTATAACTGATGATTGGTGTTATTGAATCACGATTATCACGTTGATGCCAACGTAGTGAAATGGAATTGGTTGTTGTTTCGGTTGCAATGAGATGTTGCGCTGGTGGTAGATCACCATCCAATGTACGTGCCAATAATACATGCGATTGTGGTCCACTGCCGGCCATATTATATGCTTTAATAACAATTTCATATTCTGTTCCACGTGAAAGATCACGTAGAAAATATTCATAAACTTCATTTTCAATTTGATTAGCCTCCGTATATTTTGAATCAATAGATTTTAATGTATAAGCCTGGTTTGAATCTTCGGCTTTTCGGAAACCAACATAATAACCTTTAATCAGTCCATTCCAAAATTCTTTTGGCGGTGCACGCCATGTAATTCTTATTGTTGTCGGACCTTTTGGCTCAACATTTATATCATTTGGTGGTGCACTTGGTTCTTCCTCACCAGTAAAGAATGGCACCGTTTCCGATGGTTCACTACGTCCAACTTCATTTTCAGCAATAACGGACAATTCATATGATAATCCAGGTGAAAGATTTTTAATCAAAAATGATGTTTGCGAACTGCTAACATTAACTTCATTCAAACGATGTGGTGCATTTTGTCGACGCCAATATTGTATCAAATATCTTGTTACAGGGGAATTACCATTTTGAAGATGACGCCATGAAACACTAGCTGAACGTGACCATACTTCATTGATTTTAACATTAACAGGTGAACTTGGTTCTTCAACAACCAACAATTTAATTGTGCGATCATCACGACCATGTTCATTTTCAGCATCACATTTATAGATTGCACCATCAGTCTTCTGTACCGAGCGAATTGATAATTCTGAAATCACACCATAACTAGTTGGAAAATCATTCATTTCATAATGATGATGGTGACTTAAACGATCCAATTTCATTCCATCCTTTGTCCATCGTATTGTGATTGGTCGATCCCCAGTAGCATTACATTTCAATACAATTATATCACCTTTTTTCGCTTGTATTGAGCTATATTTTTCATCGAATCTCGCCGGTACTTTATTCATAACAACACAATTATCATCATCATCAATGATAATCCAACAGATTTCATTTTAAAATAAATTCTTACCATTATAAGAGATGGTTATCGATTTTCGTAATGCCTCACCAATACCATTATCAGCCACGCATTCGAATGTTAATGTTTGTCGGCCATTTTTTTCATTTTTAATCAATTTACTCAAATCAAGAATCTCATTTTCAATTGTTTTACCCGAAGGTGTTAACCATTTGATTTTCGGTTTGGGCAGTCCATCGGCTAAACATTCCACAGAATATTCTTCACCCATACGTAGATTAACATCTTTTGGTTCTTTGATCCAGCTAGGTGGAACTAATTAAAAAAAATATTCAAAATGATAATTAATATTGATTAAACAAAATTTTTCGCCAAAAAAACATAATTTGAATTTTTGAAGAAACCTTGAACATTTAGATATGAACTTTGGCTATCGAAACCACCTCGATTATTAACCGAACAAGTATAATTTCCTGAATCATTTGTTGATAGATTTTCAATCAATAAAGTAGACATAAGATTGTCTTTCCGGATATGAATATGATCATTATCATCAAGGATCTTATGACCATTTATCATCCAATGAAATGTTAATGGTGAATCACCAAGAATAGCGATGCAACTTAGAAAGAAACGTGATCCTTGAATCTGTGTTTGAAACGGATTCAATGAATTCAATACAGGTTTTATAATAGCAGTATTTTGGTGAGAAATCAAAATTAGATTCGCAAAAATCAATATAAAAACTTGAATGTTTAGTAAAGATAACATTTTTTGGTAAGTAAGATGTGTGTTTGTTGTCATTAAGTAAAGATTTTTGGATCAATAATATCTCAAACAAAAATTAAACAAAAAAGAATCCATCAAAGATTTAGCGCCACGTTTTGAGTGGAGAACAAATGATCAACATATTTATAAATACAAACCTTTCACCAAAATATTGGTAACAATTGAATCCTGACCAAATTGATTTTTAGCACGACACTCATATCGTCCACTATCAATTGTCTGAACATTTGATAATGAAAGTATTGATATTTGTTCTTGATTATCAATTTTCAATTGATTTGATTGTTCCAATATTCTTTGATCATTGCGATACCATTCGAAAAAGATTGGTTTCGAACCACTGATCAATATGCATGACAGTGGATAAGTTATGTTTTCAACCAATTCCTGAAGTTCGCCATTAAATGGCATTAATTTTGGCTTTCCTAAAGTATTTTTTGGAAAACTTTAAATGAGTTTTTTGAAATAAAACAAAATTACTGACCCGCAATAGCAAACGAAATTGTTAGGGAAATTATTAATAGAAAAATGTTAAGGTAAAACATTTTCAACATCCAATAATCATGTGTTAAATGAATGGAAAAATAAAAATTGTCTAGAATTGCAAACAAATGACTAATAACACAAGAATAGATCACGATCAACCACAACAATAGCGCCACATTTTACCATGAATTCAAGATAAATAAATTTCTTTTTAGCAAACCTTTTATAACGAATTGTGTGGATGTTGAAGAAGTTCCGTAAACATTTTTTGCACGACATTCATAATTTCCTGAATCCTGAGCAGTTAGATTGATCATTGTTAACAATGAATAATGATTTGTATTTTCCACGTGAACATTATTTGTTTCGGAAAATTTTTGACCATTTTTATACCATTCGAAAAATATTGGCTTCGAACCAGAAAAGAGATTACATGTCAACACGTAAGTTGAATTTTCTAAAAGTTCAATACTTTTTTGAAATGATACTAATTTTGGTTCGTCGGCTAAAACAATCGACAAAACAAAACTAATGGAAACAATTTGAAAGGAAATTTGATGCATTTTTCTTTCCTTCAAACAACAAGAATTGTGAACAAACAACTGACTAACGAATGAATGTTTTTGGAATTATGCAAAAAACGAAAACAGAAAACATTGATTCAAAATGATCAACAAATTTAGCGCCACGTTTTAACCGAAAAACAAAATTAGTGAGAAAAAATGAAAAATTTCAACAACCTTTGATCAAAAGTTGTGTAGATGTTGAAACACTTCCATAAGGATTTTTAGCAAAACATTCATAATTGCCAGAATCATTAACAGTAAGATTTGTTATTGATAACAGTGAATAATGAACATTATTATCAATATGAATATTGTTTGAATTGGTCGATAATTTTTGTCCATCTTTTTTCCATTCAAAAAATACTGAAGAACCAGATGCTAAACTACAAACAATAGTAAAAGTTGATTTATCTAGAAGTTCATAACGTTTTGGCAATGGAACCAAACTGGGTTCATCTAAAAAATGGAAGATAATATCAATAACGATTTAACTTTACATTTTCAAAGGAACAAACCTGCTACGACAAAATTCAACGTAAAACTTAGAAAAATAATTGAAAACAACATTTTGTGAAACTTGTATCAAACCCACACATCAATAACATTCATCAAACTCTTGCAATAAAAATTTTTTAAACAAATACCCAAATTCATTCGAATTATAAATTCAGTAAATAGCGCCACATTTTAACCATGAATAAAAACTTTTATAATCAGATAATCACAGAAACCTTTTACATTCAATCCAAATATCAGACTATCAATGCCAAAAGCATTGCGAACTTGACATGAATATCGGCCAGAATCGTTTCGATTTGTTGTTGGAATATTCAGTAGAGAAAACTTCTTATTGTTTTCAATTTTCAAATCATTAGTTCCACGAAGTGGTTGATCATCTTTTAACCAAGTAAAAAATATCGGTTCCGAACCAGATAAAATACTACAACTAAGTAGTTGAAATGTATTTTCAATCGGTTCAATATTAACCAGAACATTTTTATTAATTTTAGGTGGATCTACAATAATTTTACAAAAAAAAAAAATTAATTAATTTCAAAATTTTCAAAGAAATCCACACTCCAATCAAACATACCTTGAGCAAATCCACTATTGAAGATGAAAAAACTAAACAAAATAAATATTTCAAACATTTTTCAAACGAAAATTTTAAAAAACAAATCAAAAACACAGATTGATAAAAGTATTGTGGGCAATGCAATAAATGAAATGGAAAAACACCGAAAAAATAAAATATTGAACAAAATTTAGCGCCACATTTTGTTCAGAATCAAGACTTGTGTTTAGATCAACCGACCAACCTTTCACTTGAAGCATTGACCATTGTGAATCGATACCGTATCGATTTTGAACAATACAGGAATAATTGCCAGCATCATCAATTTGAATATTTTTGATTGTTATCATTGAAAAATCATCATCCAAATCAATTTTAATACGGGAATCGGATGTTTGGGAAATGGAATGGCCATTTTTTGTCCATATAAATTTCAATGGAGCAGCTCCATCCATTTTATTACATGTTAAAACAAATCTAGAATTTAATGGTTGCTGGTAGAAATTTTTAAATTCAAACAAACGAGGTGCATCTTTTAAAAAAAAAGAATTAAATGTTTGCCAAAATGATCAACAGAATCTTACCATTGGCAATGGCAAAGTTTAAAATTGTCAACAACAAAAATTGAAAAACAATCAACAAAATGAATGGAGAAAACATTTTCAACATCAAAATCAGCAAATGAGAAAGAATGAAGAGATTGGCGAAACAAACAACAGATTGATACAAAAATATCCAATTTCGGAATTGAAAAAAAAATTTGATCATGAACGATTTAGCGCCACATTTTGGTGGAAAAACAATGAATAACCAACCAACCACCATCAATATAATGGTTTTGTCTAGATTTTTTCCTTTCTGGGTCAAATTGAAAATTGTTTCCGGTCATCATTTATTTCCGGAAATAGAAATCATGCTCTGGTCAATCATAGAACGAAATAAAAAACAATAAAATGAAATAACCAAACCTTTAACATTAAATTGTGACCATTGGGAATCTAGACCAAATTTATTCGTTACCAAACATGAATAATTTCCCGAATCATTAATGGATACATCATTAACAGTTAGTTGAGAAAAGGAATTCTTTTTTTCAATCGAATAACGATAATCATTCTTCATATCAAAAATTTCATGACCATCTTTAAACCATTTAAATTCTAATGGCTTTGTTCCTTTTATTGAATTACACGTAAGCACAAGTAATGAACCTAATGGTTGACTTATGAAATTTGATTGAGATTTAACAAGTTCAGGTTGATCATTAGCAAAAACCAAAGTAATAATGATGAAAATTGAGAAATTAGCTAAAAATGAAGCCATTGTACTCTTCACATAAACACATGAAACTAAACACAAGTTTTTCATATCGACAATGGAAAATAAAAATCCTGATTCCAAAACTACACAATTGATATTCTGTGCGAGGAAAATTTAGCGCCACATTTTGGCCTATAAGCTTATCATTATAAACCACACAACATCACCACAAGTAAAAATCGTAAAAAGCAAACAGATAAAAATTAAATTTCCGTTCAGTTTAGTTAAATTTTGGTTGGTAAGATAGAAGCAAACCTTGAACAAATAATTCGATCGATGTAGAATCCATACCGAATTGATTCTGTACCGTACACGTATATTTGGCAGAATCATTTCGTTTTATTTCTTTCAATATTAACGATGAAAAAGAAGATTGATCCATTTGAGAATGTTTTCCGGAAATTTTATGATCATTTTTTAACCAATAAAATGTAACAGGCTTTATGCCTGAAAGTAGATTACAAGTAAAAGTATAATCAAAATTTTCTTGCAATTCAATACGTTTGGGTAGTTCAAATAACTTTGGAGAACCTGCAGATGCTGCTGATAAAATGGGAAAAACATTTTTTAATGATCAAACTATAGTGGTGAATAAGGAAAAAATCATTTACTTGTTTCAATCATCAAATCGTATGGCAATAAAAATAAATTTAAAACAAAGTTGATTGAAATTATATTCCATACAGATAAAGCCATTGTTTGTTTTTCTCATTAAATCAAATGAAATCTAACATCGAAAATACAATCACAAATGAAGCAGAATCGAAAGAGGATTTACCAAAATTAAATTTTGTGGCACAAGCAGCACAATGAGCGCCACATTTTATCCGAATTATGAAAATGAAAAATTATTGTTCAAAACTTGATACCTTTAACTTGAAGAAATGTCCATTGAACATCGATACCATAAGCATTACTAACTACACAGGAATAATTTCCAGAATCTTTCAATTCTAATTCCGGTATTATCAACACGGAAAATGAAGGCTTATTGTCGATCGATCCACGTTGATTTGCATGTTTAATTTCAATATTATCTTTAAACCATTTGAATGTGATTGGTTGTGAACCACTAGAAATTGGACACATTAAATTCAACATTGAGTCCTGGGATTGACTCATATGTGTTGAAACTATTCGGGAAATAACTGGTGGATCATTTGATGATGCAACAAGATGGTCAAAATGAAACCATAAACAACATAAAATTAACAATTCAATATGGAAGAAATTCATTTTTGCACAATTCTTTTTCTTTTAAAAGATCGCGATATGACAAAAAGAAGAAACAATGTGAGTTTACGAACTGAACTAATAAAACGAAATGATCAATTTGGGAAAGAACATTTTTCAAATCAAACACACATCAAAAGCGCCACATATTGGATTGTATTGATGATGAAATAATTTGATGATTTGAAAAAGGATTTACCAAACAAACAAACCTTGTACAAGCAGTTTGGTACTAGTAGTATCAATGCCTTCAACGTTTTTTACACGACATGTATACGTTGCCTGATCGTTTGTTGTTAAATGTTTAAAGGTCAATGTTGACCATGTATCATAGTGGTCAATTTTATATTGATCAAAATTAGATAATTGAAGTGGCTGGCCATTTTTAAGCCATTCGAAGAATATTGGTTTCGAATCAGAAACGACTGGACATTGTAAAATGTATGAAACATTTTCTCTAAGTCGAATTTCTGATGGTAATTGTATCATTATCGAAGGTTTAGCTATAAGGATAAGATTGAATTAGAATCAATGAAGATAATTATTATTAAAAATTACCCGAATTAATGAGAATGATAAATTGAAAAAATGATAAACAAAATAAAGAGAAAATTCTAATATCCATGATTTACAATTATAAATTACAAATTACAGTGAAACAATGTAACAAAATGATATTTGGTTTGATTAGAATAACGAAATTTCGATTTAAACAATCAAAAAATGGCAGAATTAGCGCCACATTTTGGCCAAATAATCATCAAAAAAGGAAAAAAAATTATTTCAAAATACCTGTTACATCCAATTGAAATGAAATTCGATCGAAACCAAATTGATTGGTTACAATGCAAGAATAATTTCCAATATCATTCCGATCAATGTTGTATAATGATAAAAGAGAATAAATATCTTTAAATTCAATTCTTGAATGTGTATTATGATCGGATGAAATGATTTTTTGATCATTTTTTTGCCATTCAAATCGAAATGGTTTTGTTCCTTTAGCTACATTACAATTGAAAACTATATCTGATCCTTTCGCAGAACTTAATCGTGATAATTGTTTCAATAATGATGGTGATTCTATAAAATGAAATATTATAAACCAATTTCAAACAAATTTAAAGAGCAGATTTTACCATTCGCTTCTACGATAGTGACTACCGTTATCTTGATTATCAACAAAATAATAAGTGAAATTGATTTGAATAATTCTTCAAATTGAATAAGCATTTTGAACAAATTTATATGATAATAAACACATAGACACACAAAATATTATAGCGAAAAAGATGGCAAAATTCAAGATAAAAAAGATATTTTCAAAGATTCAAACCGAATCAATAGCGCCACGTTTTGGTCAAAATTATGATCATAATAAAACGAAATTACAACCCAAATACCTTTAACTTGAAGTTGAGTCCATTGAATATCGATTCCAAAATTATTACTTACAACGCAGGAATAATTTCCGGAATCACTGGGTTTTAATTTGGGAATTGATAAAAATGACAAAAAATTATCCGTTTTTATCTGAAATGTTGAATGCTGATTCCCAGTCGGTTGTATTTCCTGGTTATCTTTTAACCATTTAAAAGAAAATGGCGTCGAACCACTAATAACCGAACAAGGAATATTCAATACAGAACCTTCGGATTGACTTAATTCTTTTGTAAATGATTTAGAAATTTGAGGTGCATCTGAACAGCAAAAAAACAAATTTATCAATAAAAAACAAATCTTAAACACTAAGATAAAAACCTTTCATTGAATAAATAGACGAAATCGAAACAAAGAAAAACGCAGACAACAACAAGAACCATTTAGACATGGTGAATTTTTAAAATTCTTTTTTGAATTTCATTCAAACAGAATGGACTCGAAATGAATATGACAGAGAAAAAAACATATCACAAGAGGAAAAATATCTAAATTTACAAAATTTTCGACCAAGATTGGCATTAGAAGCGCCACATATTGGTCTGGTTGGATTACAATTTAAGGATTTTTTCCAACATTATTATCATATTGACCATTGATCACAATCAATCAAGAAAATTAAATAAACTTTATCAAAAACAAACAAGTAAAAAGAGTAAAAATCAAACCTTGCACGACAAGTTTTGTTTGAATTGAATCCGAACCATAAACATTTTTAGCAATACAAATATAGCTACCGGTATCATTCGAACTTAGATGTTTAAATACAATCGATGACATTGTATCATAATTATCAATATGATTCAATTCAGATGATAATAATTTGTTCTTGTGATTATTATCATCATCATTTTTAAACCATTCAAAAAATATTGGTGTCGATCCGGATGAAATCGAACATGGCAATATATATGATGAATCGAGTGAAAGTTTAATTTCATTCGAAGGAAATTTGTTCAGAATAGGTTTGGCTGTAAATTAAAATGTTTGTTATTATTATGCAATGATCAATTTCTTGAATAAATCATACCAGCATCGATTGAAAGGTTTAAAATTGAAAAAATCAATAATATTATCATCAAAGCCATCATGTCAACAACAACAAAATAATCCTGTTTATTTCATTTGAAATGAAATGGATTATTTCTAAGCAAAAATTTTCAAAAACCTCGAAACAAATGGCAATATTAGCGCCACATTTTGGCTCAAAAAAACAATGAATCAAGAAAAAAATATGGAGGAATTTTTTTGCAAACCTGTAACAGTAAGTTGTATTGAAAGTTTATCGAAACCAAATTCATTTGTAACAACACAAGAATAATTTCCCATATCATTCGCATCGATATTTCTCAATGTGAAGAATGAAAAAATATCTTTAGTTTCAATCGATGATCTTGAACTGCCGGTCAATTCGATACCATTACGGAACCATTGAAACCGAAAAGGTTTGCTGCCTTTAGCAACATTACATGTTAACAAAACATCTGAACCTTTAGTTTGTTCATTTTGTGAATAAAGTTTAACAAGAATGGGTGGTTCTGTAATAAAAAAAAATCAATCAAACCATATTGATCAAAGAAGTGAAGAACTTACCACCACCACTTTGAATAAATGAAATTTGCAATGAAAACAAAATGATCAAAACAAAAAACTTGAACATTTTAGAATTTAGATTTTGAAAAAAACCTCGAATGAAAACGACACACACAAAAGAGAATGAATATTTTACAAATGAAACAAATTTTTCAAAATTCAAAAAATTTCAACAAGATAATTAGCGCCACGTTTTGGTGAAAATTATGAACAGAACAAAAAAACTTTTTAAATCAAACCTTGTATAATAAGTTTGGTTGTAATTGAATCCGAACCATAAACATTTTTAGTATTACAGGTATAGCTACCGGTATCATTTCGATTTAAACTTTCGAATACAAGTGATGACATTGTAGCATAGTTATCAATTTTATATTCAGATGATGATAATTTCTTGTGATCATCTTTAAACCATTCAAAAAATATTGGTGTAGATCCAGATGAAATTGTACATGATAATATATATGATGCGTTTATTGAAAGTCGAATTTCCGATATGGGAAATTCATTCAAAATAGGTTTAGCTAAAATAAAATTAAAATCAGATTAAAGTTTGAAACAAATGACCAGAAAAGTTACCCGAATCAATTTGAAGATAAAATGACGAAAAAATTAGAGAAAATATAATTATCGTAGCCATCATTGAATACAACTCAAATCAATTCACACAAAAAACATTGCAATGAAAATATTGAAAAAATAATAACTAAGAGTTCCGCCAATAATCAAAAAATGGCAGAATTAGCGCCACATTTTGGTACCGAAAAAAACATTGAATCAACAAAAAATATAAAATTTTTGCAAACCTGTAACAGTTAATTGTATCCAAAGTTTATCGAAACCAAATTTATTACTAACAACACAGGAATAATTTCCCATATCATTCGAATCGATATTTCTTAATGTATACAGGGAAAAAATATCTTTAGTTTCAATCGATGATCGTGAACTACCGGTTATTTCAACACCATTCAGGAACCATTGAAATCGAAAAGGTTTACTGCCTTTAGCAACGTTGCATGTTAAAACAAGATCTGATCCTTTTGTTTGTTCATGATTATTTTGTGAATAGAGTTTAACAAGAACAGGCGATTCTGGAAATTTGAAAAGAGGAAGATTTGAAATGAAATACGAAAAACGAAACAATAGAAAACTTACCATCATTATCACCGTGGACAGATGAAATTGACAATAAAAACAAAATGAAAAACTTGAAAATGAAATTCATCATTGTTATGTCAAATAACAAACGAATGGAACAAAATCTAAATGAAACACAAGCCTCAATCACATTTTGTCAAAGGAATTTCCAACAGAAACAAAAAAAAAAATCAAATTTGAAATTTTCGATAATTTAGCGCCACATTTTGGCAGAAATCAAGAACAAATTTGGAAAAAAATAATCAATTAATCATCAAACCTTGAACTTGAAGCGATGACCATTGTTGATCCAAACCATTTTCATTGATAACGGAACAAGAATAATTTCCCGAGTCATTTAGTTGTATATCGGAAATTCGAAGAAAAGAAAAATCAGATTTCGTATCGATTTGATATCGATTCGATTGATTATCAATGATTAAACCATTTTTGAACCATTGAAATCTTAATGGATGACTACCCAGATATGCTGCACAATTCAAAACCAAAGATGAATCTATAGGTTGAATGATTTCTGGATTAAATCTGGTCAATTTTGGTGCAACTAAAATGATTGTAATCAAATCAAATTTTTTAATTTTTAATTGAACAAAAAAAACAACGAAGATAACATACCACCAGAATAAACAGATTTGGTAAAAATGAACAAACAAAATGTCAAGATAAACATTTTTCAAACAAATATTTCTAAGAATATTTTACACAACCGAAATAGACTGATGAATAGTCCATTTGGATACCAATGATCAATAATGAAAAAAATCAAAATCCGAATTCAAATTCAACGAAGAAAGGAGCGCCACTTTTTGGTCGAAAAAATTAATAATGATAAAAACAAAATATATACCTTTGATCAAAAGTTTGGTCGATGTTTGATCTTGACCGAACGCATTTTTAGCCAAACATGTATAGATTGCTGAATCATTTTGGGTTAATTCTTTTAATGTAAGTGCAGAAAAATTTTCTTCAATAACTAATTTATATGGATCAGATTTGGATATTTTTCGACCATTTTTTGACCATTCAAAAAATACAGGTTGACTACCACTTATCATTGTGCATAGAATTACATGAGTTCGATTAGCAACGAGTTCAATCGATTCTGGAAGATTTTGTAGAATAGGTTTCGCTAGATTCAGATAAAAATTAATTGCAAGATTTTCAAACAAAACACATTAACAATACCAACCGGCATTAGATGAATCGACTATGTTCCACCATGCAATTGAACAAATGAAACAAAATTTCAAGGAAAACATCATTTTTAACAAAAGATAAATGATGTTATAAAAACCAGTATAAACAACAACACAGAAATAAACAATAAATTGTCGAAATACGAAAAGATAACAATCCTCGCTTCAAAAAGGAAATTATTCAAATCAATGGAGATTTTGGCGCCACATTTTAACGAAAATTGTTAAACATAGTATGCAACAGGTATATCATGATCAATCAATTAATAAACTTTACCTTGAACACGGAGCTTAGTGGTTGTTGAATCGAATCCAAATGCATTACGTGCAATACATTTATAAACACCTGAATCATATTGATTCAATCGTGGAATTGTCAGCATTGAAAAATTATCATTCGAATCGATTTTCCAATTTTTCGTTGTTGTATGATTATTGTTGATTTGATTGCCATTTTTAGTCCATTCAAAATGAATTGGTTGTGTTCCTTGCACTGCATTACATAGAATCACATGCGATATGTCGATCATTGATTGACTATCGATTGGTAAATCCAACAATTTCGGTTTTTTATCTAAAAAAATGGTGTTATTCATAAAAAATGATATTGACAAAATGAAAAAACTCACTGCATTCAATTAATTTGGCGGTTAAAAACAACAGCCAAATCAGAATAACTATTGTCGATTGAAGTCGGCTGAACATAATTGCAAAAGGAATTGATTTCACTTTGTTTTGTTCAGATTGCAATAATATTTCCGATTTTTGTGTTTTTGTTTGGTTCGATAGATGGCACTTTAGACAGTCCAAAAATCAAATAAAATATCCATATAGTGGCGCCCTCTATTGCCAAATGTGAATTAACTTTTTAAAAATTTAAATTTTTCTTTTTGAAAAAATTATTTATCACTCAATTAAACTGACCACAAAAGAATAAACTTTTCTTCTTTTTGAAACAAAAAAAAATATCATCAAATTAAAATTTATTGAAAAACATCAACAAAATTAAAATGAATTTACACAGCGAAAAAATGACAAATAAAAAACAAGGTGGTAAAGAAGAGAAGATAAGAAAATTGACCATTCTGAAAAAAACATGGCATTGCAGCATCGATTATATGATGAATAAAGATTTTCAAATAAAACTAATGTGATGACCGGACCGGATCGGACGCGACTCCAAATGACCAAGTGAACTGGGAATGAATATTGAGCATGTCTTTTTCTTCTTCTTCCAAATATATCACAGCACATCATTTAGTAAAATGTTCACGGCGATGTTGTTGTATTTTCTCAGGGAATAATTCCAATGCACAGAGAGAGACTAAAATAAAAAAGAAATAAAAAAGGGAAAATATCAATTCAATTTTTACTTATTCATCATCAGATAATCAAGAAAATTATTGTTTTTTGATGCAGTGTGTTGACATGATGTTTATCCAAGAATCATAGAATCAAATTAAGTTGAAAAAAGTCGTAAAACAATCGATTTTCGATTAAGATAATAAAAAAAGAAAAAATGAATAGTTTGCATTTTTCAAATCAATTGATTGATTGATTGAAACGAAACAAAAAATTCAATTTGGCTTAGATTTGAATCAAGCGCATGCTTGATATTGAAGCCATTGCAATTATCCAATATGGAGGATGGTTTTAACATTTACTTTCAATGCAAATCTCACTACGTTATTCAAATGACATAGATGATCCACTTAGCTTACCAGAAAGAAAATCAATCAATTCTTATATGGGATTTGACACGCAAATCTCACCGTAAAAATTTCTTAGACAAATCATATTCTGTACACTGGAAGATTAAGCCTAGAATAATGAAAAAAATACAGAATATGCTCAGTATGAAAACAACGAAGAATTCTGAAAATAAAGAATCGAATGTTGTCATCAAATTGAATTAAATTGATGAATTTCCGTTTTTTCCGTAAAATATTCCTAGCTAATAACAGAAAAAAACCAAACAAAATTACACACAAATAATAAAAATACATTGATCAGAAAGAATTTGTTTTTTTTCTAAACATTCATGATAAGAATATTCTTCCGAAAAAGAAGAAGAAAAAAGTTTCCGGTACAACAACCGATGATGATAATGATGATGATGATGATGACCGTCGGCTGAGCCGGAATAAATTCGTAAACAACATTGACAGATTTTTGGATGAACTATTTTTGCAAAATTCCATTTTCACATTGAATTTTCGTTTTCATCCTGGTATCAATAATCTCTCAAACAAGACAAAATGTGTGAACGAAAAAAATTCTTATCGAAAAATACATTACATACTTGAAATCATCATCATCACAGCTTATCAATTTGTTTGACACTTTTTCAACTATCCATGTCTAACTATGTAGAAAATGGACAATGTTTTCATTCTTTCTTTCTTCAATAGCAATAATATTAGTTACATTCCATTTTGTTTATTTCGCGGAAAAAAAACAATTTTTCCGCCTTGTTTCACATTGATTAGCCAAGGAAGAAAACATTTTTGAATAGCAGATCCATAACATTTGTTGTTTGAATTTATGTTTCTAAATTGAGCACATCTTTTTAGATGATAATCATAATTGTTAAGAGGAAATTAACAAAAAAGAAAAATTAATTAGCTTTTAATAAAATTTACATAAAGGAGATAATTATCAATTTGACCAACAACAACAAAAAAAAAACAAGAGGAGAAAGATGTTTGCGTGCTAAAAATATTCGTGTAAGTAAAATGGAAATAAAAGCATAAGTAATTTTCTTCCAGAGAGAGTAACTCTGAACATATATACTCTGATCTAGAGAACCGAATTGAAAAGAAAAGAAAAGAAAAGAAATGATTATTCTGCTGGACATAAAAACGATAGAGAAAAATAAAGGAAATTAAAGATTACAAATTCTTAATGATAATGATGATGACTATAAACATTTATTGATTCGGTTGTTGTTGAAAAACATAAGATTCGGATTTCTACAGCCTAATAATAATAATGATGATGATGATGAAGCATTAGGAAGTCTTATTTTATTTTGCCTTTTTTTGATTTTCTCTTTCAATCATCGATCTATGAGTTCTATTGAGTTTCTTACAAAAAGCAAAATAAAATTGCCCAAAAACTTTTGGAGAATACATATAACATTTAAATGATAATTACCTTCTCAAATCGAATATGATGATTGTACAATTGAATTTCACAAGAAGTTTTCTGTGTTATCCAGGGCGAGAAAAAATGTTTAATTTATCGTCCTTGACTTGAAAAAAATTGTGAAGATGATGTTGATTTTTTTTGAAAAAAACAACTAAAGATAAAGGAAATGAATTTGGTTAATATCGATCAATATCAACTTACCTGAGTTATTTTTTAACCATATCATCATCGATTATAAATCAATGACAATAAGAAAATCAATCAAGATTTATCAACAAATATTCAATTTTTTGATGATCAATGTCATCAAATTCATTATGAATAAATACAAAAAAACAGACAAAACATAGCGCCACACATTGGCCAGAATCCAAACTATTAAACATACAGAATTTCAATCATTTTATTCTCTGCAAATTAAAAATCCTTGAATTACAATTCATTTATTTATATAAAAGACAAATTATAAAATGACGATGATGATGATCAACAATAATAACTTGAAATGAAGAAATAATAATGATAATCGATTGTTGTTGTTGTCGCCATTCGACATTCGAATCAGATTCGTAGATTTCATTCGATCATCATCATAATCTGTATGCGAAAAATGAAGAAAAACAAAACAACAAAATTATCAACAAGTTTTGAATTTCATGTTCTAAATACTAAATGAAAAAAACATTTATAATCCAAAATGGTTGATTAGCACGCCAACGATAATTTCTGTATATGCAAGTTTTATGTTTTATTTTCAAATCAAAACCGAACATTGTATAAACAGCACACAAACTATCATCTTCCTAATTGATATTCATTCATCTTTCAGGTATAATTATCATCATCACAACGAAAAAATCAATCATCAAAAAGCCATTTCAAAAATGATTGTTTTTTGGTTTTCGGGGAATCACGAAATTAAAGAATCAATTTCTTCGGACACGAAATATTCAAGGGTGTGGATCATCTGACTGTGACTTGTTTTTTTCTCGCTTTAATTTAGTTTGGCATTTGAAACAAAGTTGACGAAAGGAAAAAAATGGTGTGATCAAGAAACAAAACAAAAAAAACGACAACAACACCTACTGGTAATGGGAATGGGCACAAAAAAAGGTTTTGTAATGAAAATATCATCATATAAATCAATTAGTTCTAATGTCTAATCAAACAATTCAATTTACATTATGGTTTTTCTTTTTCTTTTTTGGTGTGGTGCAAACCAAAAGATAAAATGATAGATAGAAAATGGCACGAATTGCTAATTTACATTTTCTCTCTCGCTTTTATCTAATAGAATATCTATTTGGGTATCTCATTAACAGAAATAGAAAGCAGATCAAATGAATGAATGAACGAACGAAATTATATTCAGCCTGAAAACCTGAATAAATGTGATAATTCAATCACACCATTTGATTTGATATATAATGTAAAGAAAATATTTCGAAAAGCTTCATTTCAAACAAAACAAAAAGGTTTTAATGGCAATTATTAAAAGCACATTAAAATTATTTGGATGTTTTTAGAAAAGTTTTGCATTTTGTCTGAACCAAAATGAAAAACTTTTCTTGAATGGAAAAATTGAGATAAGCAGAATATAGAATGGACGGACATAATCATTTGCGAATTTGACTTTGTATCAATTTGTTCAACTAACTGGACTAAATTAAAATGCTAATATGGATGGATTGAATGTGCTCCCAAAATTCAAATCATTTCAATAGGAATGTATTATTATTATTACATTCCAATTGAAATCATTGAATCAATTGAAGCGGAATTGAAATTTGAATTTCTATTCAGAAAACAGTCATAAACACGTTTCAATAGAGAGAAAGAACAAAATTTCAATCAATATTGAATGAATGGACAGTTTTCTTTCTGGGTAATTTGAATTTGAAAGAGAAAAAAGACTTACTTGTGGGAAATATAATTTTAATTCTTTTCTTTCGAACATAATAAGTTCCACGAAGTTTAATACGACATTCATAAATTGTTCCAGCTGTTAATATTGAATCGATTGAATGTTGAATGGATGCATTATATAACAGTGATTGACAAGAATCGTCCGTCATTTTATTATTGCAATTTTCATTGTGAGTAATATTAATCGATGACGACAATAATTCAAGATAATTTGAATGATGATTTTGTTTCGAAAATAACAACAACATTTGTGGTTCAGGATAAACATTTTCGATTAAACATTCTAGGGCAATATGATTGGCACTTAATTCAATAAAATGAAATTCAAATAAACGTGGAGGCACTGTATTGATGAATGATGGACAAAATTATTAAAAATTTAAGTAATTATTTCAACAACAAAAAAACAAACCATAAATTATCAATTGAATTTGTCGACTATCTTGATTAGCAATCGATGATATAACACATGTATAATTACCGGATAATAATTGTATTTGTAATAACCGTTGTTGTTGCAGTTGTAAAAGATTCAAACGTAATGCACGATATTTGGAATAATTATCATTATTTATAGTAAAATTATGATCAAAATATGGCCGTATCAATTCACTAACGTATCGGATATTTGATTCAGGTATCCATTGATAAACTGGTTCAGGTGAATCATTATGAAACCAACGTATTACCAATTTTATATCACCAGAATCATAACTATATGAACAATCGAGTGTTATCGCTGTTGATGATGATAGATTTGTTGCATCAATCATTTGTGGAATTGATGAATGTAATATTTTCAAGCTATCAATTGCTATAAAATATGGGATATTTTGGGATTTTCGTTGAAAATTTAACAACAAAAAAAATTACAAAATCATGATGTGATAATAAACATCTGTTATTATCTGTTAATAGCATCTAAATCAAAAATGACATTTCAAATGTCCATTAAGTGTGACTTTCAATTTCGTTTTGAATGTTTGTCATTCGATTTGGGATATTTTTTCTGTTTTAGAAAAAAATTGAAAGAATTTTTTGAAAACCCTGAGAAACCAAAAAATTCCATAACCACAGCTGGATTGGTGAGAAATTTTACTTTGAATTTAAAATTTTTTCATACTGGAAAAATGATAACGAAAAGCTGTTGTTTTTTTGATTTCCGAATGCATCAATCAAATCGAATCAAATGAATTCGAAATATCATATCATCACTAGATTTGAAAATAATTGCCTATGTGTTTGATATGGGAAAGAATTCAGCAAAAAAACGAAAATTCCGAAACAGATGCGTGACTCCCGAACAACAGAGAAAAAAGAAAAAAAGAATCCAAATGATTATTTGGATGATGATGGTAGAAATTTTGTTTTGTTTTTCAAGTATCATTCAAAATTGGAGCATTCTTTATCTGAAACAAAACAAATATTGAACAAAATTATATAATCCATAGTATTACACACACTTGATTAAAAAAAATAGAAAATTCAGGAAATTCTTTTTTTATTCTGTACAGGCTAATTATTATCACAAGTTTTCATCTATGATGGTTGTTGGTCAATGTTTTTTTATCAATTTTTTTGAATAAAAATAAATAAAATGGAATGTCCAAACACACTATCAATTCATCTGAAAGTAAATTGGAAAAAAGTCAGTCAGTCAACCATTCGTTAATTCGTTCGGAAAAAAGGTGAAATAAAAAATGAAATGAAATAAATTACCTTGGTGATCTCATCAACTCACCACCATCATATTGCGCCTAACAAAGCTAATTAACAATTTTTTTCCAATGGATTTTCTAATGGCGTTGATCAAAACAGAAATCAAACAAAAGTAAAAAATCATCATCATCGATTATATCGATTTTATTTTGGGTAAGATATTTTCAATTTTCAATGTTTTTTTTTGTTTGAAAATTGATATTATTTTCTATTTAGCGGGGCAACAATCATCATCATTATCATCATCAGTTTGATGATTGCAATAGGAATTGGGAGAAAAAACTCAATGAAGCGAAAATGAAATTGGAAACAAAACCAAAAAAAAAAGGAAAACTGAATGGATAACATTTTCATTCTGGAGTTTCGTTTTCTTCTCGTTCTTTTATTATTACCGAAAGTGAATGAATTTTATATAGGTTATATAAATGTTCATTGTCCATGGATGGATGGATGAATGAATGGAAAACATTTTTCATCCAAATAGGAAATGAAAACATTTTTTCCCATTTTACCAATTAAATATTTGGCCTCTTTTAGAAAATAAAGCAAATAATCAAGATGAATGAATGAATGGTGGAATATCAGTGAAAAACGGATAGATAAAATTCAATTCATCAAGTTTCGAATGCATAAAAATATTCGAATAGATTCTATATCGGCTATTTTCACGTAAAAGAGACAAAGGTAAAGTGGAAATTGAATCGAATAATTTTCAAAAATCGAGTGAAAACAATGAAAAAGGATGATGAAAACAAAAACAAAAGTATAAACATACCATAAAATGGAAATATAAATCCAAAAATTATCATTTTATGAATAGTATCAGCAGCCATCATTGTTCATTGTAAATTTTTCGAATTGTTTTGAAAATGAAATTTGATAATCACAATGATGATAGTCGAATGATCAATTTGACGAACAAACAAACAACAATAGTTTTGATTTAGATCATCATTTGAATCGCAGAATAAACTAGAATCGCAAACAATCATTTATTTGACAACCGATTTGGTTTGAAGCTAGATCGAAAATGAAACATGATGATAAAAGATTCTGCAAGCGAAATATATATCCGAAACGAATATAGTCAGTTTCGAACGAACCAACGAATCAGGATTCCTGTTTTCGGCGCCTGTTTATGGATTGCGCCATATTTATAAAATGAAAGCAATATAGGTCTAGTCCAAAAGGTGGAAATAGTCGCGAATGATTATCATAGCGAGGACGGATCGAACAACAACAACAACATCATCAATAATAACAACAATCAAGGTGTGTTGTTGTTGTTTATTGATGAGAATTTGATAATAATATCATGGAGAATCATCATCATCGTTTTTACCTGTTTTATTATTATTTATTTACAATGGAAAAGAATCTTTTTCATATTGTTTTTGATCTTCATTGATAATCATATTATTTTCTTCCAGAAAAAATTGCTTGCATTTTTGCGAGCAAAAAAATTTTATTTAATTAAAAATTTTTTCCAAAATTTATATTTAACGACGATAATTTCCATCAACAACAAATTTCGAGCAATCAACAATGATGATGCTTTTGAATACAAAACAGACACCACCATCTTCATCTTCACAACAACAACAGCATTTATTAATCAATAATTCAAATATTATTCATCCAAATTCCTTGTCTCATTCTCAAATTATTAACAATAATAATCATCATCAAATTATTACGAAACCTATGATTTATTCACAGCAACAACAACAACAACAACAGCCGCAGCAACAACAACAAATGGATAATTGTAATCTAATCATTATGAATGGTGGCCATACCCCAAATTCAACAAATTTAAACAACAACATTATTATTAATGATGAAATACGTTTTATACAGAAATTATTTCCATTATTAGAACGTTATCGAACATTTATTAATAAATTTGTATTCAATTGTAATTGTCGTGCCAATCTAGATTATCATTGTGAATTGAATGATCTGGAACGGGAATATAAAATATTTTTATCCGATAATATTTTACAACAACAACAACAGAACAATATTTTACAAAATCATAATGTTATTCATCAACAACAACAGCAGCAACAGCAACAACAACATCATTCAAATATTATGAATTATCATCAACAACCCCAACAACAACAACAAACTTTAATAAATTCGTTGATGCAAAATCCTCAACAACAACCATATTTAAATACTTCCAATCAAACATCATCGGTATTGGAATTGATTAATAAATCGCAAACATCATTACCATCAACATCGACTTTTATTCCAATATCATCATCATCATCAACGACTGATGTTGCTAATCTTGTGATTGAGCCAAAAAATATTGAACGATTATTACGATCATCACCATCGAATAATAATCAACATCATCATCAACAACAACAACATCATCATCAATCAATTAAACCAATTAATGATCTCCTTAAATTATCATCGGTAGTATCATCCGGGAATCTTTTATATAATAATGATAATTCAATTCAACAACAACAACAAATTCAACTCGTTTCACAACAACAACAACAATCATTGAATCAGAATTTTAATTCCATTCAATTGAATCCTTCTGAATCATCAAATTCTGCTCCGGCAACTATTTCAACAATTAAATTGGAGCAACAGCAAGCGACTACAATTTCTTCCATTGCTTCAACAATACCTCATATTATACATCAAGGTAAGTGCTGATGTAACGATTAACATTGATTAACATTGATTTTTTTCGTAAATTTTGATTTAGCGAGAACAATTCCAATATCAAGCATTTTAAATGGCCGAAATTCAAATTTATCATTAACATCATCGTCATCTAGTCATCAACAACAACAACATCTTACGCAACCTATTGAACAATTTCAATTCAACCAACAACAACAATCATCAACAAATGCAACAGCCACAACTTTTATTACGAATGATAATGATGATGATAATGATCAAAATTCAATGATTCCTCCATCCAATACCGTACAATCATCGGCAACGATTGTAGAATCATCATCATCTACTTCTATAGTTAAAATCGATCAACATCGGACGATTGGTGTTTCTGGTGGTGGTGGTGTTCATCTTCATCCAATCAGCTGTAAGGATTAATGTTTTTTTTTGTTTAAAAATTGGTTTAATTTATTATGTTTCATCTTTTACAGTGATCGTCAACGATAATGGTTCAACGTCTTCGAATTCCGTACCGAATAATTCATCCAATGGCCAGATATTGATTACGAATCCTGCAAATGCTTCAATAGAATTTACAACAACAAATCAATCATCAACAGCACAGAATCAATCGGATTCGACGACTGAAAGAATTAATTTTGTCTCAACAAATAATAATCTTGGAAAACATCATAATGATCATCAAACAATAACTGTGATTCATAATAATCCGCATCATCAAAATTTACAAATATCTCGGTCATCATCTTCATCAACGCCATCATCATCAACAATATCGCAAGCAGCAGCCATTATTAACAATCATAATAATACCATTCCTTCAATGGTAGCACATAAACGTAAAAGTAAATTATTATCAAGTACAATAAATCTACATCATGATAATTCGACACCAACATCGGCTGGTGATATGGTTATTGTTACAATTCAATCACCAATTCGTTCATCACCATCATCATCATCAACGTCTTCATCATCATCATTATCGAATACGGTGACTGGAGGTCGACAATTATCTTCCACCAACAATTCCACTAATGTTAACAATCCAAATGAAATATCATTGACAAACATGGCTACTAATAATAATAATAATTCTACAACGATTGAAAATTTAGAAAATATATTCGATGACGATGACGACGATGATGATGATGATTCGGATGTTAATAGTGAAAAAAGATTGGTACAAGATTCTATTCGTTCAAATATTGCTCGTCTTCATCAACGTAATGATGATCTATCCATCAATGAAATGGCATCGCCGCCATCATCATCATTACAATCTTCGAATTTACAAGCTACTACTACCTCATCAACGATTAAAAAACAAAAATTATCTCATTTAAATACTAATCAAACAAATGAAACAAATTCCATTTGTAATGGTGGTAGTAATAATAACGGTAATTCGACAAACTTTTCATCTGACAATAATTTGTCATCAACAGCAGCAGCTGCAGCCGCATCTTCATATTTTCATTGTGAATTTAATGGATGTCATTATGAAACAAATGTTTGTTCGAATTTAATCAATCATCTTCGTAGTGTACATCAGGTTGCCAAACCATTTCGTTGTTCATATGTTGGTTGTACGGCAGCATTTAAAGAAAAATATAAACTTAAAGTACATACTGTTGTCCATACAGGTGAAAAACCATATGCTTGTGATTGGCCTGGTTGTGAATCACGGTTTTCACAATCGGGTCATCTAGCTCGACATCGTAAACGTCATACATCGATTGAGGAAAAATTTCAATGTACATGGCCAAACTGTAATCGATCATTCATTCAGAAACACAGTTTAAAATATCATGAAATGACACATAGAGATGAAAAACCATGGCAATGTCAAATGGATGGTTGTAATCGATCGTTTGTTGAACGTTGGAAAATGTTTAAACATCAACGAAAAAAACATCCACAATTATGGGCTTTAAATCAACAACAACGACAAATGGCTGCAGCTGCCATTGCTAATAATGGTATTGTTGTTCCATCATTACAACCATCTCTACATCAACAACCAAAGATTGAAAACGAAACAGCATGAATGTCATCAAATTATTTTCAGAAAAAATTGTGCACAATAAATTGAATAAAATTCAATCAATTAATCAACTCGTTATATTTGTTAATTTCTTTTAAATTATTTATACAGGAACGAAAGAGGATAGGATGAATATATTTACAATTTTTTACTGTGGAAAACTGAGCATTTAATCGCGAAAAATAGAATAGAATAGAATTCAAACAGCTGTTGATGATGTCGTTGGTTGTTGTTGATCTTGTTGATTATGATGATCATCATTATTTGAAGATTCAAAAAGATGTTGTTGCTCATCCATTGTTATCAATGTCGATCCTAATTCAAGCTGTGATGGTTGATTAAATGGAAAAGGCACAGATAATGTTGAAATTGGGGATGTTGGCGAAAGAAATCCACCGATTTGATGATGATGAGAATGATCGATATCATTTCGACTTTCAGTTCCACCACCTAGTGGCAATGTTTCGGCTTGACTCCATGTTATCGAACCACCAATTGTTTGATTGTGATAATGATCAGATGATGATGATGGTAACAAAGCTGTATGGCTAGATTGATTTGATAATTTATCCTGATTATGTTGATAATAAGATGAAACATCCATAAGCAAATGTAATGGTGTTGTTGTTTGATCATCGGCATTCGATTCGGATCGTGATTGATGATGATAAGGATGTATGGAAAAAAATGGATCAGCAGATGATGTTGATGCGGTTTGTTCGGAAGCATAAACCGTATGATACATTGGCGGTGGTTGCGATGGTAATGAATCAATCGATGAAGGTGATTGGCTACTATGGCTTAAATGTTCCATTAGAGGATTTTTTATTATCACATTGAGCGGCGGATGATGATGATGAGATTGTTGGCAATGTTTAGAAGATTCATCATTATGACGATGATGATTAAGATTGATGGGCATTGTTCCATAATGATGCGATAATGAGGTATTTAAACTTGAATTATGATTGGCACCTAACAATGATCCTAAACAATGATCATCATGGAATGGTGATTGTTGTTGTGATGATGATTGATGCATAATGTTTGAATTCGTTGCGTTCAAATCTAATAACGTTACTGGATGATGAAGATTCAAATTATCATCATCGTTTCCATTTGTGGTATGATTGTCTAATTTCATTGGTGATGATGAATGTACAGCGGAGGAGAATGTATCCAAATTAATATTGTTATTATTATCATTATTGTAATCAACATTTGATATTTGTTTAATCACTGATTTATTAGCTTTTGATGATAATTGTAAAGTTGATGATCGATGACGACCTGCATGAATTGAATGAATAAATTCTATTATTGTTATCACAACAATCAAATGACCGATCAATTACCTTTAGATCGATTGATAGTACGAATTTTCGATACAATCATAATGATTATTGCTGAAATGACTAATCCAATAACAACAGTGATTAAAAGATACATCATGGGTTTGATACCAAAATCAGCTGTAAATTTTAGAAATTCTACATACAAAGAGAGAAATAAAATGAATTAATGAATCCCTGTTCAGAAGAAAATTGCCAAACCTGATCCACGACTACCGGGTGACATTGTTGTAGCCGAAAGTGTTACATAATTACTACGACCTTTAGCATTGGATGCATATAACAAAAGAACATATGTTGTTGAAATAGGAATATCACCAACAATAAATTCAACGTATTGATTATTTGATTGTAACGGGTTAGCCGATGCTATACCATTATCTGTAAGATCGGTAATAGAATTGTTATTGAAAATATTTTCGAATAAAAATTGGCCAAAATTTTCACCACCACCATTATCGATTTCGATATTGTTGTTAGTTAGATTGGCAATCATTTGTCCACGATCAGCTTGAAAAATTTCTAGATGAAATTGTTGATCCAGACCACCATCATCACCTGGCTGACATCGAACAATGATACCATCGGAACTTTGATTTCGTATTAAACAATTTTGTAATGATTGCGGTTGTCCCGCTGGTATTATATCAAAACGACATGGTTCCAATTGTTCACCAAGTTTGTTTGTTGCCCAACATAATAATTGTCCATAACCATAACGTGTTTTTGGTTCATAACGTGCAATCGATTGACGACTTTTACTAGATGATGATGATGGACGAACTTGAAACGTATCGATAGGAATCATCATCATTGATTCTGATTGGGAACTATTGAACATCCAACGAAATGTTACTTCTTCTGGATCGGATTCAACCTGACAAGGCACTTGAAGTGGTTCACGTTGTGCAACACCAAATAAATTACGTTGGCCACGTGAGCAAACTGGTCGATCTGTTTTGGTTGAAATCAAGATTTAGTCAAGTTAAACATAACAAACCAAATAAATTGATTTACTCACATTGAACTTTGAGTAGAATATCATCACTATAACTTTCACCTTGAACATTGGCAGCCATACAACGATAACGACCAGAATGTTTTCGATCAATATTGAATATGAATAATGTGTTTGATTTGAATTCAATCCAAGAATCATTCCAATCACGATGATGAATTGTTGATTTTGTATTTGAAAATGTTGTTGACAAACGTTTTCCATCAAATAGCCAACCAATTTCGGTAACAATCGGATTAGATAAAATATGACATTCAATTGAAACATTTGAATGTTCATGAATATTATCATGTTGAATTGTAGCACCGAATGATATTGTCAATTTTGGTTTAACTGGAAAAAAAGAAATTATTAAAATTTAATGAAAAATGAGAAAATGACAAAACAAAAACATACATAATACATTCAGGATCCAAGAATCTTCAAGCGAAGAATCCGGTAATACTGGATGATCAGCACGACAGCTCAGAATTTTACCATTATCATTCATGGTGGGTAAAAATTTGATTGTACTCAATGTACGATTATCATTTGTCAAATCGATTTCTTCCGTAACTGAATGTTCTAAACGTTTGGATGATTTCCACCATGATAATAATGCTGGTGGCCGAGCACCATCCGATTCACAATTGATTACAATCATTTGTCCATCAATCAATGGACGATGTACAGTTGTTATACGCACATTCAATGGACGGACTGAATCAAAGAAAAATGATTAAATTTTCAAAATGATAATATTTCGGAGGAAAAACAAAAACGTGGGGAGAAACAAACGTTAAAAAGAAAAAAAAGAAATAAAGCAGAAGGATAATCAAAAGTTAAGATACTTTATGGGGATAATATTGATGATGATGACGATCATTATACTTAAGTTTTTTAAGTAACAAAAATAAAAATAAAAAACAAAACGATAAAACATCAAACAGAAAAAAAAGGAAATGGCCACAATAACAAAACAATGGACAAAATAAAAAAATTCTTCAATGCGAAATGATCATAAAATTTTTTGAGAGAGAGCAAATATCCTGAATTAATGAATGAAATGTTTCCTATATTTCTTTATATCAAGCCAACAAAAATCTTATAATGATGATGAGGAGGAAAAGATTTTCTTATAGCCGAAACTTTTTTTTCCATTTCTTTTTGGTTCATCACCGAGAAAAGAGCAAAAAAATGTTTTAATTTAATTGTTGATCATTTAGTTAGTTAGCAGGGAAGAACAAAACCTTGAATTTCAATAGATTTTTTGTTTTTGTTTTGTTTTTGATTGTCATAATCATTATTGTGTGGATGATGGTGATCATGATAATTTCAAGATAATTCATTATAACAACCAAAAACAAGCAAAAAATGACATTTGATGCGGTTTGACATTCAATTTCTGATCAACAATAATAATATGACGATCACGAATTTGAATCATAGTTTCACCACACTGGTCATCATCATCATCCAATTCCTTTAACATTTAATAAGTTGAAAGAAAAAAAAGAATTTAAAATCAAAGTTTTTTCTGCTTTCTTACATTCTAACTGAAAATGACTTGTTTAGTTGCGTTGACCAGTGATAAGTTTTTGGTATTTTAAATAAATTATGAATGATATTCAAAATAAATAAACATTGCATACCAAGGAAAAAAACTTGGATAAACTTTTTCTAAAACTAAAAATATATTCAATATTCTCAACACACACACACACAACCATCACGTTTTTGTTTGGTTGGTTATTATAATGATCAATTTATAAATATAAATATATTCAGTGACAGTAAGAATATATATTATTTAATGATGGTGGTTCCACAGTATTATCAACAATCCAAACAAAATCATGACAAACATCATTATCAACAACAAAAAAGGTGTCACAGTGCTGGTCGTTGTCGTCATCATTATCATTATCATCCAAAACAACTAATGACAATCATCATCATCATTCATTGATATTTTGCGTGATTTACAAACATTCATTCATTCATTCATTGGATTCTTAGTTTCAGTTTCCATTTTACTTTCTATAAACTTTTTAACCAAAAAATTCCACCACTATGTTAAGTGTTTTATGATTCATAGTAGAGAAACATTCACCAAAATATTATAACATTGATGATGATAATGCAATAAATACTTGGAGGGGTGTTATATTCAAAGAATCTATTTATTTATTTATTCATGTTTGTTGATTGAATTATGGTCATTCATACACGAATGCATTGTTAAATATAATATTGTCCCCTCTCAATACTAAACATGCTCGATTGAGTTTTTTCCTGCGAAAGAAAATGGATGTGCGATGATATCAAATTTCCACAGCCGAAAACAAACCAAACAACATTAACATCAACAACAAATCTATACCATTTTCGATTTATTGCCACTTTTTTTTCTCGATGATATTTGATTTTTCTATTTATTTGGGTGATATTCATTCGATTTGGTTTGGTTTGCTTGAACGATCTTTCGCATATATAGACATTTTTCATATATGATGATGATGATTGTAGCAGAGAAAAATTCTGCAATAATGATATTCAAAAAAAATGATAAAAGTTTATTTTTTTTCTTTTATTTTATTATTTTTCACTTTTTTTTAGGAAGCTAACTAAAATAGACATTTTTTTCTGGGCAAAAATAAAGAATATCATTTCATCTTATAGCGTGCATAACAAATTTGTTATTTTATTTATTTCACATCTTTTATTTTTATTTGGTTATGTTTTTTGCCTTGCCAAATGAAATGGATTGATATAGAAATGAACAGTGAACAGAAAAACTGATGATTATAATATAACTTTGTTTTTTTTTCGGTTCCATCACGATCATCATGATGATCATTGGGAATAAATTCAGCATTTGAAAATGAATCGAAACGAAAAAAAAGAAAATTGAATCCGTTTTTGAAATTTGAAACGAAATGAAAAAAAAGAAAAAGAAAAAACCTCTTTATTATTCTCGAAGCCAATTCGATTTGTATTCGATTTGAAATATATTTTATTGCAATGAATTTTATTGCTTCTTTGTCTATTTTGGTTTGTCTTGTTTTTTTCCCGATCTAAAAAGCGTCAAAAATGGATATATTTTTCACTTTTTGTTTTTGTTTCAAAGAAATTATTCGTTTTTCCCAAAAAAAAAGATGATGCTGCTTCTCGTTTTTCACATCATTATTCAATGTTGTGAAAAATTATTACCACCACCACCGCGAACAACAACAACAACAACAAAACACCAATTTTTCTTCTTGGTTCGAAAAAAAAGTTCAAAAAGACAACAATCATTATGATGATGATAATAATGATGATAATAGCAATGAATATCATCATCATCATGATAATACAAAGCGATCAGGGCGACGAATATTTTTGCCAATTCAATATTCATTTATAATGATAATGATAATAATAATGATGATGGTTGTGCCGGAAAACGATTTTCGTTCGTTTTCGCTTTTTTTGGATAAGAAAAATATTCTTAGTTCCAAATGAATGAATTGAATGGAAAACGAGAAAATGATAAACGGATGGATAATTTTTTTCAAATTTTTCGCAACTGAATGAATGAATGAATGGGGAATTTGAAAATAAAATTTCACATTTCGATATTATCATCATCATCGTTTTTTACAATAATTTTTTGTTTGAAATTTACAAAAGTCAAGTTTTTTTCAAGTTGTTGTCGTTGTCGTTTGGTTGGTTGGATCTGATTATGATTATGATTAGCCCATTTATTTACATTAGCATTGAATAATAACCCACACCAGAAAGTCTCATTTTCGTTTTAATCGACTTGGAACAACAACAAATCAAGATTCAAAATCTGAAAAACAAAAATTCAACAACAATGGCAAACGAGTTTCAATAATAAAATTGACTTGGTTAAAAAAAAGTTGGCTTCACTGCCATAATTTTATTGTTTTTTTTCAAAAATGTTATGGATGAAAAAACAAAATGGTCATCATCATTGAAACAAATGACCATCGTCAATATTCAGTGTTTTGTTTTTGGCTAAATTTCAATTTAACATGGCGGTCATCAAATTGACCACCACCAATTGACCATCATCATTATTTTAATGAAAAATGAAGCTAATTTTTGAAAAATAAAACACAATTTCATTCATTCAAGTCAATTCAAATTTGTTTTATTTCAAACGAAAATTGTATTTTGATCGATAAAACATCTGTGATGAAAATGGAAACAAAAACTTTTTTCTGATTGAAAGGTGTTTAACTTTTTTTTGCTTTGTTTCTTTGTCAATATGAAATCAGATTTACTAAATAAAAATATTTCCAATGTTTTGGCTGGATTCTTTGAAAAATAGAATTCTATTGCTGAACTTATCATCCAAAAGCTTATCCAAAAGTCGAAAATAGAACCAAGAAAAAGTGATAAGAAAATGTAGAATAATCATCATCATCAGTAACGATAAATCATGATGTCGAAATGAAATGTTTTGACTTTTTTATTTGTACCCAGAAATAAAACAAAACGGGCCCATGCACACAAAAACATATGTGTCAAACTAGCAGATAACCTAAACCAGATCTTTTGTTGTTTTTGGAAATGAAATGAAAGACAGAAACATTTAGAAAAAAAATTGAATGGAAAAGCCATTTTTCATTCAACAACAATAAAAAAACTTGTGTATAACAAACAGACAACAAAACGGGTTAAACACAACAAACAAAATTGTCAAACAAAAAAAAGAAACATAGAAACAATATGATTTTCCCGAAAATGGATCAAATTGTTAAGTTATAAAACGATTAGACGATAAAGACTGAAAGAGAACAATCGAAATCGAATTGAATCGATTAGAAAAACAAATGAAAATAAGACAAATTGACAAACAAACTGAACACACAGCTTGTCATATGAAAAAACAAACAAACATAATGAATCTTTTTTTCTTCTTTGAAACAAAAAAAAAACTGCAAAAAATAAATAAATAAATAATGAATTGAATAGTGATGGAACTTAAAGAAATGAAAAACTTTCAAGATATGAAAAAAAATTTAATGAAAAAAACTATGATCAACCTAACCTCACTGAACTATGAATCACAGTCATAGTCATAGTCATCAACCTAACCTCACTCAACTATGAATCACAGTCATAGTCATAGTCATCAACCTAACCTCACTCAACTATGAATCACAGTCATAGTCATAGTCATCAACCTAACCTCACTGAACTATGAATCACAGTCATAGTCATAGTCATCAACCTAACCTAACCCAACTATGAATCAGTCATAGATGTAATGGAATATACTTAAATTTTTTTTTTGTTATTTTTTACGTTTTTTCTTTTTTGCTTTAAAAATGATGTTGATGATGATCATTTGAAAGAGTTCAACTTTTTTTTGTTTTTTCGTTACCAAAATGTCAGTCAAAATGATTGTTTTATGAACAACCAAACACACACACACCGACTATATCAACATTTTTTTGTTGGAAAAAAATGCATTAAAAGATGGAAAGGGAGACAAAACAAAATTATTAATGAAAAAACAAAATATTCATTCATTTTATTTGATTGAAAAAACATAGAAAGAGTAATGCATTTGCCCCGAAGATACACACACAGCAAAAAACAAGCAGCAGCAGCCAAGTCAAGTTAAAAGTCCAGAATTATTAAATTTCAATTTAGTGGGAGAGAAAATGATAAAAAATAGATTTTTTCGCTTGATGATGATGATGATGATCATTCACACAGTGAAGAAACAAAAAAATATGGATGAAAAATTGATGGAGAATTCAGTTTAGTTTACAGAAACTTTCTTTTTGCAATTTTTTTCAATTAGTATCAACGAATTCCCGTTCCATTTATGTTCTTTCTATTTTTTTCCGAAACGGGAAGTAAAACAAAAAAAAAGATGTTAGACAGCTTTGAATACCAAGGAACAAGAACAGTGAGAGATAGGGAAACCAAAACAAGCAAAAAGCAAAAAAAAGTTGGCAAACATTGTTTAAATGGAAAGAATAATTTCTTTTATTTAATCACTTTTGTTCATTCATTTCAGAATTTTTTCGTTTTGTTTTTGAAGAAAATTTGTTTCAGGCAAAAAAAATATTGACAATCACTGGCTGTATTCATTTCAGATGATAAAATATGTGTGGAATAAGAACCGGGGGCTATTTAAACAGCCAAAAGGAAACACACATCATAGGTATTTTACAAAAAAATTTATCAAAAATCATAATGATGATGATGATGAAGGAATGCAATAGGGAAGAGAGAAAAAAAACAAACTAAAATCATCTTGGAGGGCAAACTGTAAAGATAATTAACTTTCATTTTCATTTAGATTCTTTACATCAACAAAATGCAACCATCCTCACTCACACACACCCACATTACCCAGCCAACCAAGTTTCGAATCTAATAAAACAATGGAAACCATAAGTTATATGGATGAATTTTTTCTGCTGCTGCTGCATTCATTTGTAATTTTTCAAAACGAAAAAAGAACAAAAGAAAATTTGAATAATTCATTCAATGAATGAAAAAGAAATTGTAAAGATTTGAAAAAGAAAATCCATTTTCTTATTTTTCCTTCATAACATTACATTCAACATGGAAGGCAAAATTAATTTATCAAATTTTTTTTGGTTCGCTGGTTGTACATGCAAAATGATATTTCATTAGATATTGTAAGCAAAAGGAAAAAAAGTTTCCAATCATTTTCAATAATCATCATATTGATTTGAATTTCTTCAAATTCACATATTAAAGTATTAATATTTCTATAAATATTAATATATTTTTGTTGGATTTTTCTTTTTTCGATTTTGATTTTGGATTAAGATTAACAGAACTGGCAAAACAATAGGAATATTCCGTAAATTGAAAAAAGCTTCCAACAAATAACATCAGAAAAAAAGAAAGAAATATTTTTTTGATCAACTTACGATTAAGTTCCAATAGGATGCTACTTTGTGATTGTTTTAATCGAAATAAATTTTTATGTTTTTGTCTGACTGAATTGTTGTTATTATCATTGTTGTTGTTGTCATCGTCAAGAATATGTCCAACAAATAAATGATTGGCCAACATTGCCTGTCTTATTTGATCAGGATCACGAGGATTCCAAGATGATGATTGAATGGCAGAATTGGTCGTTGTTGTTGTCATGGTTGTTGTCGTTGCTGGTGATGAAATTTTTGTCTCAAACATTTCCGAAATGGATTCATTCGAAACATTAAATAATGATTGACAACTAAGTAATGATCCTTGATCATTTCGTTGTAATTTTGGTATGAATAATTCATTACGAACAATTCCCTGTGCAGTAATTGTCCATTGATCATCAATTAGTTGATTATTACGATACCAATATAATAATGGTCTTGGTTTTCCTAGAAACAAAATCAAACGCACAAACAATCGAAAAAATAAATATTATTATCATTTCAATGAATCAAGTTTGCTAAGTTAGTTTATAAAGTGATCTGAGTTCAACTTCCTGATTCCACACATGGTTTATATCATCAGTCTGTGTTGGCTGGCTAGTTGATTAAACATCATCATCATCATCAGTAGCCAGACAACAAAATAAATCTTACTATAAGAATTTAAAACTAAGCATGGTATTTCTCTTGCCTTATCTATTTATTCTGAAGTTTGTTTGTTTTTGTTTAAAATCAGACATGATTATTGTTTGATTTAGTGATTTTAACTCTTTTTTTCTCTCATTAAAGAGAGAAGAAACTTGCAACATTTTTTTCTGGTCAAACTAAATGGAAACAATCTTTCATTCATTTTGCAATTTGAAAATGTTGATGATGCTTATGATTCTACGTTGTTCGTTTGTTTGACAAGTAAAGCAGAAATAGTTTCGGAAAAATGTTTATAAATTAGTTTTGTGTTGCTATAGATTTTGATATTCACATTCAAAGTTTTGAGTGTTTGCGTTGTCATTTTTTCGCACAGAATCCCCAAAACACAGTGAATTTCAATTTTGTTTCTCATCTAAAAACACACCTGGAATATTTTCTCATTTCAATTATTGCAACAACGAATTCATTGTCATTATTTGAATTGAATTTTTGTTTTACAACGAAATAAAATGAGATGAATTGCGTGAGAATTTTGACAAAAATAACAACAAAAATTGTAATTATATTCTCGTTGAATATTTGTTTTGCGCACTCTTCAATGCTCCGAAGCCAAATTTAACGAGTGTAATTTTTAAGCGAAAACATTTTAAATCCTGATATTTATCTTTGGAATCAAGAAAAATTATCCTAATTTTAAATGAATTTAAAACGATTTATCGTTGATTTTGGCTGTCGGTAATTGAAAGATAACGTAATAGACATTATCATTAAATATTTAAGATGGTTGTTTTTTCATTAAATCATCAAAAAGGAATTTTGTTGATAAAAAAATTGTTTCAAGATTTATGGCTAGCCATTATCATCATCATCTTCTGCGGAACAATGAATATCCTATGAACAAACAAACAAAGGAAAAACACATAAATAAAAAAACAACAACAATATTCATTGATAGAGGAAGAATATTCTTTGTTCCTGATTTTAATGTTTTTTCATTTTCAACAAAAATCTCTTCAAATTCAATGATGATTGCTTTTTTTATTTTCGAAAAAAAAACTGCAGAACAATTTGTCTTGGTAGTGTTTTCCGGATTCCATCAATGATTTTTTTCTGGAATTGAAAAAAACTCAAAAATCAATTTAACAAACAAAAAAAATGGACAATCAAATCGAATTTGGAATTTGACATTATTGTTGTTGTTATTTGACAAATTCGGAAATTTTCCGGCATTATAATTTCTTTCCAGAAAAAAGGACAAAACCAGAAAATTTATGAGAAAAATTCTTTGGTTTTTCTCTTCGTTTCCCTCTTTGCAAAATTGAAAAGAATTTTTATTTTTTCCTCATTTTTCCTTTTTATTTTTCTCTTTATTCTGTTTGCATTTTAATATTGAAAACGAAACCCCTGAAAAAAGAATGACAGATATTTAAACTGGAGAGAAATTTTCCGGGTAAGAAAAAAAAATTGAAGTTTATAAAATAAAAAATGTTGAATTCTTGAATAATGATGACAACTTTTATTATTATGGTTGAAATGAATGAAAAACTTATTATCATTTGAAATGAAAAACTTTTTTCTTTGCACGCAAATACACACGTGCCATATATCCATGCATGTGAAACAAATGTTCAAATTGAATCTGTTTATTTTTGGTTTATTTGCAAACATTTGTCATCATCATTTGCTGAATTGATTGATGAAAACTTTTTATTATTATGCAAAAATTGAAACAAATTTGATAAAAAAATGAGAAAAAAAAGTTTCAAGTGTTAAATGAAACGATACTTACCACCTTCAGCTTCACAGATAAGATTAAGATGTGCACCTTCATTGAACGGGGTGATTGGATCATTCAGACGTTGACCGAATTCATCCATAATGATCACTTCTTTTGGTGGTATCAAAACATCCAACAGAATTGAACGATGCTCAGATGGTGAACGACGAAAATCAACACGGCAACGATATTCACCCGAATCATCAACTATAAATGAATGTATAAAAAACGGGTTAAATGATGCAAAAAAACATAGATGTTTTCCAAGATATACTTACTTTTGACTGAATCAATAATCAAACTACTTGGTCGTGTACTTAGATCGATAAAAGCTCTTGAACCAAGCATATCATCACCGGTAAAATGTTTTGCACGTTGCATTGTCGATGTACGTCTAGCATCAATTGAATATAATGCACGTTGTTCTTGACCACGAAACCATAATATCAGATCAATCGAATCATTATGATAATGATTATTCAATGAAACATTACATGGTAATAATGTTCTGGTTCCTTCCCAACCGATCACATGTATTATTGGTTCATTTTCGAGTTGTGCATCAATCAATGGCAACATTATTGGTCCATTATTTGATTCTTTATGTTGTTTTTTAGCAACATTGTCTTCTTTTGATGTAACATCTTTGATAGTTAATGAACGTCTTTTAACTGTACATACAGGGAGAAAGAAAAAAGGAAAAGATTTAAGAATTTTTTTAAAGAAAAAGAATCAATCACTTTGACAAACAAAATAGGACACGTTATTTTAAACTTAGTTCGTCGAACATCATTCTTTTTCATTCGTTATAAAAGAATGTGACAGGTTATAATTAATAAAAAACAGGCAATTCGACAATGTTTTTTCGGATGACACTTGTCCCACCATTATTACTTTACTTTACTCTTTATATTCCATTTGGAAAATTTCGAAACGATAAACTTGCAAAATGTCAATGTCTGATTTGAGCAAAAATTAAATTGAAATTTCTGGAAAAAAAATTCCTTATATCCAAATTTTGAATCCCGAATTTGATTTAATTTAGTCATATTAAACTCATTTAGAAAAACGAGAATTCAAAAAAAGAAAAACAATGTTGATCCAACAACATTGACTCAACTACGATATAAAGATGTTCATTTTCCTGTGTGTTTGTTTTGAAAATGTAACTTTTTCTACTATGATGATTAATTGTTTTGGACTTGGGTTGTTTATTACTAAAATGAAAAAACGGCAAAGAACTCTGATGATGGTCAGGAAATCAAGGAAAGAAAAATGATCTCATTTGTTGTTGTTGTTGTTGTCAGTTTGAAAAGCTTTTTACTTAATCAAAAATAACGAACGAACAACAACAACAATACATCACCACTACTGTTTTGCTTGAAGATCTAAAATGATTAAAGTCAGAGATTAATCAATCAATCAAATCAAATTCAATCAGTAACATTGAACTTTTTCTGACCACCAATATCATCACCATAACCAAAACATTGATTAATCTTTTTTTTGGTCAACACTTTTTTCTCGATTTTTTCGGGGATGAATTTCATTTTTTTTTCAATCAACGAAAAAAAACAAAACAAATTCAATAGGATCAAAACAACAACAAAAGACTATAGCCGAAGAATAAAGAAAAAAACAAGGCAAAAAACCGGAACTATTGAAATAAAATGGAAATAAAAATAGAAATGATTTTAATGGACAATGATTATTGCCTTATATCCAATTGCTCAATAAAAGACATATAATGTAAGATGATGATGGTGGGCTGCCATCAAACAAAAAAACCGTATACTGAATGTGCATTTGTAAATTATAATATTTGCAAGAGAATGGACCATTTCAAAAAAAACTAAATCCCATTTCAATTTTGAAACAATCCAACAACAACAGCAGCAGCAAAAATAGTAACTATGTTCTGTTCGGTTATTATGATTCGATTGATAATCGATAAATTCGATAAAATCGATGACCAAAAATTTCAATTCATCAGTCTTTTGCATTTAAATGGCCATTTTTTGTTTTGTTTTCGCTGAAATTTATGGCCAAAAAAATAAAAGGAAGGAAAAGAAAATTCCACTTGATAAAATTTAAATTATTTTTATTCGTCGTCGTTGAGTGTGAGTTCAATGAATCAATTTTCAAGTGAAAAATTTTTTTTTCACCAGAAGTTTTGAATTTGAAATTCTTATTCTTTTGGTGGAATTAATTGAGCTCGAATCGCATCGTTTTTTGTGTTTTTTCCAATTTTCAAGTTTAGTAAGAATTTTTCTTGAAAAAAAAGTTCAAATCGATCTTTTTTATGATCCCAAGAGAGATTCAGAAAAAAAAGATACCATCACTATCATTGAAATTGAAAGATGTTTGGAATTTTTTTTCTTGCCTTAAGGAATCATGTTTATGAACGAAAAAGACGCAAGAGAAGAAAAGCCGAAAAGAAAAATCATCAAAACAAACAAAACCAAACCGAAAAAATTCTGAAATCGATTACAAACAGAGGATTCATACACTGAATTGGTTGAAAATTACTTTAAAATTTTTCAAAGAAAATCAAGACTCCATTTCATTTTGAATTTAATTGACAAAAAAAAAGATTGTTCGTCGACGGTTTGAATCATTCATTTTCCAAACATTTGAAACAAATCATTAATGTCGAATTATTTTGGCCAAAATCAAACAAACAGGGAATTTGGAAACTTTCTGACTTTTCTTAAGTGTGTGCGTGTAATGATAAACCAATTCAATGGATCATTTGATTCATTCAACGAAAAAAATGAGAAAAAAAATTGTTTCCAATTCGTCGATTTGAGAAATGAGAAAAAAAGGATTCGGAAAAAAAATTTAGTAATCTATTACTGAATTCCACTGAAAAACCCGGTAAAAAACTGGTAATCTAATCGAAAACGAAATAAAATAATAACCGTATAGACAACCGAACAAACAAACACCCAAAAATGATGATGATAACAATTTTTACCAAAAAAAAAGAAGAAAAAAATGGATTTAATTGGCTTTACACACACACACAGAGAGAATACATTCATACCATAATGGTTGACCATCATCATCATCATCATCGAATGGCAATAACCGGCCATTATAAGTTTGTTTTTTGGTCGGTGAAGAAAGAAAATTCTCTCACTATGTTTTTGTCACATTTAATGTGTCATTTATATGATGATGGTGCTATTCTTAGATCTTTTTCTTATGTCGTTCTCTGTGTGTGTCACCAAACAAACAAAAAACAATTAGTTTTTTCTTTGTTTGCTTGTTTTTTGATGATAATCGACGATCCAAAAGTCCAAAAATACAAATACAGAATAAAAAACAATTTTCCCATGTTTAAGCAAACAAACAGAAAACAAAAACCTAAAATGTAAATATGTTGAATGTTTAATGATAATGATGGACATTTATGATGATGATAATAATGATCATCATTATCGTCATCAAATGATTTCAATAGAAAGGCAAGATTCAGAAACTATAAAGAAACATGCAAGAATTCTTTTTCTTGCCTGTCACATCCAAAAAGATTCATAAAATGATGCATACACACATATAAGGAATATATGATGATGATACGAAATGATGAAAAACATAAGATTGATGACAAATTATTATCATCAGATAAAGAAAGAGAGGAAAAAAGTTTGAAACATAATGATACTAATTAGGATTATATAATTAAATAATCACAAATTGATAATTATTATGGAAAAAGAAAATCATTTAGAAAAACGATCTTCAAAGTTGGAATCCATCAATTTCATGGAAAAGTTTTTTATTTCTTTGGTATCTTTTTCCATTATGATAATTCCCATCAAACATCATCATCATCGTTGTCATAAATTAGTCTTTTTATTTTCAATCTTTCTCATGCTTTTTTACTGAGCTATGATCAGAAATGAAAGGAAATATAAAAAAGCAAATGAATTTCGTTGAAAAGATCAAATATTGATCCAAATGCGATATATTTGTTTTTTTTGTTGTTGTTGTCGTCCTTGGTTAAGTAATAAAAAATCCCTTCATCATTCGATGATGATCAGAAAAGTCAAATATAAATCGAAAATCGAAAAAATCCGTTATTATTAAGAATCCGACAAAACAAAACGCGAAATCCGGAATACCAAAAAACCCAGAATTGATCCAAAGAAAAAGTAGTAAAAAGAATCCAACCAAACAAGTATATAAAAATCATCAAAATTTATGGATATTACACACACACACAGACAAATATAATGTAATCTCTCTTTCTCTCTCGCTCTCCATGTAATGATATTTTCATTTTCCATTTCCACTACAATCATCATCATCAATTTGGATGTCTTTTTCCGTTGTTTTAATCAATTATTTTCATTATTTGATTATTGTTGTTATTGTTATATTCGCATCATAATAAATTTTGTAATTAGGAAAAATTTTAAATCAAAAATAACAGGAAAAACAATGAAAAAATTAATTCATTTTATCTCAATGATGATGATGATGACCAATGTTTTGTAGAAAAAAATGAAAAATTCTTGTCATGTCTATGAAATTGTTGGCAAAAAAAAGGATAACAGAACAATTGCGTAGAATCAAAATCATTACAGATAAAAAAAATTCTATGTGACAGTCCAGAATCAAACATCACAGAAGAATCTTGGTGGTTGCAAATGGACAACGTTGATGAGGATAATAATGATCATCATCATACAGCAATTTCAGCCGGGAATTTCTTTTTCATTTTGATTTCAATCCACCCACGCACACATTATATATAATTATGTTGGCCATTATTTCTTTTTTTGTTTTATAATAATAATCATCATTATTATCAGTGAAACAAAACATCCACATTCAAAAGAAGATTGGGCGTATATATTCAAACAACAGCAGAAATGAGAAAAGAAATGTTTCTTGGAAACTTTCTCAAAAAAAAATTCGTCAATAACAGTAATGTTGGTTTTTAAGATTGGTCATTTGGTTGGATTTTATCGGAAGAAGAAAGGCAGAAAAAATGTAAAAGTGGTTCTAGAAAAGGCAGAAAACCAAATTGTTTTTTTTTTTGATGTCAAATTGACTATAATAATAATCATTATTATTATTTGTCGTTGTTCAATTCGAAACAATTAATTATTTGACAAAATCAAACAACAACCCAAAATCAATTCGTAAAAAAGTATGGGCTTTTTGGGTGACGAGGTTACTACTATGAAAACATACAGCATTTGTCATTCAGATTTTTTATTTTTGAAAATCTAAATGGAAATTGGTTGTTTTTTATAGTCGTCTGGCAGCCCGTCTGGATTCACTACTGTATTACATAACCAAAAAAACATTTAATTTTCTTTAAAATTTGTTTCACTTCAAAAATGATTGAATGGAAAGAAGAACAGAAATTATTTTACAATTTTCTTTTCCGTTCTTTTGGTTGTTTCAGACACAGTAGTTCCAGCAGTTTTTCCATCGTGAAATAATAACATAAATTGACAACCAGTAAATGTTTCGTTTGCTGATGACCTCTAAGTGAAATAAGTGAATGTTGATGATCATCATCAACCATTTTCCATTTACTTGATGAGTATTTGATTATTTGAACATGTGTGTGTGTTTGGTTTTGTTGGATCTGTACTTAGAAAATGTAGAAATTGTCAACGAGGATAACCATTTACCAATCATTATCATG